AGTTATGACAAGAGACTTCGACAAGAAGCATCCAGCAAGCCTGATCAGACTAAGGAGGACACACCGGAATTCTCTAACACCTTTCCTGGGACTTTTAAGCCCATCAAAAAGACGCCTTCTTCAGCACCTCAAGACGACGATCTCACCAGTCTCTTTGGTTCGATGCGCCCCCCCTCAGATACTGGTGCGCCACAGGACCAGCCAGGCTTCTCTACCACGCCAGCCCCAGAAGGTAACGTGGTGAGGCCATCTCCTAAGCCTGATCAGGCTCAGGATGTAGACGACGAAGAGGAGGTTAGCGATGCTGAGTCTGAGGCCACCGCGAAGCCCGCGCTCCCGCGCTGCCCCCTTAACCTCAAGCGATTGTCTAATGTGGCTTCTACTGCGTACATGAAGGCTGAAGGACAGCGAAATGCTTATGAGAAAGCCCTGTTCAATACACAGGAGCAGCGCCACAAGCTAAGGGAGCGCAGGGTCAAGTCTATTACCGACTACACCAGGGACGAATATGTTAGTATGTTCGAGAACCCTTATGAGACGGTGGCAGTGCGACAGCGCCCTTGGCAGCTGTTTCTACGACCTACAATTGCACCTGGATGGGAGGGTCATAAGCGGTATGATCAGGGACGGGAGTGGGATGCTAAGTTCGAGGAGGAGCGTCTCGAGGCTGAGAGGGAGGCAGCTCGTAACGAGGCGAGTGGCTCGAGATACTCTTTCCGCCGCCGCTAGGAGGACATCACAGGTCTGATCAGGGAGGATACAATAAGGAGGATTGGTTTTTGCTTTTACATGTCGTCTGCCCCTATGCTTTTACACTTTTCTCCTTTTAATATGTTGCGCGAAGAAGAAAACTGGGGGACGATTGGAAAGGGGCAGGGTTTCGCGTTTTCATTTTTCCTTTTATCAGCCTGCAGACACAATCACAGGCCTGATCAGATGTGACTAAGCAGGACCCTTCCAAGTACAAAAGGGGGCTCTAGTCAGATACTATCACAGAGATCGGGATCTCATCACGAAGCAGACAGAGAAGCTTGACATCTTTAGACAGGCACTTAGACAGACACGGACGAATTCATCACTTTGATATCTAAACAAGACGTGTAATAAGTGACTGTTGCTTTGTTTCCTTAGGCCTGACTAGACCTCTAAGGTCTAGGAGGGTATCCTCCTCCTCCAGAGATCACGACACACACATGCGTACCACTTAGCAACAAGGGCAAATCCGAACAGACTGCAAGACGTGAAGGATACACTTTTCTGGTTTGCTCATGGCCCTGATCAGGCCAAGGAGGACCTGAAAAGAGTAGTATCTCACGGTCTAGGCGTTGGGGTAGTCACTTGGGGTAATCGGTCACTCCAGGTGCACTCGTGACGATACTGGGACCTTGGTGTTTGGTGTGGTTTGTGTGTCAACTGCCCACTTGCTGGCTTCCTTTATCCCACGCAGTTTCACTAACTACTAGTATATAGCTTTTAACTAGCTTTTTATTAAAGTCTATTACTTAAAGGTTTAACCTTTTATTTACTTTAAAGTTACTTTTAAAGTAGGCTTTCTTTAGCTTAGTTAAAGTCTATTAGCTACTATAAATATCTTTATAAAAAAAGAATCTCTTCTTTAGTTAGTCTTAACTAAGTATTAGAAAGTCTTTACTTTTAAAGATTATAAACTCTTAAAAATTATTTCTTATTTCTACTAAAAAAAAAAGTAAATAAAATTAAAATTTTATAACTAATAGACTTTACTAATTAATTATTTTTTAAGTAATTTATTCTTTAATATTACTTTACTATAAGTTAATAAAGTAAAAGTTTTTTTTATATTATTTAATATTATTACTTAACTTAGAACTTTAAGTTAACTATTAAGTAATTAATTAAAGAAATAAGCTAATTACTATAACTAATTATTATAAATTACTAATATAAATATAAGTTTAAGGCTCTTTTACTTTATTCTCTTAAAAGAAGATTCTTTTTAGTCTTATAAAAATATAAGATAAAGTTACTTTTAACTTAGAGGTAACTATAAGATTTAGTTACTTAATAATAAAAGCTTTTAAGCCTTTATAAGAGGTTTTACTACTTTATCTTTAGCTTTAATTACTTATTAAAGCATATTTAACCTCTTAAAAAAAGGTTTTTAATATAGCTTATAAGGCTATATAAGCTTATAACTTTAATTTTATTAAAGAAATAGTAAAGAATATTTAAAAAGAGAATGTAACAGCACAACTCCCCTAGCCCGATGGTTGTACGTCACAAGGGCATATAAGCAGTGTTGACAGCAGGGCTTGCACGCGTGCAAGCACTGACGGATCTTTTGGGTCAATTGGGTCAATTGGTTAGGCCATAGAGTCAAAGGGTCCTTGCGACCAACGTCACTATCAGCGTCTATTACAATTGTGCTTGCACGCGTACAGTCAGACTAACAGCTGCTGGACTTAGCATGTGGCAAAGAAAGGCTTGATTGCCGTCACAAGTTCGATTCCCGTAGTTGTCCCTGGCTGTCAAGGCGAGCGCTGGTGAAAGGCGGGGTAGGACTCGTCTCATCGCTAACTCTAACCTTGGGGGTCTGCATTGCCTATGTGTGCCTTGGGGACAAGGCAGCCTAGGAGGGGGTATAGTTGTAACAGCACAACTCCCCTAGCCCGATGGTTGTACGTCACAAGGGCATATAAGCAGTGTTGACAGCAGGGCTTGCACGCGTGCAAGCACTGACGGATCTTTTGGGTCAATTGGGTCAATTGGTTAGGCCATAGAGTCAAAGGGTCCTTGCGACCGATGTCACTGTCAGCGTCTGTTACAGAGAAAATATAAATTATAGTAATTAGTTATAGTAATTCCTATTTCTTTTATACTTACTACTATTTTTATATTACTTTAGTTATCTTTTTATAAATTTATTTTATACTTTAACTTAAATATTACCTATTAGTTTTTTTATTAACTTTATTTATATTAAGCTAGTTTTTTATATTACTATTATACTTTTTATTTTTAGTATAATAAAATAAAAAGTTATATAAGCCTATTACTATATAAATAATTTATACTTATATATTTAAGTTATACTTTAAGGCTAAAGAAGTAATTATTTTTTATTTTTATTTTAAATAGCTAAATATCTACTTAATAATTATTTAAAGATAACTATACTAAAAATTATATAACTTTTAAGCTATTTCTAATAGTTTATTTATATCTTTAAAATCTTATAAATAGTAATAAGTTTTTAAATAAAAAATAATAATATTATTCTAAGTATTAAACCCTATATCCCTTAAAAAATACTAGCCTTTAAGGACTTTAAACCCTTTAATATTTATAAAATTAATTAAACTAATATTATAAATTAACCTTTTAGCTTTAATAAATATAAATAAAAAGCTACTATTAAAATAAATAGTAATAAAAACATTTTAAAAAACTATTCCTTTTTAACTATACTACTTCCCTTAAATAATAATAAAAATATATATACTAATAAATATATTATTAACTACTTTAATATAACTAATAAAGTATTTACTTAGTTTTTTATTATTCTTAATTTCTTTTAAGACTTTAGTTTTTTTATAAAGAATAATATATACCTTATAAAGCTTTATAAAATATAATAAAACTTTATTTTAAACTAAAGATATAATTAATTAACTAATATAAAAAAAGTAAATAATAGCTTATTAATTAAAATTACTATTATAAAATAAAATAAATAAATAAATAAGTACTTTTTATTTAATAAAGAGATTTTAAAATAGTTATAAAAGTATATTATTTATAAGTTATTTTAATAATACTTAAAATTACTATTTATTAAAGTAAAAAAAGTATAAGAAATAATAATTTAAACTAAAAAAAAGCTTTTAATATATTTAATATATAATTATAATATTACTATTATTAATAACTTTTCTTTTATCTTTATTTTTATTAGTTTAATATTTTATTATAATAATACTAAATATAACTATTATAATAAAATAATTAAATTTTATAATAAATTATTTATAGTAATTAATTATAATAATAAGTAATAAAAAAATAATTTTTAAAGTATAATAATAACTATAATAATATTAATATAAGTTTTAAATATAATAAGAATTTATATAAAAAAATAAAAAATAACTAATAATTTATATTATATAAAGTCTCTTTTTACTAAAGTATATAACAAATATATAATAACGTAAAGTTCTATAATCTAGAACTATAATCATAATATACCCTCTTATTTTAGGCCTAATATAACATAATTTGAGTTCAAAGGGTACTTATGGCTAGTGTTATTGCACATTTGAAATTCTTATTGCACATTTCAGTTCTTACCGCAGTCATCGATCACGCCCTTAGGTGTCATCACAAGTAATCGGTGTCCCTTTGAGACGTCTCTATACAACAGTTCCCGCGCCCCCACGGTCCCACCTTGTAAAGACTCTCGCCACCGACGGAGGCCGAGCAACTGGCACGAAAAGTCTACGCAGCTGGACGCCACCACGAAATCACACTACGGAGGCAAGCATCACGAGGCACATGTTGTGAGGCGAAGAGTATTATACATCATATTCTACAACTCAAAGTGCTAGCCTTCGCCTAAGTCGCCGCTGACTAGCAAAGAAAGATGCCTTCCCCAGTGGGCATCCAGTAACGACGCCCGCAAATCAACGCTCTCCTCATCACTAAATTGTGCTCTGCGGCCATTCGTCAAGTCTGTCTCCGACGCCACTTGACTTGTGCCTTTGACAAGCACGACCGCCACCTGTGAGACCAGGAGAGAAGCCGCTCATAGAGAGCGGGTTGGAAGAGAAGTGTCAGCCGAGGATAGTGATGCCAAGCATCGCGAGCTGACTGATCCCTACGTTGCACTTTGTTTGAGCTCCTAGAGTGCCGTGTCCATGTCATTGTGAACTGGCGCACCCATCCTCTCTCCATCTCCTTTTCCTCTTACTATTTGTCAAAACCTCGACGCAAAATAAGCCCTTGCATATGGCATAGGATTACTCCTCTTCCGAGTCGTCAGAAGACTCGCTATCATTGTCATGGACAGGAGCTTCATTCGCACGACCGGAACTGCCAGGGCGCTCTTGATCACCCTGTGGGTTCCCATCGTACATATTGCGAAGCCTCTCGAGCTCAGCGATGCGGGCTTCTTGTTCTTGGGCATTCATGGGCTTGTTTTTCTTAGGCTTGGCGGACTTGCCAGACGACTTGGAGGGAGCGTTGTTTACAGGCGATGGCTCGCGAGCTGGCGCAGTTGGGAGGCCGTTGGCGAATGTAGGCAAAGCCTTCTTGCAAAGATCCCACAGCTTGTGGAGCGCCTCATTGGTGAGTTGATCGATCTCGAGTTCAAGTTCACCACTGCTGTTCTCCTGCGACGTATGTTAGCAAAGGAAACCCAAACAGCAGCGCCAGTTTTCATACCGATTGACCAGTGTCCTTCTTAATAATGTCGATTGCGCGTTCAATGTGTGGACTCTCAAGATCGTTAATAGCATTCGCGATTGCATCCTTTTCAGGCTGTGTCATGTTGCGCTGCTTTGGCTTCTTGGACACACCGCCTCCGCTCTTCTTCGGCGCTGCGGCTGCGGCAGCCTTCTTGCTAGGAGCGCTGCTGGCCTTTTGTTTAGTCGGCTTTGGCGGCTTCGCCTTTGCCGCCTTGGCTGGCTTCTGAGCCACGAGGTTCTGCTTCTCCTGCAAGATACGCGACCGAATGGTACTGATCAGAGACTGCGAGAGGTCGATCATGGTATCACCAGCGATGTCGGCCGTCTTGTAAAGCTGCGCGAGGTTCTTAGTCTCCTCCTCCAGCCGTTTTTCCAGCATCTGAATCGTCTTGTTGGTCGCATTGTCAACTGTGGTGGCGGGCGCCTCTTCCTCCTCTTCCTCCGCTTCATCTTCGCTTTCACGACTCGAACCGTCAGAGACTGGTTTGGCGGGGGTGTGCTTGGTAATCCACTGGTCCTTCTTTGACCACAAGTTCCTGAAGATGAGCTCAAGCTGCTGGCCTTGTTCATAGACCGGCTGGCCTGGTTGATTGAACTTGTAGCAGTTCTTGAAGACCTGCTTGATGTCCGTCTGGAATTCCTTGATGTTCTGGTAGTCATAGTTCTTGAGTTTAGTCATAATCGTACCCAAGTCCATGGGTCGCTTGATGATGGTGAAATACGTCGGGATTGCGAGAGCCACTGGATCAACCGGGGCAAGGAATGCGAAGTTGCAATGGGCGTTCTTAGGGTCCATCAACTCGCTGAGAACTTCGAAGGCAAACTGGAGCTCAATTGGCAGCTTCTTCTTGTTGAAGTTCTTTGCGGAATAGTCTGGGTCGCGGTTCTTGGTGGGCTGGATAGCGCGCTTGGGTCGGTCCAAGTCGTTCTGTGTTGAGGCGCGGCGAACCTGCGGCACGCCTCCAGGAGGAACGGCGTAGGCCTCGGCCTCGGCCTTTGCGGGAGGGCTTGCAGCTGGAATGCTTGGCTGTCTACGGACCGGAGGCGGAGGGGCGGATGTTCGTGACTCGGAGTGGCGCGAAGGCTTGGGTACTGGCTTCGATTTTGCGGGTTCGGCGGAAGGCACATCGCAGACTCGTGTCCAAGCGAGCTTCACAACGCTGAGCGCAGCAAACGTGATCTCGTTGTTAATGCCGTTGAAAATGACCGAGTTCTTGTAAATCTTGCCCAAATCATCCTTGAACTGACGCAAAGTGCTGTATTTGTTGTCGCGCAGGTTGCGCTCAAGCTCGCCAATGTCCATGGGGTTGTTAACGCGCATGACATAGCTGTCTGCGAGACTGGGCCACATCTTGACCACGGCGTCCTTGAAGTGGGCGCCGTGCTTGGTCTTCTTCACTCCGGCCAACACCTTGCGAAACTCTCGTGTTTGATGAGACGTGAGGGGTTTGGGATCACGCTCAGGGTCGTTCCAGAGGGGGAGGTCATCGAGAGCCGCATCGCCCTTGGCCAGATCGTCCTGTGCGCCTTGAGGCTTCACTTCCACCGTGGATTCGATGACTTCCAGAGCCGAAGCCTCGTCGTTTGAATCTGTCTTTGCGCGTTTGGGCGCAGGCTCAACGTCGGCGTCGTCCTCTCTTTCGCGGGAGACCTTGCTTGCTGCTGACGGAGCCTCGGTCATGGGCACATCGGTATCGGCAGGCTTCGAAGATTTGTCCTTGTCACTGTCAATAGCCAGTTGCGACAAGCTTGCTGGTTGAAGATCTACCTCTTTTGCCGTCGTAGCCGACGTAGTGGGCGATGACTCCGCCTTCTTGGTTCCATTCACCTTCTCCTCTTCTTGAGTCATGTCGACGTCCTTGGGCTCCGTTGCGCTCTTGGCAGGCTCAGAGGCCTCGGCTGTCTTTTCAACCGACTTCTCATCCGTCTTGTCGTGTGTCTTCTCATTTGACTCCTTTTCCGACTTTGCCTCGGGTGCATCAGGCATGTCGACATCCTTGGATGGCTCAGCAGGAGCAGGACTTGCCGGTTTGCTTTGCACCTTCGACGGCTCCTCGGGCTCTGCAGACTTGGGTTTCTCGGACGACTTGTCAGCATCCTTAGATGACTCCTTGGCAAGCGCGTCTGTTTCGGCGTCCTTGTCCTTTGACACACTCATGTCCGCATCATCCGACGCCTTGATCGCATCTTGTTTTCCGTCGCCATTAACGATAGGCGACTTCGCGGGCTTCTCAGCCTTATCGTCAGTCTGCTCGGCAGGCGAAGCGTGACTAAGAGGGGTTGTGTCAGCTGTTGGGTCTCTTTCACAAAGAAATAATGCGCGCAAGCACGAGCGTAAATATCATTGCGACATTTGGCATATAGCGCGCCAATCATGAATTTGACTTACCCGTTAGTCTCGGGCTTGCTGTCCTCCTTGGCGGGTGTAGACTCGGTGGGCTTCTGATCCGAGGTGGCGCGTTCTGACTGAGGTGACGCCATGACTGCCATGTGATAATTGCGGTGAGGGCAGAGTTACTGTGCGCGACGCGACATGAAAGTAGCGGCGCGCGCAGGTGGTATTTGGATGACGGCGATGGAGTGATGTGGATAAACGATGTCGATGGATCGGGAGCCTGGCAACACGTTGTTCTCGGACTTCAGGTTGAGGAGAAAGTTGGAGAGCGGTTTGTCAAACGGCGGGGTTGGGAGGGTCAGGCGCGGGGCAGGAGCGAAGTCGCGTCGAGGATGTGATTGATGCGGAAGGCACTTGATGGGGCAGGTGTAGTCGCAAGATGCCGCCGTCCAGGGAAAGAAGCTGGGGACAGGACAGGTGCGTCGCGATCCGTGACTGCGCGCGCAAGACAATTGCGACCACAGTTGCCAGGGATGCAAGTATCAGGATGGGCGCGAAAATGTTTGGGGAGAGAATCCGCGAGTGCGCTGGCGATGATTGACAAGGCGCAATTGATATTAGATCGCAATGTCGCAGACTGAGGTGATCGTCGGTTGCGGCAATGATGCGATGAGATGGGGGTGCGAGGTGAAATGGTTAATCCGGCCGTGTCGCGTCGCGGGTGTGGAAGGTGCTGCCGTGGAAATTTTGGGCGATACGGAAAGGTGGAGGAGGGACCTGAGCGGAGGAAATCGCGTGCACGTCAGTGGTTTTTGGCCGAGATGGCGGCGCGTGGTATTTATGAGAAAGGGCGAGCTTGGTAGGGTGGTCCCCGGAGAGCCGGTTATCTGGCCTTATCGGGGGAGAGGGACGAGAGCGCGCAATCGCGGCTGGCGACTGCTACAGAAGGGGTGCGGCCTGAAAACAGTGGCAGGAAAAAGAATAGTGGCACTCGTTGGGCAGGAAAAGACCAGACAGCGAGAAAGGTCAGAAAGAGGTGGTCAATGCGTCGTGGGTGATCGACGACTGGGGGGTGTGGGCGGTGGAAGAGAGGCCAGCCAGCCAGAGAGAGGTCAGGCAGGTTGGAGGTCGGAGGGGGGTAGGAGGAGGGAGGACTTGGGAAAAAAAAGAGGGAAGAGATCGTGAATTTGCGAGGAAATGGTTGGAAGCGCAAGTTGAATGGGAAGGGGCGGACCAGGGGGGAGGGGGTCAGAGGGTGACATAAAAATGCATATTTATGCACGCTATGAAGGCACTAGCCAATGAGGTGATGCCTGTGCTCACGGTTTTGGACTAAAGGCGCGAGGCTGGAAAATGTGACTGGGCCCGGGATGCGATGTGGACCGTGGACGGGTGGAAATATCGAATGTGTGATGCGACACGGGAAGGCGTGTTGGACGAGTGTTGGGGGGACGAGGAGAGCCGGCGTGAACGGAACGTCTTCGTCAACTCACCTGTAGCTAACAGGACTTTTGTCAACGTCTTCTTTACTTTTTGTCCCTCTCCCGGTGTGCGATATCTAAACATGCAAGAAATGGTCAGTATCGGACTTGCGGGAGAAGGAAAGTAGCTGTGGCTGAGCTCGTCGATCGTGTAAGAAGAGGTGAGCGAGGCTGGTGGAGCAATGAGGTGAACATGATGCGCGACTGAGCCAATGCAACAAATGCCAGCCATCGCGACGGATTCCAAACGACCAAGCGAGAAGCAGCATTCAGTTCGTTGGAGGTGCAGCAGGTCTGGAGTGCAGTAACATGTTTTCTCATTTCTGATCAATATACACGACGTGACCCAAATGCAATGACTTGTGGTGGTTTGCGCGTGTTGCTATGCCTTGCTCGGGGTGAAGCAGGATCAACGCTGTCCGTCAAGGAGTAGAGAGAAGGTGTGGATGAAGACGCAAACGTAGCACCGACAGCAACACGACGCGTCGACGCGATGGAGACGAAGCGTCGCGTTGGTGGTGGCAGCAGTAAGAGGACGAGAAAGACGTGCTGGGATCGGATGCGACAGGGAACAAAATCGGTACGTACCGGAAAATGACAAGCTCGAGAACGACAACTGCACTGTCCGGAGCGGTGCTTGGTGCAGGTCTCGTGACAGATCAGATGACCGAAAGCTTCCTTTGGAATTTTTCCAGGACTTTTTTGCATCAAAAAGCGCAAAAATCTGGATTCGGGGCCACTTCTTATTTGTAGGAACCCGCCAAGTCGCGCTGACCCCAGTCGCAGCTCGACCGTTTACCCTGGCCAGGGCATGCGACAGGGATAGCTGCACCCCTTTTCACCAATCACGGTCGAGTGGTGGATCTGGATGAGACAGATGTGGCATAGCACAGCGAGACGGGTCCACGCCTGCTCGAGCGGCATGTTGACCAATCATCGTGGCTTAGAGCTCTGGATTGAGGGAAGCAGCTCCCATGAGCCAATCAGCCATTTGGTGACCTCGTTTGGCCCTGGATTGCTTGGTTCGGCGTCCAGCCACCGGCTTGAGGCTTCCGCGTTTTCGCGAATAGCTTCCATCCAAGTTTTAGGCTCGGCGCACAGCCACTGCGCCTCATTGCAAAGCTCGTCGTTGCACGTGTCTAAGGCATCATAAAGCTGTATGGCTGAGAGTAAGTCTCCAGAAACAAAAAGAATACAATCGTATTGAGAGTTTGGGGAGCAAAGGCTACCTTGAGGATGCTAGGCATCAAAACGGGTGCTTTGTGGACTGGGTTTCTGAGAAGTGAACTCTGGGCCCTGGCTAACTTTTAACGACATGTGCAGGCTGCAGAGGCCTGGCAGCTGCTAGTCGGCGCTCGCCCACGTGACGGGCACACGCCAAGGTGGGTGCCCAAGCGCTCGTCTGGGTCATTAGCTAAGCACGAAGGACGTGCTCGGATATACAAAGGTCCGACTCCGTATATCGTCGGCTCTCTACCGCCCAAAGATGCCCCACTCGAATCCCTTATGTCAGCATCTCCCCGCGGGCGGTCGTGTGCGCCGAACCGAAAAAAATTGGCAGCCGGCAGAAAAAAAAAGTTCAGGCAGGTCTCTCATTGCTGTTGGAGGTGAGGACCTCGATCACGACTTTTTCCCACCTCTTTTCCCACCACCAACATTACCACCACCCCAACTTCTTTAAGATACCCCAATCGTCACAATGTCTTCGAGGCGAAGATCATCCGGCAAATTTGCGGCTCCGGTTGTGAAGTCCACTCCCAAGGCGTCCAAGACGACAATTGACGAGAGCAGAGCGGCAGTCTCCGCGACGGACTCTTTACAAGCCGTGATGAAGGGCAACAACGAGGCGATTGAGATTTCCTCCGACGAGGATAGCGAAGAGGATGTTTCAGACGAGGAGATGGAGGCACCCGAAGCCGGCGACGCAAAGGAGACGGTGAACGGCAAAGAGGACACTGCCGCCGAAAACCCCACACAACCTAAGGCCGATGCCGAGGGCGCAGAGGACGAGGAGGAAGCAGGATCGCCCACCTTTGGCGAACTCCTACGAGGCACCATCGACGTTCCCGCGATTCTGTCGCAACAAGGAGACTCCAGCAAGGCCGTTGTCTCGCAGTCATCAAGAAAGAACCTTGCCCCTCCATCGCTATCCTCTCTGAGCACCGTCCTCACCCAGGCGCTCAAGACCGAAGACACCGACCTCCTCGAATCCTGCCTGCAAATCACCCACCTCGAGACCATCCAGCAGACGATTGAGCGCCTCGACAGCAGTCTTGCCGGCATTCTCCTCACTAAGCTCGCCGCTAGGTTCCACAGACGGCCCGGTCGCGCAGGCAGCCTCATGACCTGGGTGAAGTGGACCCTTGTCGCACACGGCGGCGCCTTGGCCGTCCAGCCCAAGGTCCTCGAGCGGTTAGTCTCTCTACAAAAGGTCCTCAGCGAGCGCTCGCGCGGCCTACCTAGCCTACTCGCCCTCAAGGGCAAACTGGATATGTTGGAGGCGCAAATGCAGCTGAGAAAGGGACGGCAACGCAGGGGCGGCGCAAACCAGTTTGACGACGCCGAGGACGACGAGGAAGAGGGCGCCATCTACGTTGAAGGTGAGGAGGACGGCGAGGAGGATGCCAACATGGCAAACGGCCTCGGCTCAAGGAAGGCCTTGCTGGCCGACGACGATGACGACGAGGTCCCCGCCACGAACGGCTTCATCGGCGACTCGGACGACGAAGATGATGACGAAGATGTTGCTGCGGCGGAGGACGAGAGCTCGGGCGAGGAGGTTGTTGATGAAGATGAGGTGGACCACGATGATGTCGAAGACTCGGATGACGACGATGACAGCGACGCGGAGGCCGCGCCGCCGGCTAAGGTTCAGAAAACTGCTTCCTCATTTACCAAGAGAAAATAAGGGGTGAGTCGCTCCAGGTGTTGCGACTCGGTAGAGGGGGGAGGGGGTCTTAGAACGGCACATAGACTTGGCTTGGCCGACAATTGACATAATATTGTGCAATAGGGCAAAAAGATGCGTTATATGGAGTTCTTGGTCATCAAAATCAAAGGGTACCTGGAGTTGCTGAAAAAGAGTGACATCGCATCGCCCATATCACTTTCTCATGTGCGCCCTTTGAATCGAATTGGTGAGGTATCCAACACTGACGTTACCAAGCCTACTTAAGTGACTACTGATCAAATGCGAAAACGGAAGTGTCTACTCATTTCCGCTTCTTGGGCTTGGATCTTCATTCCCATTCATATGGCCATTGAACTTTGTAGCCGCGTTTCTTGGGCATCTCTCGCCGATGAGTCCCGGCGAAACGGCTCACCGCGGCTCCACATTCCCCCTTTGGGATACGGAGGCACGAACCTCCATGTCCAGATCCACTGCAGATCTCCTCTATAATAACATCCCCGCCAACCACGAGCTAGGATTGCAACCTCGATCGACTCAATTGACATCGTAGCCAGTGAGAGTGAGACACTATGAAGGGCTATCAAGAGTTGTTCCTTCCGTTAGCCGCATGTCCCGGATCGCGGGGGTGCTGGGGTAGCTATTCCCAAAGTCCATAAAATGAACTGCCAGCCCACTTCATTACAAGGACTTTGTTTGCTTTTCGATATCCTCACCAGCACCCAATTGAAGACCTCCAACCAAGGGTTACTTTCACAATGCTGTCTCCTCTCTTCTGGGCCACCGCCCTCCTTCCGGCCCTAGCCTCCGCCGCCTCCCTCCAACAAATCACCGACTTCGGCCCCAACCCCACAAACGTTTCCTTCTACCTCTATGTCCCAGACTCCCTCATCCCTAACGCGCCCCTCCTAGTATTCCCGCACTGGTGTCACGGCACCGCCCAGGATGCCTTCAACTCGAAGCCCTGGCGTCCGCTTGCCGACGAGCTAGGCTTCGTCACCATCTACCCCTCAACCCCCTGGACTGCCGACTACTGCTGGGACGTGTCCTCGCCGCAGACGCTCTCGCACGAGGGCGGCGGCGACTCGCTGGGCATCGTGAGCATGGTCCGCTGGACGCTCGAGAACTACGACCTCGATCCGGATAGGGTGTTCGTCACGGGCGTCAGCTCCGGCGCGATGATGACCAACGTGCTTGTCGGCGCGTATCCCGACATATTTGCTGCAGGCTCGGCGTTCGCGGGCGTGCCGTTCGGGTGCTATGCCGCCGATGGATTCGCGGTGTGGTCTGACGACTGCGCAAATGGGAGGATTACCCACACGGGCGAGGAGTGGGCTGCCATCGTTCAAGCCGCGTACCCGGGATACGCGGGGCCGAGGCCGAAGCTGCAGGTCTTTCACGGGGACGTGGACAATGTGTTGAATGTGACCAACTTTTACGAGGAGATCAAGATGTGGACAACAGTGTTGGGTGTGGGGAGCACACCAACGGAGGTTGTGGAGAATGACCCGGTCGAAGGATGGACCAAGAGCGTGTATGGCAACAGGGGGTTATTCGAGGCTTTCCTGGCGCATGGCATTGATCACAACATCCCTGACCAGCCCAATGAGGTTATTAGGTTCTTTGAACTGGACTGCGTTGGCGAGAGTTGTTTCTCGCGCAAGTCGTTGCCCGTGCCAGGGACTTGTGTAAAAAGACGGGGGGTCAAAAATGCTTGAAGACGGTTATAGCCCGAGTGGTGGCAGGAGAGATGCAATCAGATTCAAGCAGTTATCTCCTATGAGAAGATTGATTCAGCTATGTTCATGTTGACGTGTGTACCGATCTAGCTTAAGGGGGAGACGGAGAGGAGGGGTCATCATGCCATGACAGTTTTTCCAACACTTGATCGTGTGCTTCTCTTCGCACAAAGGACATACATGAATAGCTCAAGTGCTTTTCTAGGTTGTCTAAGCCCCTAATTTGCCTTACCCTTGGACGATTGCAAATTCCACCTTTACCCAAGTGGCCTTACTGGAAGTCAGCATAAAGGATCTTTAGGTAGCTGCCGTATTCACCACTGTTGTAGATTGTATACTCTCTACGGTTCACGGTCTCCGGTTGGCCCAAAGTGTAAAGCTTGGGCTGCTTCTGGACGCCCCAACCTTGCACAAAGAGAGTCAATCATTCTCCAGCTTCGTAGTGAATCGCGATTGGTCAGAAAGGGATGTTAATCGCGTCCCATAACTCCTGTTCTGTAATTCCGGCCGTGAACAACCGCTATAGTCTTCCATATAGGTGGTTGTCATCTGGACTACGATATATGAGCCGGCCTACGGGATACTAGATGTCCACTAATAATCCAGGTTCCGGTTAACCGGAGTGGGAAATCGGAAACTCAAACGTGCACTGCTACTACAGTAAAGTCACAATAGCACAGGGCATATCAAAACTAGCCAACTGGTGGAGGTGGGGACACGACGCCTTGGATATCTACATCGGTGATTTGGCAACTGCTCCTTCAGCCAGCCAATTGAGATCAACGATTCTCGCCCCATCGTATGGTACCAATCAGTTGAGAATTCTTTCTTGGTGTTATGCTCCGTCAACCCCTCTTCTAATACTCGATTGCATGATATACTCTCATTATCTAAAAGCGTTCTTGTTCGGAGACTATTTTGCTAAATTTAGCCCATTACGGGTTCGTGGGTGTGACGGTAGTGGTGGTGAATTTAGCGCAATTTTGGCCTTGTTCAGAGACAGTAACCTGCGCTTTGTCATCGTGGCCGTTCAAGCAGGCGCCATTGGCGGCGACAAGGTTGTTGCCTTGCTGGGCCACGAACTCGATGTTCTTTGAAGCGCAGTCCTCGGCGCGGAAGGCTGTACCGTTGAAGCCAACACAGGCTTGCTTGTTGACGAGGTCGGGTCTGAAGCCATTGCTGAACGAGCGCTGAACGAGAAGCACGTCCTGGCCGTTTCTTGTCGAGGGCGTGATTTGTCTGTCGGCGGCAGTGTTGACGCACGCAGCGTTGACGATCTCGCCTGGAACGATGTTAGTCAGGTGCATGAGGTGTTGATCCGATCTTCAAAATCACCATTGTTGCGGAAAGTGAGGCACTCGTTTCCAGGTACACCATCCTGCTCTTTGAATACGAGAGTATTTGAGCCGCGGTTGACGGCCTGACGCTTCGAAAGATCCTCGGCGGGCATAGCGGCCACCGAGGAGGTGAGGACGAGGTAGAGAGCCGTGGTGAACTTCATTTTTATCTAAAGGTTAAAGTGATTTGACGAACTCTAAGTGGGATAGTATGAGTATTAAAATGATACAAGGACCAGCCAAAATGAAGATCAGATTCAAGATAGAAGTTGAGTGAGCGAATGGAATGATTTTCATGATAAGAGACATTGAGCCGAGCGGGCGTCACGATACCTTTAAACTATTTTCCTGCCATCTTCAGACTGGAGACGTTAAGGAAGAAATTAAGGTTGATGCGACATGAAGCACGTCTACAAAGCCCCCATCCGGACTACTCCGTGTGACCTTGATTACCCTGTCTATCGTTATACGAAAAATCTGAGGTGACAGCGGCCCCGGCCCAAACAGGAGGCCAGGGGAAGAATAGGCGGAGTTTTGGCCTGTCACAGCTTTTTGAAGAACAGGGGTGCTTTGACCCTGCCAGCTGTCTTAGGCCGCAGGTGGTCACTCCTCCACCACGGCCATTCGCTGAAACGTCTCAAAATCTGCTCCATTACAGGGGTTGCGCCGCCGAGTCTGGGGAACAAGCGCCAAAAGGCGTAGTTTCACCATTGTCTTCTCGGGGTTGTTAGGGAGCCGCATAGCTCGAGAGTGGCTGTCAGTTATGTAATGTTGGATCTTGCGGTCTCAAAAGATTGGCTGACAGCGCGGTAGATAGTCCAGATTCGCGTATCCAACCGGCGATCCCAGGTCCCTGGGGTCCGGGTGGGCTGTTGCTTGGGCCTGCACGTCTCAGTTCCCGCCGAAGGCCATGTTTCCTTGTGTCGGCGGAAATGTCTATTAGAACCTAGTTGCGGTTGTTTGCAGCGAGGTGGCGGCACTGATCTTCTAGGCCAACAGCGTGGCAGCCCTCGATATTGATACCAAGCTGTCTAGTAACATGCCGCCGTTCGGATTTTCTGTGAAATGGACGACATTAGGTGAACAAGTTTTGCAGATGATAATAATAAAAAAGAATCCAAAAAGACGTGGCCTAGTCTATGACACTCTCTATACGTAACTGAGACTTCTATATGTTTTATGCCATTGTATCTTGCGATCATTAATTGTCCACGTCGTAATCAAGTCAACTTCCACCTTGATGTGCTGTTTGACCATGATATCGTTTATTTATGTCGTCGTAATGCGGTCTCAAGTTACGTTCTTACGCAATATCATGGAAACGGATAGTTGAGCCGCAAGCGCGATTTGACCTAGATCCCGAAAACACTTGTGATCACGAGCTAGATAGAATCCTCATACGTGTTGCGAGCCATCATGGTTAGTTGGTTTGAGTGGCCCCTGCCTCCTGCTTAGACGGAAGGCAGTGTCTTCATTGGACATGAAGTATCTCGGACATTTTCGGACGATAATTACGTTTTGGGTGCTTGAAGCCACGCTATCAAAAGGTAATCAAAAGATCATTGATTGGTTTAAGAAGACTGTAATGAACTTTTAGAATTACAGCTCTGTACATACAATACAAATTTAATACAATGATGTTCAAAGTAACTATTTGTATATGCAGTCTAGTTTTTGAATACTTCTGCCCAGTGATTGGAGAATAGCTAGGTAAAGCTAACTTCGATCCCATAATTACGCACCCCCCTGCCTGTCAACACTAAGCCAAAACTGGTCCTAACGGCTGATTGCTGTTGGAATGGCTATGTAAGGTACCCGATGATGTTGTCGTGCAAGAAAGAACTATGGAGTCAAAAGCGGACTTAAGGACCGGATACAATACTTTATGTCCTGGACTATCCCCGATACCGCCGCAGTTTCCCAAGTAGCTATGTTTAAGTAACCGAACAATCGAAGAAGTCAACAACTGAAGACACGCCAACACTCTTTTCTATTCACTTCGATACAGTAGTCTGTTTCTTTAGCAGTTTTTCTTGTCTATCTAGTCCCAGCATTGTAACGCATGATGGCTGCTCTCAAGCCTGTTTATAATCTGCCCGATGATGCAGTTTGGTTTAGTGAGTACCATCGAATTCATACTGAGCTAACTTCCTCAAATGAACCCCTTTCCTTCTCTCAATGGAGTGTCTAATATACATGACCCAGTTACCGGCTGTTCTTCTGGCATGGGTCAAGCTCTGGCACAAATCGTTGCTTCACACCCAACCCAGCGCTTAGTGGCCACAGCACGCAATGTGTCCAGATTGAGCGGCATTGTCCCTACAAATGACTCTCGAGTCCTTTTGACAGCTCTGGATGTCAACAGCGCCGAATCTATCAAGGCCGCGTTCGACTCCGCGGTCGCTACCTTCGGCCGCATCGACGTTGTTGTCAACAATGCAGGCTATGGTCTGATGGGTGATACCGAGTCATTCGTGACGAACGCTGAAGATATGGACAAGGCTCGCAAGATCGTCGATACGAATTTCTGGGGCACCGCCCAGGTGTCCGCCCACGCCGTGCGCGTCTTCCGTGATGAGAACCCCAAGAGCGGCCAGGTTGGCGGCGTGGTGCTGAACGTCACATCCATCGGTGGTTTCGCTGGGTTCCCCGGCAGCGCGTTTTACCACGCCTCCAAGTTTGCAGTGGAAGGTTACACCGAGTCTCTGAGCAAGGAAATGCGCCCTGAGTGGAATAGTAAGCTCCCACCCCCCTTTTTTGCTGGGTCTAAGGCTGTGCACGCGATGGAAATACATCCCATTTATCCGTCATGAGGCTGATCGGAATCCTTCGCATAGTCCACTTTTGCATCGTCGAGCCCGGTGGCACAAAGACCAACTTCGCTGGCGACAACATGTCATGGCTCTCTTCTCACCCGGCTTACACGGCACCTGACACTCCTACCAGGCTGCTGGAAGGTTACGTCAAGAGCCCAGACATGCAGGCAACCTGGGCGCCTAGTGAGCATGTCGCCGCTGCCATGTATGAGGTTGTCGCTCGGAAGCAGGCCATTCCGCTCCGGCTTCCCACTGGCGCACCAGCTTGGTCGGTGATCAAGGACAAGTGCGAGGAAGTGGACAAGGCACTGCTTGAGATCAAGGATCTGAGTTTCGCGGTTGACGATGGCTTGGTCAACAAAAGTGGCGAATTCCTGAATAAGACTTTCTAAAGAAAACCATGGTATTCTGATAAAGTGCTGGCCAGCACCTGAACATGTTGTACTACTTTTGAACACATTAGAGATAAAAGCGTTAAAGGTTGCCCTAGAATTGTACCTGTCATATAGTGAAGTCTGCTTTAGTGTTGTCAAGATTCCGCGGGCGCATCTAGGTTTGAAAATGTTCCGGTTTTGTATCCCTACTTCCGTGGTATTAAGCTCCTGATGTCACGAAAACAACTGATCGTCTCTGATGAATGGATTGTTACAAGAATCATTGACGCCGGTGAATTGACAACGCTTAACGTTGGCAAAACACCAAATATAATTAGTTATGTTTCCTTCTAGAACGGTTGCCTAACATCAACAACCGTACTCTTTATATCTTTCTAGTTTCTTGAGATACGTTTTGTAGTGTTGATTCGACGATGATACGACATTTCTTTTTGCAATCTTCTGGTGGACAACCAAGCCATTTTAAGGAGATTTTGTTTGGACCACAAGAAAATGCGGCAGGTCCACACACTCAGGTTTCAAGAGAACCGCACACGACTGTAAATTCCACTGATCCCTTGCTGTCTAGTTGTGATTACTGACGCATTGAAAAGGGTAAGAGAATGCGCCTTGGGTATTAACGAGACTGGACTGTGACGATGCCCCTTGGTTAATCCATGCAAGCTGTCATGCACGGACTAGGTCGCCGGTTTCTCCAATGATTCGCTGCGTTGAACCTCGCAACTATTAAGTAGGTCGAGGAAATAGCATGCACTAGATAGGTTGGTGCAACATGCAAGCCATAGTGTTTGATGTGTTCAGGTTCAAATGGTGAGTCTGCTGAGCCTCGCCAAGTAGCTCTGAATGAGAACCCAAGTGTGTCTTCACGGCCCCACGACGACACACCTTTCAAAGGAGCATAACGCAGAAAATGAACTTCATGGAACGACTGTCTACTCAACACTTTAACCAACCGCATACAACACAGAGAGACGATAAAATTCCCTCAATAATAGAATCCTGATCAATAACAATACTAATGAAACAAACCAATTGACTTTGTAAGCAGTGGCCAGTGGTCACAAAGACCTTGATCGAGACTGCTACGTTGACAGGGATCACCGCGTCATTTGGTCCTTGAACCACTGCGCACGGGTCCTCTTTTGGTCTTTTTACGAGGATTTTACAGTCTGCAAGACAAATGCGTAACTATGTTCGGGAGAGGAATTTACGCCCTAAGGTGTTTCGGGTCTTCTTAGTACCACGAGTCATGAGTTAGACCTAACGGCAGCGTCGGCTGCGCTACGACAGAACTGCGAACTCTGGGCCGTGGCACGCCAGACAGTAAGGTTTCCCTTGGTCTGGAATTGATGAGCGGCACACGCCGGCCGTCTTGGTAGTCGCTAAAAATAACAGCCGACGGCGAGGGCTCGGTGGACTAAGAGATACAAGTTGTATATGCTAGTGGCTTACAGTTTACAGTACCGGGTCATAAGTCTGGACACAGCAATAAGGATAACCTAATCAACATCCACAGAAGGAAACCATTACCTTGGGGTCACTTCACAGGGCACCACCAGAAGTCCTCTCTGTCTTACCACCCCACTGTAATTAGCTCTTGATTGGGCTATCCTTGTTGCTGTGCCCAGACTTATAGCCCGGTAGTGTAGATGGCACGACTCTGCCCCAAACTTGCCTAATGATGCTGTCAAAGTTAAGGGATATGGAGAAGTTCATGACGGCAGCTTGGGCCACAACAGCCGGTGGATGATGCTAAATCAAGATGGGATCGACTCTATTCATATAGGTACTCCATGCGCTCTGCCCCAGACTTGCCTGATGACGCTGTCGAAAGTTACGAGGTATAAAGGACTTCATAACAGCAACTGGGGCCGCAACAGCCGGTATGATGATGCTAAATTAAGACGGCATCGATTCTACGTATATAAGTACTCCATGCGCGCGGGACGCACTATTCCTGATGCACTTTTTCCAATGCACTCGCGGCCTTGTCCTTCGACTACCCAGCCTCTCTACACTCCTTTGTAATTTACAGTCACTCATTATACAGTGTCGTTCACTCCTTACATTCGTTCAAAATGCATTCGGGCGGCCTTCTGTGGTGGCTTGCCGTGCTCCTCCTGAGCAGTGGAGTCTTGTCCCTCCCTCGTCAGGATGAATGGCATGATCTCATTCATAGGAGGCATCAGATCCTCGCTAGACAGCATCCCCTGTCCAACACCACAAGACCAGCAAGCACAGCGACGTCTACACAACCCCTCATCACTCCGGACCCCAGGTCGTCCACCCGCATATCGTCGGCACTTACAACCATAGGGACGTCCAGCTCGGCCCCAGTAACATCGACCATCTCTGGCGACAAAGACACACCCGTTGTGGCCGTTATCGGTGTGACATATGTCGCTGGCGCCGGCGGTGCCTCCTTACTAGTGGGTAGCACGGTCCACACCCTAGCCCCCGGAGCCGTCGTGGCCATTGTAGGTACAGGGTCTAACGGCGACACCCCGAAATCGAAAACATCTCGAACCCAGCCCCGTCACAAAACCCGAGGACAACAGACCCAGCTTCCGAGTCCCGACCCGCAACCTCCGCCTCGTCAGGCCCCAGTTCCACCTCAGCGTCACCGACATCCTCAGTCTCGTCTACTGCGACGCCTACCCCATACATCATCCTCACATCGCAGAATGCCACTCGAGAACAGATCCAGAACCTCAACAGTACTCTCTCGAAAGATGCTACCCCCAACTCCTTGGAAGAGGTCACTAGCGACCGCACCGGTCTAGTGGTCTTCTTCAAAGCAAACATCACCTCCGGGCAGGCGGATGTCATCACAAAGCTTGACGGTGTAAGTTGGCTCTCCGAATGTTTCTATTAACAGCCTACTAAAGGACGATCCGTGTTAGGTTGGTGGCGTAACTCCAGACGAGAAACTGGAAGAAGAAGAACAGCCTGCCTCGTCGGCACCACCCTCGTCAACATCGCATCAAGCAACAGCTACTGGCCCACACGGCTCGCCGAAAACCACAGTCCCGAACCCGACCGACATTGGGCTACAAACAGGCGCCGTGGACGAGCTCAAGGCCATCTCTCAGCCTCCCGGGTCGAGTCTCGCTGACCTGCCTGGTTTCGGATATGCCTCCGAGGCAGGGAAAGGAGTCACCATCTACGTGATTGACACCGGCGCCAACGCCCAGAATACCGTATGGCCCTCATAGTATGATCAATGTCAAAGATCAGTCGCTGACAGGTGATATCAGGAATGGACCGGCATGCCGGGGACGAAAGGGTTCATGTACGCCCCCGGTGCCACGAAGGACGAGTCCGACTTTTTAAACCACGGCTCTTGTGTTGCATCAAAGTCGGCCGGGCCTATGTACGGCACTGCAAAAGATGCCAACATGATCATGGCCAAGCTGCCCGGCGATCTCTCGCTATCCGCCATCTTCACCGTGTTGGTGGAGATTAGCAACGACGTCTACCAGAAGGGCATCGACGGAAAGGCGGTAATCAACATGTCCCTAGGATCTCGTAAGTCTAAAATCCCACTCACTCTTGTCAAGTCTCTTCAGCATAGCCTTCATCTGGGCGTTATCCGAAATTGCTACTAAATGCATCCGTCAGGTATTCCCGAGAAGCTTTCGTCGACCACAACCGCCTACAAACTTCTTCTCGTCGCCCTCATGGCCGAAGACATCGTCATAGTCACGGCATCAGGCAACGACGCTGTGAGTCCCCCTCAAGTCTCCCATCCTACACGCCTTTGATGCTAATGACCTACTGCAGCAATACGGTATCGACGATGTGACAGAGTACCCTGCGCTCTTCGGCCCCACCACGGACATCATCGTCGTAGGCGCCGTCGAAAACGACGGTTACCGCGCCTTCTTCTCGCAGGGCACCGGGGACCAGCTGACCGTCTCCGCCCCCGGCTTCGTCGACTGCGCCTCAGGCAGAGCCAGCGGCTCGCAAGAACTCTACGGCACCTCATTTGGTAAGTCTTCCAGACGCCCCTAACACCAGATATGGTCTTTAAGCCAGTTGCCCAATATACTAACGACAGTCCAACAACCAGCCGCACCGGCCGTTGCCGGTGTCATCGCAGTCTGGCTCTCTCAGGACGAGTACAAAGATCGCCTCCAGGTCCCCGGAAAAGTTGCCGCCAACGTCAAGGCCATGGTCCAGTCCCTGGCATACTCCAGAGTGGAAGGCGAGCCGGCCGTGATCTGGAACGGCATCGACCCCCGCGGGCTCGCGTGCACAGCGTCGGGGTCGTCTTCCAACCGACGGCGTCAGGCCGCCGCGTCGGGTTGCCAAGCAACCTCCGTGGCCCCGTCGAGCACTTCCGCGCCGCCGGCCTCGACTTCTGCGCCTGCTGCGACATCCGCAGCGCCCTCGGCCTCGGCCTCTGCCCAGCCCTCCGCGCCTCCTAAGCCTCAATGGGACGAGAACCCCCAAGGGTTTCAGAAGGTCTTTGAGGAAGACGGGGTTGCCAGTTTCGATTATGTTGCTACTTCTGACAGTGCGAGCGAGGGCGTCACGGACAACATCGAGCAGTGGTGCTTGGCCAAGTGCACTGGTGAGTTTCCAGCTATCATGTCCCTAGATAAGGATTACGAGGCCAAGGCTAACATTTACTTCAAACAAAGACCAATGCGCCTCCGTCTTTCTCTACAGGCAACTTCAACTCATTAACGGATCGTATAACGTGTATTACATCTGCAACAGGTACGTAGCCCTGAGCTCGGTGTGCAAACTAATCGCTAATGAACTCTCAGATACAACTCGGCATGGTCGAATGATTTTGTCCAAAACGGCATAAGCAGCAGCGATGCAGGAGTCGCATTCAAGTAAGCTCTCTCCCGGTCGGTCCATTGCACCAAATCATGTCTAATGCTGTAGTAGTAAGGTTTGAAGCCCGGTAGCATACCATGTATTTCTTTCTACATGATGTATCTTACCATGGCTTAATTAGATGGCTAGGGTTAAAAGCAGCACCTAGGAGAAGTCAAATATCATTTCCTTTATCGAATCATCCAGAAGTTCTTCACGTCTCCGTCGTACGGCCGGTCGAAGCTGGCCACCATGTTTTCTTCCAGTCACAGCCTGATAAAAGACGTTCATTGAGCTCGGTTACCTCAGAGTCATTATACTGCACATGAATTATCGATTCAATGGCTTGTTCAATTTACTTCGGCACCAGGAACTTCCAACGCCATATGACCACCCACTACACCACCGGTGTACCCTCAACGACGATATATCGTGAACCGGGGGGGGGGGGGGCTCGATTCGAGTTCTGTGGTCTTTCACCTACCTGCCTTCTTTAGGTTAGGGTAGATAGTGATAGAGGCCCCAAGCCGTTGAAAACCTCGAGGCTAGGCCCTTCACAATTTGTCAAACCCAAGTCTCTCAAATCGGCTGAGAATTTGCTATTGATTTGCCATCCTTTTATCATGAAGATTCGTGTTATCACGCGACATAGCTATATAGCGACCCGACCTAAAAGGAAATGATCTCATGTCTTTTATTTGTCTTATTCCGCTGGACCTTCACCCGGTTCCTCAGTCCCGAATCAGACTTATTGCTTGCTTCCCGTATCATTTTTTCAACCTCCTCGTCGTCTTTACGGGTAGACTTCTGAATGATGTCCTCAGTCTCGGCTGAAACAGCCTGGCTGATGGACATCCAGACATTGCCTATCCAACTAGCTTGTGTAAGCGTCAGGAAGAGCGTTGTTGTACAAAGGAGCAGGAAGAAGTGGATCCCAACCATGCCAACGACGATGCTGAACCCCAGCCATTGAACAGGCATGACCTTTTCTTCAGCCATGATGTACGAGGCCGGCGATGACCATTGGCGTCGAAATTGAGGAACATATTCGTAATATTCCATCTGCCGCGTGACTGTCAAAACTGCCTGTAGAGCCTCCGCCAAGCTTCCGGTCGTCTTCATGACGTCTTGAAAGAGTGTCGAATGAGCATAGTGCAAAGCACGTGAAGAGTCGCCGCCCGTCGGTCCTGCTTTCAGAGTACCGCATGGCAACAAGTTAACCTCATATTTAAATTTGCTCATGGAGGGCAGGCGAGTAGAGCTGGCGGAAAGTTTTACTCTCTCAGCGTCATGTTCACTCTCCCAAGAATCAAGCGTGAGAATGCCCCGTGAGTCGCTCGAAAGGGTTCCATTCCCGGGGGTGGAATATCTGTTTCGAATGACATCGACGTTGAATTGAGCAGTGGCGTTGTCCCAGGACAAGCTCGGCTCTGGCTCGTTGCTCTCGCTAGACATGCTAACGTTGAGAAAAGTGGCCCCCAGAGTGGTAAAACATGCGCTGACCGACATGCTGTAATTTGTCTCCGGCAGGTGGACGCGTGCCCATATTCCATCCGTGGATGTTGTCCAGTTTGCGGCGTCGGCTTCCCAAACAGCGCTGTTGCTTGCATAATCTGTGATAGTCACCTTTCCGAACTGTTGCAGAATCTGTCGCCAGGATTCTGCTGACCCAGTGCTTTTAAACATGAGAAAGATGTCGGTGCCCAAACGGCTTTGGGTGGCGCCAAAGGAGCTGTTGGAAAGTACGGGCAAGCCTTGGTATAAACTTCCACTGCTGTAACTACTGGGCGAGCATATCGAGATATCCCACGTCTTATTCTGCGTGTCTCCACCAGGCACAACGCAGCTGAATGCCCACCTGTCGAAACTGGACGGTGGCTTAACGATTAGGCCGTCGAAATCGTCAAGAAAGCCGAAACTGCCTCTTGCGAAGAACTCCTCGAAAGAGGGTTGGCCGCTACCACCCCCGCTGCTATAACCTTCGAGAGAGACATCGACGTCTGTAATGTTGGGTCGAACGCAGACTACCCTTGAGTCGAGAACAGCCGCCGGTCCCTGATATCTCCGCAAACGACTGCGGCTTGTTTCGGCCTCAAAAGGTGGAAGTGCCCGTAAAATACTCCCGGTGTCTTCGTAGCGATCAGACAGCTGCTCGCTACGAGGTGTTCTTGGGTGCTCGGCAAATCGGAAGTATGTCCATGGCTGCGAATTCCAGAGTTTCGACCCCTGGAGGGGGTCGTAGCCGCTAATGTCGCTATCGCCGTACAGTGACACATCGGCGGTCGTCTGTGGTGCAGTCACGTTCACTGCGGCGAAGTCGGATAGTAATGCTGTTGAGGCGAACTGAAAACCGGCTACCAAAAGAACCGAAACAACAATAGCGACAGTGTAGATGAGTCTATTCCGCCAAGGCATAGAAAACGTCGTCCAGGTGATGAGATTGTATGGCGAAGCAGACACAGCCCTGAGCATTGACATGAGCGGAGCTGAGCTGATGGGAACACCGGCCCTTTCGATCATGAGGGACGCTATCATTGCGGTGAAAACACCCATCTGAAGTGCTAGGCTTACGCGCAGCACAGCCGCGGTGATGGTGACAAACCTGGACGCCCAGTCCGAGAAGATGACGCGATTCCAGATCTGGGAATGCACGATCTCGCCATCTCTGGCACGCATCGACATCTGCCAAAAGCAGCCCAGGAGAATGACGGCCGCAGCAATGAGGAGAGTCCCGAAGACCATGATGCAAAGGCCCAACGTCCCGAGGGCTCTCCACTGGCTGCGTCTCGAGTTCTCGTCATTGTCGCTGGGAACGAACTCTGCCGTTTGGAGGAGATGAGTCTTAGCATGGCATTCGACTCTCGCGTCATCGGGAACATGGACTTCCTGCGGTTCGTCTGAGCTGGAGTTGTTGAGGTAGTGGCCCTGTGGTTCAAGCTCGTAGGCCGTAGAGTCGCGGGTAGAAAACGATCCCAGGCTGCTGACTTCGGATCTCCGAGCCTCGTCAGGCCGGACCGGTCGAAAGTTCTGCATGATGTCTTGGTGGTGTAACTGGAGGAATGATAAGATTGAAGCAGGCTGGGAAAAGGAGCAATGTAGACGGGGGCGGAGAATGGACAATAGCACATTTCCAACACACAAAGATGACAGTAGCATACAAACGGGACCTGGCTAGATATTATTTAAAGGATTGACCCTACTAGATACGTTATGCATCAATAAGGCTAGCTATATTCATCATGGATGACACCGGACAGGGGTTTGAAATCAGGCTGCAGGTCGCCACGCGGAAAAGAGGGTTGAAATCAGGCTGCATACACGACGTGGTGAGTGACCAACAGATAAGCCAACGAAAATAAACATATCAGCAGGAGGATTCAAGTAGCTCGCGGACAATAGCCGTGCTGGCATTGTTGGTCGCCGACCCCTCAGTCGGCTTGCCGGGAGCCTCGAGGCGGCAGCACTGGAGCTGCGGACAACGAAAAGCATCACCTAAGAAGGCAATAAAGCAGCCATAGCGAGGTGAGCAGCTAGATGAGTTGATTGCACTTGAACCATCTAGTTACATGCCACTTCAAGAAAGCTGTAGCCAAAGACGTGACTGGCGTTGTTGAGCGAAACACACTCGTCACCACAATCGAAAATTGGAAACTGTTTCCTCGATGCCAAAGCACAGCGTACATACACGGAACAAGTGTATTTGTCCATCAACCGTTATGGCCCGATGCCATTTTAGACGCCGTGTGCTGTATGCAATACCCACAGGCTCCCTAATCTCTACAGGAGCTGTATCCCAAAGCTCGACCCATCCAGGGCACCCAAAGCCATCCGAACTCTGCCAGACGTCGTCGTCTGTGACAACGCAAGCATAATGCTACGCTTAAAAGCAAGCTCCCATGAACCCCATTCGCAAACCTCACGACTCCGTTTCCATCTCCAAATCCGGGTCAACCTCCGTCCCCAAATCCCTGTCCTCCAAAAATCGCCGCCCGACGAGGTCATCCGGCAAATACTCCTGCCTGACCCTCCCCTCCCTATAGTTTGGCGGGTACTTGTACTCCGCGCCGTACCCCATCTCCCGCATCAGCCGCGTCGGCGCGTTCCGCAGGTGCAGCGGCACCGGCAACGCCGCCACGCCCGGCTCCTTCAGCGCCGCGTAGGCGTTGTTCAGACCCCGGTACGCCCGCGTGCTCTTCGGCGCAAGACTCAGCGCCACGGCGCAGTGGGCCAGCGGGATCCGCGCTTCGGGCATGCCGATCTGCTGCGCGGCTGTGTACGCCGCCGTCGCAAGCGGCAGCAGTGTGTTGTCCGCCAGGCCGACGTCTTCCGAGGCGATGACCACCATCCGTCGCGCAACGAAGAGTGGGTCCTCGCCGGACTGTAGCATGCGCGCTAGGTAGTATAGCGCGGCGTCAGGGTCGGAGCCCCGGACGGCCTTGTGAAACGCCGAGATGGTGTCGTAGTGCTGGTCGCCCGCGCGGTCGTATACCAAGGTCTTGGTTAGCGAGGCTTTGATGTCCTCCTTCGTGATCCCCTGCCTCGTCGAAAGCGATAGCGCAAGCTCCAGGAGGTTCAGCGCCGTGCGGGCGTCGCCGTCCGAAAAAGCGGCAAGGTACGTCACGAGCTCGGCGTCGATGAGCGGGCTTCCCGGGTAATTCTTCGCCCTCGTCTCCTCCTCGATCGCACGCAGCAGTATCCTCGCCACGTCCTCGTTCGAGAGCTTCGACAGCGTGAACGTCCTACACCGCGACAGCAGCGCCTGCTGCACCCTGAAGCTCGGGTTCTCCGTCGTTGCCCCGATGAGCGTGATCGTGCCCGCCTCCACCGGCTTCAGGAAGACGTCCTGCTGCGACTTGGAGAAGCGGTGTATTTCGTCGCAGAATATGATGGTCTTGCGCCCCGTGAGCGCCGACTCGTTGGCCGCATCGGCGAACAGCTTCTTGCATTCTGCGACGCCCGAGGAGGTGGCGTTCATCTCGATGAAGCGCGAGCCGACGCTCTGGGCAATGCACCGCGCAATGGTCGTCTTGCCCGTGCCGGAGCCGCCCCATAGGATCATGGAGGGCACGCGGTCCGACTCAATCAGCGAGCGCAGCACGCCGTTTGGGCCGACGAGGTCCTGGCCGCAGACCTCATCGAGGGTTTTAGGCCGCATGCGCTCCGCCAGAGGGGCGGCGCGGGCCGTCTTTGTGCGCTTGGCCACGGGGCCAGTTTCCGGCGGCTGCTGGGCCGCGTCGCTGTCTGTGTCGGTGGTGCTGGTCATCGCAAAGGGAGAGGGCGCGGCGCCGGGGCCGTCGTCGAAGCTGCGTTTTACGCCGGCCGTCGGACGGGCTGTGCCGCCGTTAGCGGGCGTAGTGAGGACTTTGGTCGGAGGGGCATGGCGCTTCGCGGCGGGGGTCTGGAAGAAGGAAGATGCGGGGCGTTTGGATTGAGACGAGAGAGCCGAATTGCCGTTGGCCTGGGTTGCTGTCGGAGGGGAAGAGGTACGTTCGGGGTTGAAGATGTGGTTCTCACAGCCCGAGTCGATGTGGGAGTTGATCAGCGTCTCCTTGACGGGCTTGTTGCAGATGGGGCAGTCGACTGCTGCCATTTTGACGGTGCTAGTATATTGTGACGCATGCAATGAAGCCGTTGAGCCGGTGTTGGCTGATACCGGGGAGTCTTCCGGATTCGCTGGCCGTTTTGGTCGGGTCGCGTGGTGCTTCGGTAGCGGGTGGTTGCAAGTCCAGATTCGGGTGGATTTCGAGGTTGATCGGGGAAGACGCGCTTTGGGGAATTTTCGAGTGCAATGACGCGCCCCCGTCAATTGAAAGTTGAGCTCCAAAATTCTAGTGGGGAACCAGGATGCGTCGCTCCGCACCAGCCGACGGGACGTGCCTGCCACTGCCGGGGATCTCACAGCTATCGGGTGAGTTCCCGACTGAAGCTTGGGGGTAGGGTCCGGCACTCGGATTCGGAGATACACTGTGCCATCCAGTGCCTGTTTCCACAACCCAAAAAGATGGATGCGATGAGCTCATTGAGTGGTCATCACGACAATCGTTAAGAAGATGAAAGATGCAAGATATCAAGATCTGAAATGAACAATTTGTTGATTCACGCCCGGTTGACGAACCGGGTCTTCTCGTAGGTATCATTACACCGGAAAACGCCTCCCAATGCCCATTCTTTATCCCACTTTGCTGCCCAGAACTGAGCGTGATGTACATGACGCCCCAGCATGATGTGATGCCAAATGCCGTCTACCGTCTAGTCTTTCTATGCCACAGACGGCGTTGATGAATAATACGTAAGTTTAAGCCATTGAGCTGGTCGCTAAAATAATGCACCCTCATGCTCTCTGTCGCTGGAGATTCGACCAGTCATATTACGCCTCATACCATGAAGGACTCGCCACAGCCACATTGCTCCTCTGCACGTACGTTAGCAATAATTCGTCAAACAGACGCAGCTTGGAGGGGGGGGGGGGGGGGGGGGGGGGGGGGGGGGGGGGGGGGGGGGGGGGGGGGGGGGGGGACTCACTGATGTTAGGGTTCTTGAACACAAACCGCTGGCTGAGCTTGTCCTCGACCCAGTCCATCTCGCTGCCAATGATGCTGAATAGCGCCTTGCTGTCGATCAACACCTTGACACCATCCTGCACGACCTCCTCGTCAAAGCTGCCGGGCTTGTCGACATACTCAAGGTGGTAAGCCAGACCCGAGCAGCCCCTGTTCCGTACGCTGACCTTGATCAGCTTCGGCTCCGGCTGGTCCAGCAGTGCGCGCAGCTGCTCCACGGCCGCGGGGGATAGTTTCATCGCCGCCTTGCGTGCGCGGAGCTTGCGCTGCGGGCGTGCCGCCGGCTTGGAGGTTTGAGCCGCTTGTTCGGACACCTTCGGCGCGGGGGCCGCGGCGCCGGCTGTTGATGCCGATGACGTCGTCGAAGCCTCGGAAGTTGTTGTGGAGGCGTTTGCTGGCGTCGTCATCGAGGACTGTGTCGCAGAAGAGGAGCTCGGTGTCAAGGGTTGGCGGGATGCCATCTGCGAGGGGATCTTGGGGGTCTCGTCTCGTTGACCTTCGGGAGGGGATCCGGCGTCGCGATCGAGCTCTCGGGAATGCCGTCACCTCTTGCGGGGGGAGGTGTGTTGTTCGAGTAGAGAGGGTATGACTGGAACGACGGGCTGCCGTAGGCGCGACGGGTGGAAGCGCACTGCAGAGCCGTGCAGGAGCGGCGGAACGCCACCCTGGTGAATATCCTTGGTGCATTCATCTTGGGCTGAGGATGTGTATGTGTGTGCGGTAGTAAATTATCGCGGTGTCGGTTCAATCGATGTCCTTCAGTCTTGTTTCTGGAGGATCAGGTGTCGGGGTCGGAAGGGGTTGACAAGGTGGAAGATCATCCGACGGTGACGGAAGAAACAGGTGGGAATTGCAGGTTGGTGGTTTTTGCGGTCGGTCGGGATGGGTTGGCAATGGGAATGTGGTTGGCCTCGGAGCAAAGAAAGCAGAAGCTGGGGCCAGGGGGGGTCATTTGACAGTTTCTGGCCGTGGCGCGGCTATGACATGCCCAGCGGTCCCCATTGTACCGGGTGCTCTGCGACCAATCACACGCCGCTAATTTGTCAACGGCCGGGACCGATGACAAAGCAACCCTTGCGGTTTCAGCAATGACTGTACAAATGCCTGCTTTGTTACCCAAAGCACAGTGACTGATACCTTGAGAGACTCCAAAGCATTATTCATGTGCTTACCTAGCCCGCCTTTTTCGAGTACAATTTTCCTCTTTCTTGGAAACTCGGGGAAAAAAGATGGTTCGAGACAAGGTTTCTTCAGAGTCCGAAGCTGCATGGCGAAACCAACCTAGTAGCCGGCAGAAATGGGACTGAGTCACGTTTAGGAGCATGAAGCCTCTTGAACAATACCCATTATCGAAGCATTCCAGTGTCTTAACCATCGGAATATCCCGTATCCATTGCAATACAGGTCACGCTAGGCGTTGACTCACCCCCACACGAACCGACACAGCCAGCAGGCCCTTTGCGCATGTCTCGTGAGAATCATCTCGGGTGTCATTAATATCATACAATCTACCTCCCACCCAGCTTTTACCGCTCTCTGCATTGTTACCGCTCAACCATCTCCCTGACATCAACAACAGCCGCCCGTGCCATCTTCTTCAGCAGCGTCCGCTCGTCGGCCTCGCGATATCGATCCCATGTGTCGAGGCCCTCTTTGGCCTGTATACTCAGCGTCTCGTACCCCTGCTTGATCACTTCCGTCACCTGGATGCTCGTGAGGTTCCCCTTCTTCTTCCCGCCCTCGGCCAGCAGCTCCTTGTAGTGCGTGCTCACGTTGATGAGCGTGTCGATCGAGTTGCTCGGACGTTTGCCGAGCTGGTAGCTGTCCTTGAACTTGATCAGCACGTCGCCCGCCTCGACGACCTTGTAGAAGAGGTCGTCGTATGCGGCGGGTGATGGCAAGAAGCCCTCGCCTGCGGATAGGGACAAGGCGAGCAGGTTGACTACGTTGTCCAGCAGCAAGTCGATCTGTGAGAGGTCCTTCAGGTCCGCGACGTATGTCGTCAGGAATTTGACCAGGTTGAGCAGGGCTCGGAAAAGATCCGCCCAGTGATAGCTCAAGCGTGTGCGAGACCGGGAAAGGTACGACACGACGCGCAGAAGAATCCCCACGCACAGCGTATACAAGCCTACATCCAGTCTGCGGCGGAGGTTATGCGTGATTCCATCCACCATCGTATCCAGCACCGCTGTTGCGAGGATCCGTTCCCCTCTGACCAGCGGGAGGAATGGTTGTCTTTGGCGACACAAGCGGACGTGCCCCTTGGACTCTTCGCTGCATATCCGCTTGCAAAGCACAGGGTCTTCAATCAGCAGTCGAAAGACCATTAGGTTGAGATGGGAGTAGTGTGTCGCACGCTCTGAGAGGTGGGCGTGCTGGAGGAGGTAGGATGTGACTGATGTAAAAGCCGCTAGCGGTTGTTCCCCACCCTTTTCGGCAGGAAGGGTAGCGAGGTTAAAGCAAAAGAGCTTGTTGGCATGAGTGAAGTCATACGTCGCCAGCAACACGGCCGCCTCCTCGCCGGGACTGTTGTCGTGTCAGTCTCTAATTTCACTCGCTGGGGACCGGCACTCACAGTTTGGTAAACATTTGCTTCATGGTCTCGGCGTCGTACACTGCCTTCTTCTCCGGCCTTGGGCCCCTTGCAACGACACCGAGCCCGATCATGTGCAGCGTGCCATTGAGCGTCCACCCCTCGGGCAGGTCATCCTGCACCTCTACGTACTGTGTAGTCAGGCGCTGGCATGTCTCGCCGATGCATCGTATGATTTTCTTGATCGTCGCCTCGTTGACAAAATCGTTCAGTCGCATCTGATACGGATTCTGGAACTCAAACTTGTTGTAGTTGGCCAGGAGGCCAAGGAGGGTAAAGGGGCTGAGGATGCGCTCCGTCGTGTCGGCGTCTTGGACGAACTGCGGCTGATGTTAGGCCGACCCCTATCTTGCTGCCCGGCGATGGTTGACTTACCTTCATTACCGCGGGGAAGAGGTCCCTTTGGATAAAGTACGTCAAGAGGCTCGTCTGGTATGCGCCCGCCGTCACAGCCAGCACAACTTCGACGGCCTTTTGCCGCAGATCCACTGCCACCCAGTCAGCAACATCCCCTCCAATGCTCGTACCAGCTCCCCGGGCTTACAGCTCTTTCCACTCCGGATGATCTGATCCAGCGCTCCCACAAAGTCCGTAAAGATGGTGTCGATGTAGTCGATGCCCGCCAGCACGTTGATGATGTCCGAGCTAGGATGCGCATACTTCTTCGACAGCGCCGAGCAGAGGAAAACGCTGAGCGTCTGCAGTTCCGTCCAACACATGTCAGCGATTATACCAGCACCCGAATCCAGCCCTACTCGACGCAAACACAGCGCGGGGTTGTAAGCTGCAGAGTCCAACTCACATCAAGTGCATGCAAGTCCGCAACACCCTGTCCACTCTTCACAGCCGCCACGGCACGCGCAAAGAGTTCCCTTGTGTGATCTTCCAGCGCAAGCATGTCTGTGGGTCCGAGACCGTCGAGGATCCGCCTCAAGGCCGCGCGGTCGGGTCGGAGGAGGAAGAACTCGCGCCAGAAACCCTCGGAGCGTTCTGAATCATCTTCGGCGTCCTAGAGATAGCGCATATGTGTCAGCGATTGGGTTTACTGCATACTGCGTCGCAAGCTCGGGGCTGGGCGAAGAGCCGGGCGGCACGGCATTGGGAACCCGGGTCGAGGATCGTCAAGGGGGGGGATATGTCGATGGCGCCGCGGTCGCAAAGCTTGTGGCTACGAGAGGGTAAATGAGTAGAACAGACGCACCTGTCAATTACAATGTTAGCTGAGGTGTTCAATCATAAGTAGCACCGGGCACCTCGGCTGCCACTTCGAGGGGCACAGGCATGGGGGAGCTTTCGCACCTTGAATAGCGACTCGTAGAGCTGGACAATCTTGGGTTTGAACACCTCGGGCGGAGGCTGACGGGTCAGCGGTGATGCCTCCATTCCCGAGCGATGCAGTGTTTATAGATTGGAAGTGGCTGCTGTTTCTGTTCGAGCCGGAAGAGAAAGAGGGCAGTTTTTGGTTTACTTGAAGCTGGCTTGTGTCGGTCCGGCAGCACGCGAACGGAGAGCTAGACATGGCTTGCGATACGCGTTCCGATAAAAAAAAAGATAAAGGACTTAATCCCGCTGACGCATGTTTATACCGTGTCGGTCTTGCAAAAAGCACTGTAAAAGCAGCCTACATTAACACATTAAAACACAGTGCTGTTTATCGAGAACACCGTCCCTGCACATGCGCGTCTTCCCCTGAACTCGGGTTGCCTCCAAAAGATCGGGACACTTGTCCAGCGCCATAATTACCCATAGCATGTTTCATGCACGGCCGCATCATAACCATCCTTTGGCGGTAGGGCTGACGGGAACCTCCAAATTGCAGTACAGTCGATCCAATGCCGAGACCCAGAGGCTTACCCAACCCGTGGATTTATGGTGTTGTCAATGTGGACCGGTATCCAAGTGCAGCGAGCTCGGCTGTAAATACATCGAGACAAGAAGCTCAGCAAAAACCATACGAGCAGAAAAATCAAGAACAACAACCATAGCGCTCCACAACTTGAAAACAAGGTATAGAGCTCGACGACTATACAACTACCGTGCCTAGCGGGGCTGAAGAGACGTGCAGCAGCGACTCGATCAAACGCACATCTCAATAATCAACCTATGTGTCTAAATAACTACGTACCAAACCTCTGGGCAATTCTTCCACCCACCCTATTCAGGTCAAATGTCTAGCGAGCACACCTCTAGCCTGAATACCCGGCTTTCTTGAATTCTCCCATCAACAGTTTTACCCCAACAGCAAGGCCACTTACAGCAAAGTCATCATTGCGCTCTGGCTTGCCATTCAACATCGGCTGCAAACACAGAGTCATGTCATATGAGTGCTCGCTTTCCTTCTTTTTGACCACTTCCGCTTCTTTCTCGGCCACTCGAGACATGTGGCCGATTTTCCTGTCGACTTCCACATCACGCTTAGCACTTTCTTCGTCAGCAGCTTCGAATTAGCAGGAACATGGCCAGATGATTAACACGGGCTGGTTCTTTGGGTCAGGTTTTCGGGACCCAGGCGACAAAGTCGAGACTTGACGGCTCTGATCTCGCCTTAATGACAACTAATCGAATAATCATGCTTATAACATAGTCTAAATGATGCAGTTCAAAGGAATACATGTACCTGACAGGAATCCACCACCCAGACGGTCATCAAGAAGTCATGGCCTCTTGAATACGCTCCAGCTGCTCCCTTGCCGCGTGAATCTCACGCTGCAAACACATTCTAAGCTGCGGGTTCTCTTCACTCTCCGTCGCTACGTTCTCGTCCCGGATCAGATCGAGAGTCACCCCAAAGACTTCCAGGTGCGCTTGAATGGCCTCCCTCAACCCTGTCTGCAGGGCATCCGCCACAACCTTCAACCTAGCCCTGCAGTCCCTCATGTACTTCGGGAACAGATCGTGATGCTCTATGGCGTTGCCGATGATGTTTTTGCGCCTCCTATCGCTTCCAGCCCCTGGCATCGGATGTCAGCTCACGCCCAGGGCGAGATTGCTCATAGTCGTCAGCGATTTGGTTCTGTAACGTACCGTATTCCATGTTGGAAGCTCGGTAAGAGTGTTCCATTGCCTGGCCTATGAGCGAGGTACGGATGCCGGACAGGGAATCTACCCGCAGAGTGCTATGGATGGGCGATGCCGTTAGCAGAGAGCGAAACACACATATTCCCCGGAAAGACCAGATCTTACCCCAGAGAGGCGTTGAATTTATCAAAGAAAGTCTCCGTCTCAGAAAACATAATTTTGCTTCGGCAAAGCAGCGCTTCGGTTAGGACCTCGCTGGCTCGGGGGAAGGCTTCAAGTTCCGTTTCTTGACCCGTGTTAGCACAACACTTTGTGGGTCTGGTGTACACTCTTACCAAGAAGCTCCAACGCCCGGTCTACGGTGTCTTCAATTAGAGCGTTGACACCCTCCAGCTGGTCGCCAGTGAACGAATACAGCCTGGCCCATTGCGGCGTCAGGTCTTTGACAAGTTCACGAATGATCTCCTCATTCCAGTCACGTTGCCCAATGGTTTTAGTCCAATGACTGCCATAGTTGCGACAGAATGCGCTGTAAGAACCTGAGGGTGCTTGTTAGTAGACACAAGGAAGCTTCTTGCAAAGCCCTACTCACTGTGATGCCACTGAAGTCATAGTTAGCCAGACGAACATTGTCCAGAGTTCGCACACAACTCGAAGTACTTACGGAATTCCATTCCTCACCGGCATTGATAGCCGACTGACTCCAATCGTCAGGACGTCGATCTGGCAAGATCTCAAGTCAGAGTCACGTTCATTTGGAGGGAGGAAAGCAAGAAGCTTACAATTGTACACCTGAGTCTTGAACTCCTCTCTGATAGCTTTTCCAAGGCGGGTGAGGTCAGACTCTTGACCAATCAAACTCTATTCATCAATAAGCACTCATATTCAACGATGGGTTTACAGCCGTGTTCACCCTGTGTAGCATCTGCTCGACCTTGTCCAGGGTCTCACGAACGATCTGCTTCTGCTCCGCACTCGTGCTTCCAGCACCGGATTCGATCCACAACCCAACGTCTCCGAGGAGGGCGGGGATGTCGTTGGCGACGAATTTGGTGGCGATTCTCAGCTGACTGTCTCCGATGATGGCAAGGCAGTGTTTTCGCAGCGCGATGATCCCGCTGAGCTGCAACAAGGGCAGCGCGTCGTCCCTCGGCAGCCACCGTCCTGCTCGGTACTCAGTGTTGCTCACGCAGAACACGCGCAGAGCCCCAGCCGGGATTTTGTTGTCGTAGAGCTCATGGAGCTTCCTGCTGACGGACGTGTTTCGAGTCTCGATTAGGTAGCGCTTGAGTCTGGAGTTGAGAAGTCAGATGAGTTGATCCAATTGACATAAGAGGCTTGTCACTTACTCAAAGCGCTTCTGTTCTTTAATCTTGCTGTAAGATAGTAGAATGGTTAGCGAGTAAATGGAACCACGAGAGCGTGGAGGGAGCCTTGCCTCAACTTTCTCAGCTCGCGATTCAGCTTAATTTCAGTATCCTTGTCCTCCTCATCCATCAACTCCACGTCTTCCAATTCAGCCAGCTCAAGCTTCTTCTCGTCGATTTGGCCTTGGGTTCTCGCCACTGCGTTGTTCAACTGCTGGATACGTTCCGCACGCGAACCCTTCCAGTCTTTCATGGCCTCCTCGGCTCGAATATCCTGCAATGCCGAACAAGGTTAACAATACGACTCAGCAGGCAGCAGGCCACCATGCAGACCAAAAATCAAAACAAAACCTGGAGGTGGGATAAGGACTCACATCGGACTTGGTACAAACAATGCCCACGTTGGACAGCTCAGCTTTCCTTGCAAGCTCAAAGACGCTCGCCACGCCAACGTCGGTCGTCGCCCGCCCAATGTTGCAGATGGCAAGGATCTCGTCGCACTCGCGCAGATACCGCTCTGTGATAATCCTGCGCGCCGAGTTCAAGTCACGGAGTCCTAGACGTTCAGTATTAAACGGTGTAATCTTATATGTCGCGGGTTACGACCAACCAGGTAGATCAACGAGGACCAGCCCCTTACTCAGGATGTGAGAATCGAGAAATACCCTGGATACGAGTTGTAAACAGCCGTAGAGAGTCCAAGTGTAGCCCAGTGCTTGCCAGGGTTCGACTCACCTGATCTTCTTGATGTATGGCCACACAGCTGGCCCGTGTGCCCCCGCCGTCTCTGATGTAAGACTCATCAACAGACGCGAGCACTCCTGTAGCTCGCCTTTCGCATGTCTTCCGCCAACCTTTGGGTACGTCTGTTCAAGCCAGGATCGCATGGTCGAGAGAACGTCTTTCTCGGTCTTTTCCGTGAGGAAGTCCCCGTCGCCAAGCCGACCACGGAACATGGCCAGGAATGTATCCCGGGCGACATTCGCCTGCTCTTTGGCCTCCTCCACCCCGTCCTCCCGCGTCATCTCGCCCGCGTGCAAATGGAAGCGACGGTAAGACTGCAGCAGCTCGGTGGCCTGTTCCATCAACTCGTCCATGCTGAACAGGTCCACGTCAATGAAGAAGTCACGCCCCGCGTGGTGGTGATACTCGGTGACGACGCAGGTGCACGCAGCCCCGCTGTTGCTCTGTAACAGAATCAGCAAGAGCATCCATTGTCGTGCATGCCATTACTCACGGTTCGTGCCAATCCATCGTGGTCCAAAAGCGAGTTCAAAATGCTGCTTTTCCCTGTGCCCTCATCGTCAGTCCCAACAAACTGATCCGAACAAGTCGAGAAACTCACCAACACCAGAGTCCCCGACAAACCCCACGGTCCGAGTCGACGGGCACTCAAAACCAGACAGCTCTCGCGCCTGACGATGCAGCCTCTCAATGGTAGAATCAGGGCTCTCATGAAGCGGGCTGCTCTCCAAGACGCCAACCAACCGAGACATCAGCGCTTTTGCGTCCCCAAACGCATTCTGCACCGCCGGATCGTGAAAGCGGTTCGGCGGGAGCTCCTCGTCCTTGACGTCGTGAAGCACCAGACTCGTCCTAGATCCCGCCCTCGATCGACGAGGGGCCCGCGGGCTCAGCGAGAGCTCCCTACCCTCCAGGCTAGCCAGTCGATGCCGAGATACTTGTCTTCCGAGACCGTCGGCGATTTCTGTAATCGCGTCCCTGACATCGGGCATCTCCAGGGTCGAGGGCGTGGGCGTGAGGCTTAGGTCGTCCAATAGACCAGCGATACCCTCAGTCTCCCCGCGTTCCCGAAGCAAGCCGGCTCCCCGAGAGCCAGTGGCGGGAGACAAACTAAAACCTTCGCTGGCCGAAGAGAGTGATGGCGGGGAAACTGATATCGAGGGCGTCCTGGCCCGACTGGTATTCGTAGGGGTGGCCGTCCCGGTTGGGCTCTTGTCTGGTCCCTCGGTCGAAGGAATAGGCTTGTTGGGCGAGGTTCCATTCGCCCTCATTCCCTTTGAAACCGGCGATCCTTGAGATACAGGAAGAGCGTCTTGCGCCGGCGATGGGGAGAAGAAAGTCGAGCTTGGCACCGAGCCCGAAGACGGCGTGTGTGAGCCGCCTGACGGCGATGACGGAGCCGCAGATGACTTCATATTACTCTTGGTCGCGTTTAAAAGCGGCGACCCAACGAACACAAAGGGCTCGTTTGATGCTGAGGACGGAGAAAATGCTACTTCCGGCAACGACCCGGAGGAAGGTGTCGGTGAGCCCCTTGAAGAGGACGACGGAGACGCCGATCCCCCGACCCGGAGCGTCTCCGTGGGCGAGCCCCTCTCTTTGCCGTTGGAACCAACATACGCTATGCCTCTAAATATAGGAACTTTACTCCCCTCTGAAGATGGAGAGGAGGTCAAGCTCGAGACCCGTCGAGAGGACGGCGTGAGGACGCGAGGCGTCGGTGTCGTCTGGGCTGCGCGTACTACATCTGCTTCGTCCAACCGTCGAGACGGAGGTGTCTTGGGCGGGGAGTCGGAGGACGAGCCGGGAGACTTGGAGGAGGCCCCGGTACCAGAAGCAGGGCCCGCAGTCGACAAGCGATGATCCTCCTGCTTCTGCTTCTGCTTTACTGTTAGAAGAAGTTGCACGCTGGGCAAAGGGCGCCCACGCAGCCATGACGCCGCGAGAAACGTACTGTTCTGGGCATTGTTTCCTAGAGTCGTGTTCAACACGGATACAGGGAAGCAACAAAAGCACACCTTCCTAGCGCGGGGTGTCTGCCCGGTTCTTATAGCCCGGTGCTGGAACCTGTCTGACTGACGCCTTCGCCCTCGGCCGCAAAACGCAGCCGTCCGAGCCGGCCACCTGCTACGAGGCAGGAGTTCCCAGCCGTGCAGGAAACCCCCTAACCACCGCCCTCGCAGATTGTCGGAGGGGCCACTGTTTAATGGGCCCGGAGGCGGCGCAGACCTCTTGCTGGTTCCATCTAAGTGCAGTCCAGCGGCAGGCTTCTGCGTCCCCGGCCGGACCAACACCAACAACGCATCAGGTCCGCGGCCGGGGTTCTAATTATACCCGCTGCAGAACCAACAGCATCGGGCTACTTGCCCAAGTCGCCTTAGCCTCTTCATGTCGAGTCAGGCCTGTACATGATACCGCTGTCGGTCTCTCAGAGTCAAAAAGGGGGTGATGGGGGTTGCGTGTTGGGCCAACTCCGTGATTGATTTGGCGCCTGGCCTTTTGCAACTTGACCGCCGAGGTACGTGGGCCTCCTTGGCTTCATACTGATCATCAATAGCCTGGTTTCAGGGCAGTAAGTTAATAACTTTACAACCGGGGATAAAACGAATGGCCGTTTGTCTGGTCAAATACGTTTCCTGGCATGTTGTTGCCCTAACCTTGGCTGAATTGTTGAGGTAGAACAATCTTGTATACCAAGGACCTGCATGTTTTACGGATGTGGCATTCTGTTCTTTATTTGTGTATTTAATTTTTTCAATTTTCTCTTTGAAGAGCACTACACCAGAGTAATTCGTATTGTGGGCGTGGGAGAGCGCAGCCTTCTTTTCTGGGTGCTTGCTACGGCGACAGGGTGGACGTGGATATCGATCTCGGTTGGCACCCAACATCCTACCAACCTTTACGACTTTTCTGTCTACGGGTCCAACATGGAGATCGAGCTGAGTTGGCAGCTAACACACGACCAGTCAGTAGGGCCTCTTCATCAACGGTTCTGACATGACTTTAATCACAAACACAAGCACACAGGTTACAGATGTATCGCCGCAAATTTCATTAAGAATTGATATATGTGCGCGCTCGATGTACGATGCTGTCTAACCTCCCCCATTCCCAATCCCGTCTCCCTAATGCTCGCAGCGCGCTGTGCTTCGCATCCGTGGTACCCTAGCCAAGAAACAAAACAAAAGAAACAGGTATCCAACGCCCATCGCAATGCCATAGTGTGTGTGTGTATATGTTATGTAGAGAGACAACCGAGCACCGCCTGCCCTAGGTGATTATATAATAAGTTTGTGTGTATGGAAGGGGTGTTTGTAGGTGTGTCGTCACAGGGGACCGAGGCCCTCGCGAGCCTAGTACATGACGCTCTGCCGCCAGCGCTCAATGGACTGCATCTGCCCATTGTGCCCGGGCTGCATCGGCATCTGCATTTGCATCGGTGTCATGCCCTGCTGCATCCCCATGCCGGCGCCCATGGGCTGCATCGGCATCGGCATGCTCATGCCTCCGCCGTAAGGGTTCATGCCGCCCATGCCGCCGGCCGTGTATCCTCCGTAGCCGTTCATCGGCTGCGGTGTCATCTGTGCGACGCCGGCGTGGCCGACGAGCCCGCCGTACGTGGACGGCTGCCGCTGCACCGGTTGCTGGAGGGGCCCGCCGTAGTTGCTGAAGGCCATGCTGGAGCGGTTCCACCCGCCGGGGCCCATGGCGACACCGAGGCCGTTGCTGGCCGCCGGCTTGTGGTTATCGAAGCCCCCGGAGCCGTCGTTGAAGGCGCCGTTCATGTACCCGCCGGTCCGCTGGACGTTCGGCCCAGTGAGGGTCGTTGGCATCTGTGCCCGGACGGCGGCCATCTTGGCCTCTTGTTCTCGGACCCTGCGCTGCTCCTGCTCGAGTCGACGCTGCTCGTCCAAGGCCGGGTTGTAGCTCACGGGGTGCGAGCCGAGGACGTCGGCCAAGCTATGCTTCTTGCGCAGAGGAGGCGCCTCGGGCTCCACGGGGCCGCCGCTCTGCATCATCTCCCGTTCGCGGGCCTCGCGCTCGGCCTGCAGCCGCTTCCTGCGCTGGCCAAGAGTCTCTTCTCCCTCCTCGGGTTGAGCCTCCGTCTCCTTGCCCTTGTCCTCGGGCTGCTTCTCGGGTTCGCCAAACTGGGCGAGGACCTCGGCGGAGAAGCCCCGGCTGACGGGGCGGGCGTTGGGAAGGTTGTTATGTTCGGCTTCTTCCTTGGCCTTGAGGCGGCGCATGCGCTCGGCGAGAGTCTCGCCCTCGACGGCATCGTCATCCGACTCTTCCTGGGGCCGCATACGCTCGGTGGAAGGCATCTGCTGAAGGCGGTAGTGGCTCAATCCAGCATTCAGAGTGAAGTTGCTCCTCTGCTTGGCCAGAGTCCTCGGTGGCTCCTGGCCGTGCAGGCGGGCGCGGCGGGCGCTCAGGGGCTCGTTCTCTTCCAGGTCACGGCGCTCCATGAGACCCAGAGGGCGGTTCCTCTCGGCGATGGTCGGCTGGCTCGCGTAGAGCACGCCAAGCGGGACGTCGTCCTCGTCGGAGCTGCCCTCTTCCTCCTTGGCCCCGTCTTCCCAGGCGAGCGCGATCTTCTTCTTCCCGCGGTGCCTCTTCTGCGCCTCGGCAACCGCGTCGAGCTCAATGAGAGTGGCGTGCATGCCGTCCCGGCCAACGTTACGGTTCGGGTTTTGGGTGCGCATCTTGGCGTGGTACTTGCGCAGCTGCAGCTCGGCGAGCAGAGTGGTGGGGGGTCCGTCCAGCACACCGGCGAACTCGTCCGCCTCCTCCTCCTCTTCCTCCTCTCCGTCAGAGCGCTCGCCTTTGGGCTTGTCGACCCCTTCGCCGTCGACGTGGTCCGATAGGGCCTGATTCTCTTCTCTGCTGCCAGCCATCGAGCTCCGGCGGGATCCGTCGTCAGAATTCTTGCTAAAGGGCGCGAGACCGCCCTTCTTCCTCTGCGAGGCAGCCCTGACGTGCTCCTCGGGCAGCAAGACGGTGGGCGCGGCCGACTTGCGGTTCTTCTTGCGGTCGGGGCCGTACACCTCGTGGCCCAGCTTGCCGGCATACGCATGGTCTGTGAAGGCGCTGACCGGGGCGGTCGCGGATGCGTCGAGGATGCTGTCGAGCGTGGCCATGGCGGAACCTTCCTTGACCTCGATTTTTGGTGTTGTAGAGGGCAGGTCGAAAAAGGCGCTCGCACGCAGTTGGGGTGGCAGCTGCGAAACCCTTGGCATTTTGGACTTGCGGCGTTGCTGGGTTGGCGGGAGGGGCTGTGGCATGTCCTCAGATTGCCCGCCCGCCACCGACGAGCCGCCTTGCTCGGACGGGACATGCGAATCGGCCGAGGGCTCCTTCAACGACGCATCTCCCGGACGCTGGCCCTCGACATCGTCGCCAAACGTGGTCATGCCGTGGCCGGCGAGCGGATCGGGCAGCCACATTTTGGACTCACGCACCGGCGGCGCCTCGGGGTGCTGCGGCAGGTACTCGGCCTTGCCGAACCCGGGGTGGCCCATGGCCTGCAGCACCTTGGAGTGTCTCGCGTTGCGGACCTCGGCCTTGGGCTTCTTGGACAGCTTGGGCGGCAGGTTGAGCATCGCCGGCACACGGGCCGGGTAGTAGAGCATCTCCTGGCCGGTGAGCGGGTCAAAGTAGGACTGCGGCCTGCCCTTGTCTGCCCTGTTCGTCGGCGGCATGCGTGGCGCCGGCGGCTCGTACTGGGGCTCGGGGATGTGCGGCATGGGCATCGTCTGCGGCATGGACGTTGGCATGTCGCGGTATCCGCCGTCGCTGTGCTCGCGGGAGTCGTAGTCACGCTCCAGATCCTCCGGCTGGCAGTGCACGCCGTCAAAGTCGCCAAAGGCGTTGGTGTGGTCGAACGTCGAGGTCGACCTGGGCGTCGGCGGCCTGTCATCCGAGGTCCGCCTCGCATTGTCACCGCCAAAGTCCAAGCCGAGACCCGACGATTGGCGGTCCATGTCGCCGAGCATGTCGTGGTAGCTGGTGCGGTTTTCTTCGTAGTGGGTGTTGGGCCGCCTGATGGTCGCGTCGTCGTCGGCCGTGACGGGGATGGGGCGTGGTCGGCCTCGTCGAGCACGCGACCGGTCAGGGCTACAGGCTCCGACTCGGCAATCTCGGCCAGCGAAGGCTTGCCGGATCGCACGCTCCTCTCGGAGCCCTTGCCGGGGCCGTGACGCGACATGACAGCGTCGACGTCGATCTCGGGACGGCCGGTGGAGTTCTTTGAGCCGGAGCGCAGGCGGCCGGTCAGGGAGTGGTTGGGCGACATGACGTAGCCGCTGGGGGAGTATCCGCCGAGGCGGGCGGCGTTGTTGAGCTCGACGATGGAGGCGACGGGAGGGATGACGCGCAGGGGGCCGGGCTGGGCCGAGGGGTCGTCAATCGGGGACTGGGACTGGGAGGCGGCGACGCTGGCGGCGAGGATGGAGGAGCGGCGGGAGTCGGAGCGCTTCAGTTCCCCATGCAGGTCGCGAATGGCGTCCTCGATGGAGCTGGTCATGGACAGGCGCTCGGCCGACTTCTCGAGGGCGGCGACGTTGCCGACCAAGGCGCCGGAGCGGCAGTTGAAGTCGGGGATGGGGTGCTTGAGGGTGAACTTGGAGTCGGAGGCGGTGCGGACGATTGGTTTGGCGACGGGGCGGACGACGGCTGCGCCTGACGAGGAGAGGTTGTTGTTTTGGTCGTGGTGGTGGTGTTGTTGTTGCTGCTGCTGCTGCAAGCTGTCCTGGATCTGGGAGATGAGGCTGCTGTTGGAGTGCAGCGAAGAGGAGGTGGAGATTTGACGGGTAAATGCAGCTGGGGCGGAGAAGACGGTGGAAGGCGACGAGATCGATGCACCCGGGCTCGTGATGACGGACGCAGAGCTCGTATTCGGGGGGCCGACGGTGGTATTATTGCTATTATTGTCGCGGTGGTGGTGGTTGATATTTTTCGTCCGCAGGGCCAAGGGGGCGATGGGCAGCGCGGGTTGGATTGGAGGAGAGACCCTGGGCCGCCGGGATGGGGACGACGGGAACAGCTGAGATTGGGACGACGCGGTGGATCGAGGGGACGTGCTAGTGGTGGTTGTGGTGGTGGTGGTGGTAGTAGCGGTGCTGGCGCCGGCGGGTGCAGGGGCGCTCGTGTTGTTGGCGGTGGCCGGGGGTGCGCTATCCCTTTCCTTATCGTTATCGCGCCCCTGGCGGGTGGTGACAGTTGTCGTCGCTTCAGCGGCCCTGCTGCACCTGTCCAGATTGTCCGGCACGTCGTCCACCTCCTCGTCCACCTCCTCGTCCACCTCCTCGTCCTCCTCCCCCCTGATCATCTGCAGCGGATCGAGCGACAGCGGCGTCGACCCGGCACGGCGCTGGCGCGGGTTCCTACGCGAGATTGCCAGTGGGCCGCTGTGCTCTGCTGCCGCTGCCGCTGCCGCTGCCGCTAACGCCGCGGCCTCCTCTCCCTCTTCCTTTTCGTTTTCCTCCCTGACGGCATTCCGGCCCATCGCGTCCACACCGTGTCCGACACTGCTGCTGCTGCTGATGCCGTAGCCCTGGCTTGCCTTGGTCGAGTGCGACGCCGCCGGTTCTATTCCCGTCGCCACAGCGCGTGCACCCGAGACATTTCCCTCCTTGTCAGCCACCGCCGCCGCCGCAGCAGCTGCTGCTGGAGATGTCGCTGATGCATGTGGTGGCCGCATGGCTGTCGTCGCTGATGTCGCAGGCGGGAGGGATGCCTCGACGAATCGTGTGCGTGTACTTGTACTTGACGCGGTGTACTCGTTTCCGCCGTCCGGTTGCACAGCATACGACGACCCCTTTCCAGAAGTTGGTATCGTCGCCGCCGGTACTGTCGACTGCGGTTGCTGTTGCTGGTGCTGCTTACTGCTGTAGGGACTCAAGCTGCGCGTCTCTCGCTCGGGAAACAGGTCGCTGTCCATGGACAATGGCGTGAAGCTCGTCTCGGCCAGTGACAAAAAGTTGGCAGGACTGGGTGTCGCGGTGGCCGAGAAGGAGGGCCGCGACCACGAGGAAGCGACGTCTTTTGTGTCGTCTGCGTCGTCGTCGTTGACGTCTTCGTCGTGCATGTCACGGCCCGTTCGCCTTTTTGCCGTCGTCGCCGGTAGCGCCTCCGACCCTGCATCGCTGTAGTCCGATCCTGACCCCGTCGAGGACGTCGAGAACCTGCGGACCGAGGTGTAGGCTGTGGCCGCCATGGTCACTGGGCGGGCCTGCTTGTCGCAGAGCGGCCGAGTTGGAAAGATGGGACGGCAGGCGCAGCACGAGAGGCGGTTTCTCGGTAAGAAAAAAAAAAGAAAAGAAAAACCCCGAGGTTTGGGATTCGGTCGAGTCTGGGACCTCGTGAGTGGTGATGATGGTGGGATGGCGTTTCCGAGTCGCGGTCCCTGCGTGGGCGTGGGCGGGCGGTGCAGGCCTCGAAGATGTCGTTGTTGGTCGTGTTGTTGCGCGATGCGCCGACGGTGGGATGAGTGAGTGTGCCTGTCTCGGATTCTGTTTGCGGTCGCCTGTGCTGCACTGCAAAGGCCTTGCTACTCTTCCCCTGTTGGGTGATGCACGCAGATCGAGAGGTGCGTCTCGCAGAGCCGTGGATGCCCTTCTTTGTTTCTCGTCCTCGTGGCAGCGAAGCAACTGCTTTTCTTCATCTGCGGGCCCGGCGGCAGTGACAGTGACAATGGCAGTGACGTAGCGCGCGAGACGTGGGGAATTTTGCTGGTGTGCGGTGAGGCGATCGTCGTGGCACCCGGCGTCTACGGCACAGCGGTGGTCGAATGCGCCGGTGCGGGTTTCGGAGGAGGGGGGGTATCGACGTAGCGGGTATAATGCAAAGCCGAACAAGAGACGAAGAAGCAAGAAAATCCGAGGCAAGAAACAACGCTGATGCTGCTGATGCTGCTGCTGCTGCTGCTGCTGTGACACCTGCGCCTCCTTGAAAGAAATGGGTGAGTAAGTGCAAGTCGAATGGATCCGAGAACAGAAAGCGAGAAAGAGAGAGAGAGAGCGTGTGACGATGGGGGGGAGGAAGAGGGTGTGTGGAAATTGGGTGTGGATGATACTATACTATGTATCTCCCGTACCTAGAGTGCTATGTGAGTACGGCGGCATGTGTGGATGGGGACGAGATGGGGATGGATGGATGGATGGATGGGTGCGGTGGGATAGCGCAGGTGAAGGTGGGCAGTCCCAAGGTCTGGGCCACGCAAGGAACCTGGGACGGACGGGACGGGATGGGATGGGATAGGATAGATTGGGATACAAGAACCAAGGCCACGAGAATACGGGTATCAAAGCCCGGCGCAGATCGCTGGCCTCTTTTTTTCCCTTTTTTGTCTCTCCCACTCTCGTCTTGCTCTCCTTCTTATGAGACGAACCCCCCCCCCCCCGACCCAAAAGATAAGGTCTTACTTGGTGCGGTTTTGCGCACGCGAGTAGAGTCGCAACAAGACCAGCAAGCCCCGGCCCGGGTTACACGCCCATGTGCAGAGTACACACGAGGTGCAGAGAGGCATTTCCCGGGGTCCAGCACAAGCTATGTCGTTGAGAGTAAGAGACAGCACTTGCATATGATCCTTACCCGACCTCCACTCAAACAAACACGGAACAAGGGAAGGGCTAAAAAAGAATAAAAAAAATTTTAAAAAAAAGGTGACTGGGAAAAGATACGCACTGATGAAAAGGTAAACGGGCACCCGAGCAACAAAGCAACACCCGAAGCCGGCCCCTCGTCTCTCTTTCACTGCCGCTTCGGCTAGACGAGCCCACAGCTCCAAGACCCAAGATCGAGGTCCAGGTCCAGGTCCAGGTCCAATCCGGATCCAGACTTTGGTCTTGCTTGGATGGTTTGGGGGCGGGTGGTCGTCTTGTCAGATACGAGCACCGCTGGCTGGCTGTTTCTGCGCTCTATTTTCTCGACCGTCTCTCTCCCTCTCTCTCCCTCTCTTTACTTTTCTCCCTCCCCAGTTCGTCCTTGTTTCCCCGTCAAATAGTAGCGGCCAGGTATGTAAGCGGCGACTGCGCGGCGGGGCCAGAAGGGATGGAGGCGCCGTCTGGAGCGTATGTACACACACTCCGGTATCCTTCCCGAAGTCGAATGGGAAGAGGCGGCGAGGTGGGGAGAAGAACCGATCAACAATTTTAAAATAGACGACCGGGGGGTGTTCCCCCTTCGGACGGATGAAAAGAGAAAGACGAGTGGAAAGGATACCGCTGTTACTCGACTCTGTACAGCCGGCTCGCTGGGACGCGCAAGAAAGTCAAAACGAAACGAAGCTCGGGCGGGAAAAGAGACGTTGACAGCTGAGCTCCAACAAGGCCGTTCCCTGGAGGGAAACAAATGGGGTTGTATAAGGAAAGCTTTCGCGAACCGGGGGGGGGATTTGAGTGGGAACGACGTCGGATTGCAAAGACTGGGTTTTGCGCTTTCTCATTAAACTACGCCCGTCTTCCGGATGGACAGTCCCTTTTTTTTTTTTTTTTTTTTGCTTCTTTGTTTCTTTCTTGTCTGCGCGGTTTTGCTGCCCGCTGTTGTTATTCCTGTCCCGTCACCGCTGCAGAGCCCCCTCCGTCGTACATAGGTAATTTTTTTTTCGTGTTTTGTTATTAAATTGGGTCTCGCCGACGATGGGGAGAGGTAAAAGAAGCAAGACTCCGCCGAGTCGCAGAAGAAGAAAAGACGTCCTGTCAGGGGCAAGGCCGCAAAGCACACACGACACGCGCGCAGCAAGGATGATTCTTGAACCTCTGATCCCGAAAAGACGAAAAAACCGGGTCCGAGGGACACAAAAAAAGACTAGAGACAGCGAGCCCCGTAAGGCCCGTAAGGATGATGTCGTTGCTGGGTCCCTTGGAGCCGTGGTTGCGACTATTGACGATGGGAGGGGGAGCCCCGTCCAGGGGTGATGGCAGTTTCGATCCGTCTCCGTATTTGCCGTTGCCAGGGCTGCGCTCCGGTCGAGGACGGAGACGAGATGACTTGGCCGAGTCAAGGTAGAGAGTGAATGAATAGTAAAGTTGCGGCAATTTATGTGAGATGAGATGCGAGAGTCAGGCGAAAAAAGGTTATATCCCCCAACGATGACACGCGGTCAAATCGTATTTGTGCGGTTCCGTCGTATGGGTACACTTCATGCCGCGCGTGCGAGAGAGAGGGCGTGAGAAAGAAAATCTCACACAATGTCGAACAGGCCGTGGCTTTCCCTCGCCCGGTATGGTGGCTAGTGACGGGACCAGATGAGTTGAGGTGAGATGAGATGAGGTGAGCCGGGGGTGTCACAACGGCGACTTATCAGACCGGCCGACTCCAAGACGGAGAGGGCAGATGCAGGAGGCAACCCCCCAGCAATCAAACCACCTCATCTCTCCTTATCAAAGAGATCCCGCGTCGACTGACGAGACAATCCCGCGCCGGGCGCTACCCCAGATCGCGCCTATCTTCAAGCCCGTCCCAGCCCAACCATCTCGTCCTCTGCAAAACCCATCAGTCTCTGCCCGCGAAGCCACCGAACCAGTCCCGAGTCCAGTCCGTCGCGCCTCTTTACCCGTCACCACCGCATTGGACGGACCCCCAGGCCTAACCTCCCCCTTCCGCCGACCACCCTACTACATCGTCCTCGTCCAGAACCGGCTTTCCTGCTGCTCTGAACAGAGTCCTGAAAAGACGGGGTGGACAACGCATGCGACCAAACCACACCAGTGAGCGCCGCCGCCTGGGACCCTTTTCTTATTCCCAACCTTGTCTTGTCCTGTCCTGTCTGGTTCGGGCCTCTAGCGTGAGCCCGCGGGAGGCCAAACGACAACAAGGTACGGTACTGGACAAGGCCAAGTCGGCCGGCTCCTCCGCTCCAGCATCCCACCCACCTTGGCCCTACCTCGAGCCTGTACACCAAGTCCCCCAAAAAGTCTCCTAGAGCCCAAAGCAGGAGGCGGCCGAAATCCAACTCCCAGGTCCAACCCGAACCCTTAGACCAAGGTTCCAAGACATGCGGTTCGCGGGGACGGGGTAGCCCAAAAAAGTGTCTCACGCTCCGCAGAATCCGAGCCTCTTACACGCAAGCCATCCAAGCCACCTCGAGGCCACCAGAGAATTGCCCCCATCCCCGAGCTCCGAAACCTCACGCGACACAGCGCGACCCGGTTCTTTCTTTCCCACATCATCCATGATCCGAATCGTCTCCTGGCTGCGTCTCCGAGTTCCTATCACATCCTCCCAGTCCCCGGTACCACGCAGCCCAGGCCAAGAAAGCAGTTCCCGCGTGCCGAGCACCGAGAGGTGACAGAACCGCAGACTGACTGATCCGACAAATGGGGAAAAGTGGACAGCGTCGCCTGCAAACCGCATACCCGCGTCCGTCCGCCCACCGTCTGAGCGGTTGAAGATCGTCATTCTGCATCCCGTTGGACCCAAAACGCAACGGAAAAAAAAGTCTCCTGCGGTCCCTCTCTCTCGCGTCTCGGTCAGTCAGCCTCTGCTCATCCTCCCCCGCCGCCCTTCTTGTGCATACGCTCCGCTGCAGCCCAGCCCAGCCCAGTACAGTAGCCTTCGGGTGCATTCGCGTTAGTGTCGTCGTCAGCCTCAATCAAGTCAAGCTTCCTAGGCGTGGCCTTGTAGCGCTGAGTAATGCCGTCCTTGCGTCGCCGCGGAACATGTCCCGCCATGCTCTCTCACCGCGCTCACCGTGCTCACCGCAAACCCAAGCTCTGTCCGTCCGTCGTAGACGTCTCCATCCCTCCCCGTTTTGTGCTTCCACGGTCCATCATCTCGATGCCTCCCGGCTCAAATCTTGGTTATCAGTCGGGACAGGCATCCGTACTGGACCCATGTATCCGTAAGCAAGCCTTACTGCGACAGTCACAAATACCACCCCCCGGGATCCAACCTCGTCGCATCGCAGCCAACACCACCGGCTGGCCCGAACACCCTCCGCAGTCCCGTCGACGACGCTGGCAATCGCGGGTCCCCAGTCTCAGTGCCACGACAGCCAGCAGCCCGCGGCCCCCAAGCGCGCGCCGCGTGGCTTTGCGCCTCTATCTGCCTTCTCGCCCTCCATCCGCAAAGAGCACAAACAACGACAGAAAGCGAGCAACGCCGCCGCCCCCAAGGAACAGAATTCAAACAACACATACTGCTGCCCCTTTCGCCTCAGGATCCCAACTTGGGCGGGTGAGCCACACTAGACGAGGAGAGCCACACGCGTACCTAGTGACATCCGCATCCACTCAAAGAGGAACCACCTCGCCTCTCGCTACGGCGTCGAAAAAAGGTCTTGGAAGCTTTGTTCGGCGCGCGCGGCACTTCCATCCCACACAATCTCCAACTTTCCAAGTTTTGGACGCTCCAGTTCGTTGTGCACCCCCATCTGCACTTCTAGCCCCCCCCGCCGGCCAAGCTCGGCGCCCAGCAGTCGCAATCCAGACAAACGTCGTGCGCGCCTCCTAAACTCCCTCCCACCCCTGCTGATGATCCCTGACACGGCCCAATGCCTTCGTCCCAAACCATCTCGATGTGTTCGTCGTCGTTGTCGCATGCGTTTGGCGGCAACGGCACGTTCTCCCAGCATTGGCACCGAGCTGTTAGAGGGGGTAAATGCGGGTTGGATGGACCACATTCCCCTCGCAGCCCCCATCTCCGAATCCGTCCCGGTTCTTTCAGCATTGCATCATTGTCGGTTCCCAAAGAGGCTTGCGAGTTGCTCGCGTCCCTCAAATGTGACGACGCGCTGCGCTGCGGCTCCAGACTCCATCATTACCCACCCGTACATGTCTTTGATATCGGACTGAAGCCCCCCAGAAGCCTTATTATCACTCACTTGCGCCAGCCAACCTCTCACACCGCACCACGACAGCTTCTGACCGCCGCGATACCATCGCCAACAAACAAATCCCCCACCCGCCAGTCTGTGCCCTCGGCGCCTCCTTGTTTTCCTTCCCTATCGTTGATGGCTCGAACGTGTATCCCAAACTCTTTTCGTCCTCCCTGCTATCCCCGGTCCGTGTGTGGGGGGGATCTTCTAGAGAAACCAGATCCGGGTCGTATTGGCGCCAGCCATTGACGGACCAGCCAGCCTCTCCTCTGAACTCTACAAACCACCTTTCACACCCGTTGCTGTCGCTGCAACTCTCTAGCTTTGTCTTCCTCAGCATCACAATTTCCCGAATGTAATGTCATAAACTGACTCGTGACGTTTTTGGAAGTGTAAAATGTCCAGCCGATCCGAGGCTCTGACAGTTCTCCTTTTCCCCCGGATTTTTGAGCCTGCCTGCCACTGCATACAAATATCCAACGGTCGCACATCTCAATGCCGCGTGCGTCTGCTACTTGCTCGCCTCGAACCACCGCATTTCGGCGTGGGATGAGAAACAAAAGAGACGCAATGCCAGCGCCTCAAGGCCATGGCACCCAAACGCCCGTGCAAACGAAAGAGGAGGTTGAGTAGCCGACCTGACAAAGCCACCATTAAGATAGGCGACGGTCGGCCACGCTTGGTGGACGCCACATCCAGCAAAGGCTTGGACGATGCTGAACGTGGGCTTGGCCTGAGCTTACTTGCAGGGCTGGTTCCAGCTTGTCGCGAACCTGGACCCCGGGCCTGTGATAATGCCAGGGGCCGGCCAATATCACACATCCTGTGTCGTGTCTTGAGTCTTGTCGAAATGGACTCGCTGGCCCGGATGCTTTACGGCCGATTACGTCTATCAAGCCAGAGGATCGACTGTCCAACTATTGATCTTTCGTCGCGGTGAAGAATTGATAATTTCTGCAGGTCCCATCTCCGTCACATTTGACAATCTCGCGCGAACCGTGGGAACTTCCGCCGTGCAGGCAATCCCTATCTGGAACCATGCTTCGGGTGGAACAGGCTCTGAGACCTAACGCGCCGCTGACTCCCAGACGCATATCTATCGCGCCTAGGTATGTTTGATAAGTCGTGAGCTTATCTCATGCACGTGTCGGCCAAATCTCAGTATCCGCCGAGGGCTGCAGGCGTAATCTTAACGTCGCTGCATATGTTGTCTTGCACGAAACGAACATGACACCTAGGACTCGACAGGCAGAAGTAATTGAGATGGCATGGTCGTCTCAGAAGCCTTATCGAACGGATGCCGTTTATGTTGTCGCCCGAGATGATCCTCTCTTCCCAGTTTGTTATCGCCAAACGCTGGCTTGGATTCCAATCCTCTGAGCCATCCGTGCTCGGATTACTTGTCGATTTTAGACGTTGCAGTTACATTTGCAGTTGCCGTCACAGCTAGCCATATTCCCCAGCCCGATGAGACCTGGGAGTGATACCCTGATCTTTCCCCCACTTCGTGTGATGACGCGGAATGGCTGTCTAAAGCGAAGTTGTTTTTGTTGGGACTGGTTAGTTAGCCAATCATACCATTGATAGTTGCAATGCATGTCAGAAACTTGCGCCGCTGGACAGGCTGCTGACGATACTGTGCGTCGTTGAGGGCATTTAGCGGGAGCGAGCTCTTCACCGTAGCTCGCCCTGGCTGAAGTTGCTGTTGGAACAAGGCGGCATGTATCAACGTGTTGAGATACTTCAGTCCAACCCTGTGTTTCCCATTTCTAGCCGACGATCCATCGCTATACTCGTCACAAGATCAAGCGGATATTATTCCGGTTATACAACCTTGAATACGAGCTTATGGTCGTATCGTCTGCAGTGATAACATTCTTTCTTTGTGCTCTGTAATACCAGAAGCAATTTTAATCAAGGGTTTGTAGCATAGCATGCACCCCAGAGCTCTCTCGCGTTTGAAGGTGTCGCGGGGTTTATGCTGTGCCTTCATCGGCGTCGTTACAGGGTCAAGCAGGCGAGGCAAGTCCCAGGCAGTCTTGTAACGATTCGTCCCTTTGGTACCCAGCAATGTCAAATGTCGTTCAGCCCGGGGTTTCAAAGAGGTCAGTCTCATCAAGTTTGGCCAATGTTTGAACCGTGAATGGACCACGGCTCATCTGGCAACGGGTTGTAGATGTAGGGGGCCTGCTGATTATACAATTGCGTTTTCGTCATACGTACTGGAGCTGTCCTCATGCCAACTTTGTAGTGAATCTGGTCTCTGTAATACTCCAACTGTTGCGTCGAGAACAGGTTAAAAGGTCAGATCTGCCTGGGGGTTGAAGTCAATAGAAATCTGCTGGGGCTGGGTAAAGAGATCGCAAGGCTCAGTCAGCGTGTAAGCCACTACATATTTTACGATAATAGAGGTGAGATGAACATGATGAGATGAACATGGCGAGATGAACATGGCGAGATTCCCCTCAATTCTCCTTATATTGAGTGACCTATTATAGCAGTATTGTTCTTGGAACTGGCTAACGGGCACGGTACGCCAGAGGCCGTCAGAGAATCTACCTGCCCTGCCGTCGAAGAGAAGAGGTGACGTGACAACAGGCTGGCAGGTCAATAGTTTACCGAGAGATGTCGCGACCATTCAAAGCTTATCGACACAGATCTTGGTTATGTTGTGCAACAGCTCGCAACGTAGTCATGAGCAAGACGATACTCTGGGCTTGGGTCTGCCACCTGGTCAAGTGTACCCCGAAGAATCGCTGAGTTACGAACGCAAAGCGCACATCTCGGCTTGACTTCCGTAGCGACGATCTTAAGTTGACGTCTCTGTGACGCAGTTGCTTGCCATGAATGCAGCGGCCTCGATGCTGAGCGGGTTGTTGCCAGAAGATCGTCAAAGGGTCTTAGGGGCAAGCCATACCCCGAAAGAGATCGGCAGCACAGTGTCCGCGCCTCGCATTCCCGTCTTTGGTTTCCGGAGGCGATCTTCGAAAAGCTCACTGCACAGTGTCTACCAGTAGCCGGATCCGGTAGCCTCGATCCCCGCATCAACCGAGAAATCGCATCAAACGGCAGAGGTGAGTCCCGTCAGAGGCGCGAGTCAAGCCCGCCCATGGCCGGCGATTAACGGACAAGAGTGGAACCGACAACGCGGGGACGGTGTTTGCCCCACCAGTCGGCCACGGGTGTGTCCGGTACCGCATCCGATTGCGCTGTCGCGGGGCGAGATGCGGTTTCCGAGGCGAAAAGGAATAGTCAACCCCGGACGGAGCGGCCAAACCCCATCCAAAAGCCCCATGGCCGCGACTCAACTCAGAACGGACTTTAAAGCGGTTGGCAGCACCACTCTCCCGGATGAACAACAACTTTGACTGGTCTCAACAAAAAGCCCGCTGAGCGGTGTGTGTCAGATGCATCTGGGATCCTTTAGCGGCCGCAGGGAATGGCGATTCGACCAATGAGGATCAGCTGGAGTGCCTGATTGTCACGAAAACTACTGGCTTTGCATGTGGCTTGCAGAGGAGGGTAGTATCATTGTGAGCGCGCGTGGCAGGAAGAAGCAGAAATTGGGCACGTGTGCCTCTGCACTGTCCTGGGTCCTCGGACGTGAAGCTGGATGAGCGGATCACGAAGTTCAAAATGGCGGGGAGCGATGAGATTGTCGACGAGAAAGTTTTCTCGGTCGACCCCGCCGGGATTATTTTTTGACTCAGGTGAAGCTGGACTGGACTGGAGGTTACGCTGCTCCCCGGTGCATGGCTCCATGCATCGCAACGGAGCCATGGCAAGCGTAGCTGGCAATGTGTAATGCGTTGGTGGGCTCAGTTCTCAACCAAGGAGCGCGCCGAATCGTGGCGACAGCAAAATGCCGGTATCGGTCAACCCCAACTGCGATCGTCATCGAAAAGTACCACTTGAGTAAGAGTTAGGGTGGTAACACAGAAAAGTCTCAGGTTCATGAAACCGGCAAGATAGGTAACGAGCAGAGGTGTTGGTTTGCGGGCAGGCTCAACGTAGGGTCCCGTGGGGAGACTTTCGGTTCGAATAGTAGCGGTGTGGGGGTTCAACTGGCAATCGGGGTCGAGTACCATCGGTGAGCTTGTTCAGGGATCTTGTTTGGTAGACTCTTGGTGATTCAGATGAGGCGCATGTCGTATGCCGGCCGAGATAGGGAGCTGCAAGAAGTGACCCCCGTAGGCCGTGCGAGAAAACGCACCAGGGGTGACGGTCAAGGAACGCGATGTGACGATGAGCGATGCTGCTGTTGCCCGGCACCCCTGTAAACGTCTTGATATCCTGCTTGCACAGCTTCGCGGTTGGAATATGGATTTGTGGAATGCTTTTAGTATTGGATTGATGCGCTGGCAAGCTTGGACAATACGGATCTTTAGACAATGGGCAGTTTGGTTGCGTGGTTCAACAGGCTCGCTTGACCGACTGATCCCAGAGCGGCAGTCATCCGATGTTTCCCAGTCCCCAAAACAGCGTGGCGTCAGTTGAGGTGTCGGGTAGTATCAGATGGCGCGGCGCATGAATGAACGAAGCTCAACGGGAGGCTTCCCCGAGAGAACCGGTCCCGGGCGCGGTCCGTTGGCCTGGCATGCCCAGGACCATTGTGTGCGCAGGGCCTTGGAATTGTTCTTTGAGCAGGGCTCGTAAATAAATATCGGGGCTTGGATCGTAAATAGAACCTCAGCCACGCCAACGCCTCGTTTGCTCATATCAGCAATACGGTGTCCCGGGGTTGCGAAATTACCACCGGCCATTAAAGAAACGTCGTTTCTTGGAGAAGCAGCAATCCCAAAGGGGCACCGACGAGGTGGATAATGCGTAATGTGCCCGGTTTGTTTAGGCCTCCATTTTTGGAAATGGAAATGGCGGGAGCCCGGGGGTGACGGCGCGATGCTTGGTAGCCAGCCCTGGTACAGTAGCCCCGCTGCTGTGATTGTTACTTGATGAGCCGTTTGCGCGAGAGTTTGAGAGTCGCAGATGCAAAGAGAAGCCAAGGTGAACGCTAGACGCTAGACATTTGCTCACTGGCTCTTGTCATCGTCGCTTGTCGAGGGCTGGGAGGGCAAACTTCAGGAAAGTTCGGGTGGCAGAAGGTTTAAGGGGGCTGTGAAGTGGCCTAGTTTGATAGGCATGGCCGCATTGGGTACGGATCTGGGGGTGAACAGACGCCATTTCCGTCAAGCCTGACAGGCTGTTGCCTCTAGGGGCCCCCTCTTCTCTCCATATCACTGCGTTGGCGCTGCTGATGGTCGAGGTCGAGGCCATGGGACAGAGGCAGATTGGCAGAGAGTCGGAAGCTGTTCGCGCTAATGACCAACGTCTTGCGTCGGTGGTTCCTGTCGGGGCCGGCCAAGCATTCCCCGTCCATCTGGTCTGGTCTGGTGCCGGTCTCGTCTGGTGTGCTCTGTGGCATCCGCCCACAGTGCACGCAGTAGCGCTCATTTAGGACTCCCACTCGCACTCCATTTTCAGGTCCAGGCCATAAAACGGGCGAGGCTGGCCCAAGTACCAGACAAGGTTGGCATGCAGGATGGATCCTAGACATGGCTGTGGCTCGCGGGTCGGGCTCTCGTACCCTGGAGCGGGACATCTCGCTCCAAGCTGACTGCGGCGATGATGGCAAGGGGCAGATTGTGGCATCAAAAACGCCAGAACCGACCGTTGTGCGGAAACATTGGCATTCGGGGCTCTTCCATGCCGTGCCCCGGCCAGATCGTCCCCTAGGTCAGATCATGTGCCCAAGCTGCCCAAGGTCTCCGCCGGCGGTCCAGTGCAGACTGAGGGTACGAGAAAAGGCGGGTACGTTTAGCAAAGGGGAGACACGGAAGAAATGGGTGTCTGGAGGTGATGTCTGGAGAAATGAGGACGAGACGAGACGAGAACGACCCCTGCGACCATGTTCTTTGAGCCGCGCAGACGGTCAGGGTACCTGAAGCAAACAGTGGTTGAAGTGGAATCGCTGATTTGGGTCGACAAGAGAGGCGGGGGAAGCGGCGGCGGCATGTAACCGCAATGTGTGGCCTTGTCCAACTGCGACTGTGTGTCTCTCTCTCTGTCCGTATGTGTCTCGGTCGCCAGGCGGCCCTTTTCTTTCTCCAGACTCGAGTCGCAGAGGGCGGAGAAACAGAGCGGAGGGCGTGGAGGCAACGGGTTTGTGCGACATCGGGGAACGGCCCTGACGAATTCGAGTCTGGATCCTGGCGGCAGGTGTTTCGTTCTTCGGGGTGTTTTTGATGCGGTTTTGCTCGAGTAATTTCGGTCTCGAGTGTGACAAGATTAGGTTCGATACGTACCTCGAGCCTCAACGTCTCGGGAGGAGGCAGAAAGAGAGAGGGAGGAAGAGAGACGAGACACAAGTGAGCTGGCGAGGCAAGGAGCGAACGGCATCGTTCGTTCCACAGCGTCAATGGCGGTCGTAGCTGCCCCGCGAGCAGCAGCAGCAGCAGCACCGTGGCACAGTGCCATATTGCGTTGGTACTGCGCAGGTACGTACCTGTCATCCCGCTCTGTACTGTCACCAGTCCAGCCCGAACCCCACTACACCCTCGCTGCTTCCTTCCATTGCCTGTTCCCACTGCTGTCCTGTGTGCGTGCGTGCGTGTGCCTGTCTGCGCATGGCCCTGCTCATTGAGTGTCTGCTGGCCCTGCTTTGATGAAATAATTTAGCAGAGGGCACATTTACGATGTATTGGTTGGGCAAGGCAAGGTACCGGCACCGAGTGCCATCACGGCTTGGTACTGGCAATCCGCAGCCTCCCCCCCCCCCCCCCCCCCTTTGGCGGCGTGAGTGCCACATCGAGCAGTGGAACGCCTTCCCGAACGTCCACTCGTGCCCGGTACGTACCGCCGCTACTTCCCTCTCACTGTGTTATTATTACTCCCACCTGCTCGTGCTCCTTCCTTGCCGCTGCTGCTCCCGACTTTCGCTGCGTGCCTTGTGTTGCTCTTGCTGCTGCTTCCAGACTTGTGACCGGTCACCGCCGCCCCTTAACATTTCTCTCCGTCTTTCCCTACGGCCACTTTGTCTGCTTCCGCTGCTGCACCGACAGGCTCGAGGTACCTCGTCACTCGCTCGCAGACAAGAACGTACCTCGCCTCTCTGACTTCTCGACAAAACTCACGATCCCTCTGCACCCCTCGGTTCCCCTTCTCTCTTCTCTCCCTCTCCCCTCTCTCCCTCTCTCTCTCAACACCTCGGCGTTGCACGGTCAGCATCAGCACCAGCGACACCGACCATAGCAACTTCACCCAACCACAGACCAACCTCTCCCACCACGTCAATCCTCCTCAACCAACACCGAGATCCGCGTCACCCTTCGTCTGATCACCCCCCCTCCTCGCACTAAAAAGGGTTCTCCAACGCAAACCACTTTCACCCAATCCTCCCGTCTGGCCTGTTCCCCTTTGCCCTACCATTCCGATCTCGTTCGGATCGCTATCTCGACGTCCCTCGATTTGCCAACCCCCTCAGTGCATTCGCCGTCCTCCGCCATGGCTCAATCCACCGAGCCGCGGAGGCGGTTCGCTCCCGTTCCCATCGAGACCACATTTGAGTCTGTCCGAAAGGCCCCTCTGCAACCTCAGCAATCGGCGCAAGCGCAGCAGACGCAAAACCAACAGCAACATCACCAGCCAGGTCCGGCTCCCGAGCCTACCCCCGAACATACCCCGCGAACCCCCTCTCCCAATCCCTTCGAGCAGCAAATGCAGCTGCCCCCGCCGCCCCCGGCACCACAACAACAACAGCCACCACCACCACAATTACACAATCTGCAACAATCACAGCCACCCCGGCGCCGCTTTGCCCCTCAGCTTATCGAGAGCTCTAGACGCGCACGAAGAGAAGGAGACGCCGGGCCCGCCACGCGACCAACCGACAAGACCGACATCACACCCTACACGAACCACATCTACCTCCAACGCAACAAGTCGAGGCGGAAGCCGAACGATGGCACCTCGTCGCCCTCTTCCCAGCAAATCCAACGACAGCCCAAGGGCGCAAGGAGGGAGTCGGAGGACGAGAATGCCGGCATCTACATGTTGGAATGGGCCGCCATGGAGGCCGAGAGGCAGATGCAGGAGGCAGCCCTCGCTGCGTTCCCCAACAGTCGTCCGCGTGAGGGAGGTGCCGCCCATTTCTACTTCAGGGAGAGCTCGGGAGACGATAGCACTCCCGAGAGCGTTTCGCCCCAAGCAACCGGCTCCGAGTCCAAGCCGCGTGCCCGTCACGCCCACGGCCCCCGCCGCAAGTCGTCGGAAGTGGGATACTGGCAGAAACACATGCAGAAACATGCCGAGACGCTGGCTGTCGCCAGGGGCGAGCACGCTCCGGTCTTTGACGACGACGATGAAGATGTCCACAACGATTCAGAGCTTGACAAGATGGAGCTTGATGGGCCCCCCGATGCCATGTGGTTGACCAACAAGAGAAACCACACAACCGACACCAGTCTCCCAAAGGGTCCATTGGAACCGATTGGCGAATCGCTCATGCCGTTGATTGCCCCCGCCCCCGTCATCACCGACGAAGCTCGCCGGTCAGAGCTCCCCCTGCCAGAGCCGGCCACTAAGCCAATCAGTGAGGCCGCGATGCCTTACATCCCACCTGCTGCAGTGAGCAAGCCGGCCGAGGTCCCCATTGCCGCACCTGCGCAGATCGTCCCCGAGACGGGTTTCCGAAAGGCCGGTGGGGGCGGTTTCGGTAGACCATTTGGCAATTTCGGACTTCCTCCTGAGACCAGCGAGTTCCGCAAGATGCGCAAGGCCGCCTCGCCGCCGATGCTGGGCAAGGACCTCGTCTTCCGAAAGTGTCCCTCGCCGAAACAGACAAAGCTCGAGCCGGATCACCCTTTCTCAGAGGTCCCGACCGCCGAAGAGAGGAACAGGGATTGTACGGGAGAAGCCGGCTTGTGGAGGGGCTACTGCTTCCGAAACAGCGAGAGCGATCAGGCCATTGTACCATCCCACCTCCACGGGCCCAGAATGCTGCATACGCCACTTCCCCCCACCACATCTGCCGATCCTTTTGCTGCAGCATTCAGCAAGGGGTCTGTGACGGATGAGCCTGGGTCTCACTATTCGTCCGCCACCCTCACCCCTGGTACGGTTGAGCACCGTGTCCGATCTGGCGAGGCCAAGGGTCTTCACATGCTCGTTGGTCTCGACGAACGCCTTAGGCGCGAAAAGGCCTTGGAAGAAAAGATCGCGAGCGAGTTCGACGACACCTTTATCACACAGGTATACAACTACCTTTCGCTAGGATACCCCGCCATGGCACGTTCTTTCGACGAAGAACTTTCCAAGATTTCGCACATGAGCATTGAGGAGCTGGAGGTGGACGATGTCAAGCAGATGGCGAGTGGCCATCTGATGGAGCCAGCCGAAGCTGAGATGGCGGAGGAGAAGAGGTGCCCTAGATGGAAGGCTCTGAAGGCGTACATCTTCGAATGGGCACGGCAACACCCAGATCTAGACAGTCTCGACCCTCTTGCGTGGGGCGTTCGAGAAAGACGAGGCAGCTGGGCTATATAAACGAATGGTGCAAAACTACAACGACACACTCACTATCATTGCGTCATTGGACACATGGAAATCATTAAGCAACACAGCATGGTTGGGCCGAGCAGAAGAGCATATTGGGTGATTTCGCGACATGGGCGGGCAGGTTGTTTTGATAAGGCGTTCCGGATAGTCACTCCGCTTGGGAGAGTGATCTTTGGCAGCAACCGGCATAGATGCTTTGGGTGTTTTGATACGGAACAAAGATACGCGGAGTTTAAAGTCTAGAACCAGCAAGGGGTCTGCATATTTGCATTCTAGACGATGCCCGTGGGGTTTAAACAGGTGGAGAGACGCACTTAAGGACAGATGGAATCGGGCCTCGGTGACATTGTGGGGCGCGCCGAGAAAGGGGTGCAGAGTTCTAGACGTGGGAACCCCGATATTAAAGAGACAGAGTGTAGACGAGTCCTGCCAGGAGTCAGTAAGCAGTGGGCTTCTGCTACTTCGTCAAATCAAGCGACTGCGATTGCAACCCTGTCAGATATCCAGTCCTAGGTGTGCTTGTGAAACGTTGCTGGCGGCAAGGTCGGCAAGACCCGTGCAATCCTGACTGCATTCGCACTGTCCGCTCTGCCATGCATGTGCGATCGCCTTGCTTCATGAGACCTGCCACGATGTGACAACTAGTGAAGGGCAGCCTAGCTCCTGGTGGTTTGAATGATGAAGCCGCAATGTCTCTAGACGGCGATCCAAAAGACACAAGGGAAGGTGAGACAAGTAGGAAAAGAGGGGTTCGACTGGGACTGGGAGATAACTCGGGATGTGGATGCGGGCGCAGCTGTTATGGTGAAGGAGGCTCGGGTTCAGATCCTTTGGCATTTAAACACTTTTTTTCATTTTCACCCGTGAGACCTGCTTGCTTGCCCTTGATGATGCCGCAGAGTGTTGTGCAAAAGTTGGGAACGAGCAAAGGACAAGCGTTGGAAGCTGACATCCAACGTCCGCGAATGACTTGGATAGGCCATGCTTCCATACAAGTCGGGCTTGCGTTAATTTGCTCGGCATTCGCCAAGTTCTTCATAGAAACCATCGTTGAGACCTAGATGTTGCTGTACGAAGAACAGCCAACACCAAATCATCATGATACTCAGTGGCCCACTACCTAGTGCTTTAAGTTTGAACCACAGCTATGTACGTCTAGCCGAAGATGCATCCAGGGGTTCCGCAAGCCTCGACAAAAGTTTTTAGTGACTTTTGGTCTTCCCCGTCATCTGCGTATAGGTCTGAATATAATGGGCGGTGCCGACAGTGGTGATTACACATGCTCATCACTCTAACCCAGTCATCAAATGATCACAAAACAATAGCCCGTCGGCTTTTGACAGCCCAACGTACCGCCTCTCAGTGGCCCCATGCCGCAAGTCTAGCAATCTCATCGGCAGCGACGTCGCGGCCTGGGCGAGCCAGCGTTCTGCTGATCTTCTTTGCATTCTCCCTCATCAAGACGCTAGCCGGCCCTCCGTCGACCAGCTTCAGAAAGGCGCTGCTAAGCTCGTCGACCGAGAATCCAGGGGCTGTCTTCTTGTTGCCCCAGATGCCAACTTCGATCTCCTCCACGCGCGCGGCGTAGTTGTAGAGGTCGAGCCAGCCCGGCAGGATGAGGTGCGGCACGCCGGCTCTAGAGACGCAGTCAGCTCGGGAACTTGGGACTTGGCGTGTCGCGGTTGAAGGTGGGGGGATGGTATGAGCAATAACGATAAAACTTACGCGATGGCTTCGTGGTAACAGTTCGCACCCCCATGGTGAACGGAAGCTACAATGTGCCCCGTCTCGAGCAAGGTCGCGGGGTCCACGGGCAACCACTTCGAGACCCTCAACCGGTCGCTCGCGATAAAGTCCTCTACCAACGGCCTCCAGTCCTCGTCTCTGAGGCCCTCGGCCCGGTTCAGCTTCCACAAAGCCTGGACCCCCGTCCGCTCCAACATGATTTTGAGCGCCGCAGCCATGGGCCGCGCCCTGGCCGCGTCGTACTCCATCAGGCTCCCCAGGTTCACCATGACCGTCGGCGCACGCTCCACCCACGCCGCCAGCTCGGGGTCCTGCTCCGCGGCCGAGCCGACGGACATGGCGATTGGCCCCGTGGCAGTAACGTTGGACGGAACGTAGGCCATCGGGATCGAGACGCCGGCCGTGTCCTGGGTGATGAAGACGCCCGCGCCGGGCTGGTGAACGTTGGAGAAGTCGATGGGGTCCTTAAGGCCGCGGCTCGCGAGAGCCCTGCGCTTGTCGTTGAGCTTTTCGTCGTGGAGCAGGCACCAGATAAAGGAGACCGTTTGGTATATGTTGGAGGGGATGTCGCGCCAGGCGACGGGGAAGCTGTGACCTGAGCCCATGCTGGTGGAAGTAGTATTAGTCGGGCCATGACTACCGAGGAAGCTGAAGAGGAGGTTTGACTCACGCCGGGTATTTCCAAAATCCGCTTAGCCAGGGCTGCTCGATACCAAAGGCGTCGACCAGAACGTTGGGCGACAAGACGGCATGTAAGCGGTTGTCAATCCTCGTGGCGTCCATTCCCGGTCGAAGAAGCATATCAAGGACAACGAGCGCAGGATCAATGTCCCTGATGAGGTCTCGCACGGCATCATGGATCTTGACATGGTCCTCCACCGTCCAGGGCGAGACGAACAACAGCAAGTCCTCGCTCATGGCCTTGAACCCCTCGAGGCCGGGCGGCTGCATGACGCTCAGCGAGGTCCTGCCCGCGGCGTCGAAGAAGTTGGGCGGCGGCAGCTCGTGGAAGACGGCGCCGCGCGACTGGGGCGTGAGCTTGCGCGCGTACGCCGAGATGCGCTCGATCTTGGGCCGGATCTTGGGCCAGGAGGCGTAGTGGACGGTGATCTCCGGGTGGCGCTCGAGGAGCGAGAAGGCCGTGGCGACGTGGACATTGGAGAGGCCGTGCTCGACGTTCGTGACGAAAAGGACGGTGTTGTTCTTGCCGATGACGGGGGGCGGGCGTTCGGGCTTGGTGGTGGAGGTCTGGCGGAGGGATATCAGGGCCGCGAAGAGGGCCACGAGGGCCGTGAAGTAGATGTATCCGCGTTTCGCCGGGGTAAAGGCCATTTTGCCGGTTGCGAGATGGGCGGGCGAGATGAAGGCGTATCGGAATCGAGGCGACGGACATTGGGCCGAGTAGAGGGTAGAGCATGGGTGTATTTAACGGCGGCATAGGCAGGGCGGCTCATGCTTACAAGCCTTATCACGAAGCACGACTTGTTGTGAAACAGAGAGCCACTGACGTGCGCCGTGAGCACGTATTCAAAGGCATTGGCGCGATAATGGAGATCGGGAATAATACGGTGTGGTTCGGCTACGTTGACGGATGGCGGGCTGCTGCAGCAAGACGTAGATGTTGTGCCTCTGGTCCCTTACGTGAGACCTAAGCGAGAGATTTACGACGACGTGCTGCATGTTTAACCACAAGTGAGAATTTGATCGACTGGGAGGTGAGACATGCTGACTTCGCGTGCTACCTACTATGTACATGGTGACATGATCTATCCTGATTGGAAACGGCCTGGCGCCTAAGCGAGCATTATCACGGTGGGGTTGAGTGACAGCGGATACGATCTCTGGACGTCCAAGTGCTTTTCTGCATTGGGAAGGTGTTTGTTTCCATGTCACCTAGAACTTGCAGATGCCAAATGTATGTTGCAATTGTGGGTGGTTTCATATCGTCTCCGCTGAACTACGTCAGGGCTTCCAGAATGGCCTAATGCATTATCATCTTCAAGCCTGTAAGCGAAGCCATATTTGTACATCAACATAATCCTTTGCGGCCCAAACGCTCTGCGGTATCTCGGCCTAAGATTGAGCAGGTGTGGGCCGACAATTTGGCCAAGTCGAAACTAACTTCTTCTCTGGCATGGACATCAATTGTGTTCATCAACTTACCTGACTGTACTATTCTGCGCTAAGCACGCGTAAAAGCTAGTGTAGACGTGCGTGAAAGCAGCATTGCCGATATGGATGGTCAGACTTCGTACATGCCCTGGATCGGGACGAACATGGCCTCGGATGGTCGCCAATCGATCCGTGGTTCAGTGAGAACCTCTCTGGATATTCGAACTTGTTATACAGAGCCAATAATGCTCTAGAAGTTCTGATTTCCCTTTCCGCATTCGCCAGCAGCTCACCACCGAATCATACCGACCCATTACCAATGATAATCACCATCGTCTACGAGGAGAATACCAAAAGTAGAAAATGAGATTAACCGCCCTCGTCGACGTTGTCCTGGTGGCCCTTGTCGCGGCCGCCGTCTCCAGCGTACCCCCAAAGGACCCCCACGCTCAAATCGCCGGCTCGCCCCGCCCCGGCTGGCCCTACTTCAAACACCCCGTCTGTAGAACCAGAGCCTATGGGTTCTTCGGCACGCACCATGTGATCGCTGTCTCCGGGGTCAAGGACATCCCCCAGACGTGCAACTTCCTCTGGGCCGGCCTGAACAAGTTCGACGGCTGCAAATTGTTGACCAAGACGTATTGCGGCGGGACCGACGGGTATCTCCAGTGGCGGTTCCAGCGTTGGGTCTCGTGCAACCCCGGCATGATTGCGTCGTCGTGGTTCGACACGACTGAGAATCAGCTAGGGTTTCTGGATTGCGAGGCGAAGCAGCCGGATGTGCAGCCTGAGGAGGGGGGTGATTAGGTGATGTTGAGTTGAGAGGACCCGACGGGACTGGTAAATGGCTGCTTACGGGCTCGGAGCAGAACATAAGTGGTGCGATAGACGATACATATTTGAAACCGTATCGATACAAGATAATGTCATGAACCATAATTCAAAATGGCACTGCCATCTATGTGTATCAAGTCTATAAAAAGCGTGGTTCCAAGCAGAGTATTACAATATTGTACAAACAAAAGTGAATTATCAGTACGCCTCAGTACGTTTATGCAGCACCACCGCCCTTCGCGGCATCGGGATTAAGTCGCCTCCATCGACAAAACAGACTTATGATGCAGGCGAGACCGGTTGCGCCAATGGAAATAGCAAAAGCGACTTTGATGCCGGACATGTATGCTGAAACGATACCAGACACCTGCTCGACCGGGAACATCGCTCGAATCTGCGTGGCACCCGTGTCGACAACCGTGGTAGGGTCGACTGCTGGAGCGGATGAAGGGATGGTGTTGAGAATGGTGTTAACGAAGGCTGCCTGAGCCGCGGAGACGAAAGTAGTGCCGCCGAAGTTCATGAAGACTACGAAGAGGGTTAGCAAAGTCCAGACGATTTTGGCAACGTTGCCCTTGAAATTTGACGGTCGACTTACAAAGAATCATTGCCGTGACCGTGGAGATGTCGCTTGGGGTAGCACTAGCCTGGCCGACAATGATGGGCAACTGCCATGCCATACCCCAGGCAACGCCTCCGAGGATCTGGTAACCGACCCACCTGCCCGTGCTGGTGTCGACATCAAGGGTATACAGTAACCCAGATGCGATCATGGCAATGGCAGCACTCGCAAGCATAACGGGAGCAGCAAGACCAGTGGCACTGACGAAGGCGCCAGACAAGATCATGGCGATGGAAATGGCGATGATGAGAGGGAGATTGTTGACTCCCGACATGGTAGGGCTAACGTTGAAGACGCTCTGGAAGTAGATTGGGAGGTAGTAGATGACGAGGAAGCACGACCCGCTAAAGAAGAGCGTGAAGAGACAGGCTGTTCCGATAGGACGCTGGATGAAGAGTCGAGGGACGATCATGGCGCGTTCGCCTTGGAAGTATTCCCAGATGCCGAAGGCCACCAGGATCAAGACGAAACCGACCAGCAGGCCGACGACGAGGCTGCTGTTCCATGCCGCACTGACACCAGCGTACTGGAGGGCCAGGACATATGACAAAAGCGCGCCCATGATCATGGCGACACCAAGCAGGTCCATTTGCAGAAGCCTCTCCCTCCATGACACGACCGTTGGCTTTGTGGCATCCGGCGCTTGGAAGAAGAAGAAGATCATCAGCGCCGACAGCCCACCGATGGGTAGGTTGATGTAGAAGCACCAGCGCCAGGAAACCTTGTCGGCGAAGACGCCTCCTAGCAGAGGTCCTACTGCTGAGGCGATACCATAGGCAACGCCGACAATTCCAAGGTACATCGACCTCTGTCGCGGAGGGGCGACGAAGGCGATGATGGTGTAAGCTCCAGTTCCCATGCCAGCGGCGCCGATGCCGGTGATGGCGCGGCCGATGATCAAGGCGGTGGAGGTGGGTGCGACGCCGCAAACGAGGCTTCCGAGTTCGAAGACGAAGATGGCGGCGAGAAAGGTATACTTGAGGGGGAAGTACTTGTAGGCCTTGCCCCAGGAGGATTGGAAGCCGCCGTTCGTGAGGAAGAAGGCGGAGCCATACCATGAGACATCGGAGAGGCCTTTGAATTCATCCGTGATTTTGGGGATGGCCGTCGCGACGATTGTCTGATTTTCGAAAATACTGTTAGAAATGATATTTTCTTCGAAGGATAGGTACCCAGAGAAGGAGGGCTAACCATGTCTAAGGAGGCGAGGAAAATCGCAAGGATGAGGGAGAGAACGATGACGGCCAGCTTAAATCCAGACGGGTAGATTGTTGTATCACCGTCGATCGTCGAGTCATGATCGATCTTCTCAGTGTCAAGTTCGGCGGGTTTGTTTGTGTTGTCGCGGTGTTGGAGATCAGTTGTAGACGTGTGGTCAGACACGGAGACGGCTCCCGGCTCCCGCTTCTTTTCGCCCTCAAAGGAGGACGTGGCCGTTGTCCTCATGTCATTGTCCATGACTCGCGAATCTGAGATAGTTGTTAGTTTAGAGTTGGGAATCGTATGATTTGACGACGTTGTCTAATTGTAACCCGACTATTTTGTCGTTTCGAGCAGCTAGTATTTAACGAACTGTGCCTCCCGAGGTGGTCGAGCGGTTGTTGCCCAAAGGGGAAATGAGCGCACGGACCGAAAATGAATCGTCGCGACTCATCCCTACTCACTACAGCCACTTGACCACAATGGGATGAATAGCGGGATGGCTTGCAGGGATATGGCGACAATGACAAGCCGGCGAACCTCGATGATGAGACCGAATCAATACGATTGGATGTCTGCAGATATGATGCACAGTGATAAAATATGGGCAATTTGTTCTGTCGCAAAGTGAACTGCCGCGGACTGAAAACAGTGTTGCTTTTGCCCTGCTGGCCTCCAAGGAGTAAGACAGGGTACGTCAAGGACAGCAACAACTAGGTGATGCATTGAGATTTCAACTAAGAAGGTCATTCACCTTACGTAGAGTAGCTCAAGTAGAATTCGGATCTGTGGGCAAGTGGTAAAGGATTTCGATCTACCTAACGCCTATCAAGCCTCACTGCAGACGATGGAGACAATGGGCTCCTGAGATCGAAACCCTCCCCCAAAGAGAGCCCAGGCCCCAAAGGCACACTATAACCTTGGGAATCCCAAGTCAGAATCTTGATCTCATGGTTCCTATAACTCAAACTTTACTTCTGTTACCTCAGTTGTTCAACTCATTGACGGCGTTGAGCAAGCAGGCAACTAGGTCCTTTTAGAGAATTGAGAGGTGACTCTTGTGCAAAGTAATTAAGCAGGGAACCTTGAAAATATAGCCGATTTTTAATTTATTTCGTTGACAGAGTAAGGCAGGAAATAGTAATGTAGCGAGAGTCCAGCCCATCCTTGTCTACACCCAACCGCAACTCTTCCCCTTATTGTCCAGCAATTTTCCTAAACCAAGCCCCTGCCACTTTTGTCACAACGCGCTTAAATAAGTCCAAACATAGAAGGATTGCCGGGAATTGAAGATGCGGCGTTCGTGCTGGCTGAGGTTGACCAGCAAAAGCCAAGCCAGCGCGGTAGTAAGATATGGAGAGATATTCGCCAGGGCCAGAGAGCGACGCGTCGCGGCTTGAATAGTGGCTGGTGTAGGCCTTGGCCTCTCCCGGCATTGAGCGGCAGCTAAAAGGTTGTGGTGATTGTAGAGTTCGTTCTGGTGAATGTAGAATTGGCTGCTGGGATAGTGGTGATACTCGTTGGGAAGGTGGGGGGATCGGTGATGGTAACTGTGGAGAAGACGGTAACCGTCGAATTGGCGAAGCCAAGAGTTATCGTAGCCCGCGGAAGCGTCACCGTTTCTGCGCTGGCGGTAATAATGACTGTGCTTGCAGGTAGCGTCTTCGTGCTGACGGTGACATTCTGAAAGCAACCCGGGCCTGTGGTGGCGGAGGGATAGGTGGTGGAGGGGTAGACGCAGGAGCAGGCACTGGAAAGGCGCGACACACCACAGGATGTCGAGATCCCAGCGGGAATACCAGATGTTTCGGTGACGATGTCGGTGGTGAATGTAGCACAGAAGGCGCTGCCTATCTCTTGCCCCTTGACGTTTCTGTAGCAGTTATCGGCTGCGCAAGCGGCGTAGACTGTGGTGGCCGAGGCCAGGGCTGCGACGAGGGAAGAAACGCGCATGTTTGAAGAGTTCTAGTTTCAAAGAATGAATCTGAATCGAAGTGGGAAGTGAGTGATGAATGGGATGCTGAGTGAGGATGAAGTTGAAGGGAACGGCGTCTCGAAATTACATTTATATACTTGTCTATGCTTCGTTCAATGTATCACCTATTGCATCGGAAGAAGCCAACAGCATCCACCTCATGTAATGGGATCATGTGGCTTGCGTTGGCTACCGACGGGGCCGCTAAGATCTACAGAGTCCTCCTGATGGTTTGCTGAACGAGCATAGAGAATGTGTTCGACTTTGAAACAGCCTGTAGCTGGAACTGAAAGAGAGCAAACTTGTTTTTTTGGACTAGCCGTGTCATTCACAAGCCTGAGGGAGTCTGACCCGACACTTACACTCCAGCCCGGGGCGGAAACCGAGAATTTGATCTGCCAACTACCAGTGCAACATCTTGACTGATTGAAACATGCTAGGCCCGCGTAGCAACATTTGCGTCCCGCGCCGGGCTACCGTTACACCGGCTACCAGCGTCCCGCCGCTCCGCGAAACAAGGGATATGAACAGAAATGTTTTCTCAGAAATTCATGTGACGGATGGTTGCAATCAGGCAGGCTGGTGCAAGGCTGCGGTATGAAGTGAGTTTCTTTTTCTTATGCTTTGTTTTCATATCTGCTCTGTCAGTCACCCTGAGTCTCCCTGGGTAGCTTTGCTGGACTGGTTCATATCGTACGACTGAAAGCTGAAAAGGATCACTATACCCGAAAGAGACGAGCAAGGGGTTGAATTGCGGCAAGAATTCTACTGAAACCCCCTGTCCTCACGTCCCTGCCAAAAGGATGCCCCTTTTAATTCTACAGGAGAATCGCGCGTTTTGTGAGATGCTGAATGGAAGGGAGATTCAATAGAATATTGATGCGTCACGAGGAGGCGAAGCCTGTTTGACGTTCATTCCTGTAAGTCGTGCCACTACTGGAGCCTCGCAAGCTACCACCGACAATGTGAGATTCAACGTGGTTCATTGTTCATATACATAGAAATAAGATCAGTTTCATAGCGGTTAAGAGAGTGAAACGGGTTCTCGCACACGTTATAACGTCAAGTCTTTCGCAGGAAGGGCGGCGTAACCATTAAGTAAAGACGCGTAGACTTCTCAGCGAGCGTGAAGGGGGGAATAAAGTGAGCTGATTAGGTTGAATGACTTTAAGCTCAGAACGACCATGGTCACCAAATAAAAATAGAAAAATCGCGGAATCTGGGAAGTTGGCGTCTACCGAAAACTGCTATGTTGTTGATAATGGGAACCCCTAGCTACAAAAGAAGAAGAAGAAAAAAGGAAGGGGGGGCGGGGGAATTGGCTCACGGGCAAAATATTGTCAGAATCCGATATCCAATTGAGCAGCAACGTGGGTTCGCCTTCTTTGTTGGCCGTAGTTAGACGTATAAACTCCTCAAATTTACTATCGAACTGCCTCCAATGGTCGGCAAGACAAGGAGGAAACGGACGTTACCGTGTCCTTTGCTTAGCTCAATCGTGTTGATCTCAGGAATAGTTTGCCACGAAGGAATTACCTAAACTAATTTTTTTCTGTTGTTTTTGTCTCGACAGAACAGTTTGGGTGTCTCACTGCTCAGGCAGGTCGGAATGTCATTGTGTCGAGTTTCCCGCGGCGAGGTCCAACGCTGCCAAAAAAGCGTGGGGGGACAGTGCATCCATGTCGGCAAACCTCATCAGCATCCCTGGCTTGCCTAATCGCACACTCTTTCTAACGGCCATGTCTCAGCCTACCGCTATGATGATACCATGTTGCTTCCCTTAGAGCGGAAGCTCAGTGTGGCCGCCAATCATGCTGTTACAAGTGTCTTGACTGAACGGATACAACCCAGTCAAGATGTCGACAATAAGCGAAAGGGAATAAGCTGGCAATGGGCTTTTGGCTTGTTCTTGCCTGCAGCAAATTTTCTGGGCGATCATTGGACCAGTCAGCGCATAAGCATGTGGACAGTCAACCTCTTGGTATAAGCTAGCGGAGCCGCTTACGATCACTACACATACACTTATCCGGTACACCAGACTGCAATCTGCGGGAGCGAATCTACTAGCTGCTTGGCTGGGCTCCTCGCAGGACTGCTCTCTATGGAGCCAATAACGGCAACAGGTAGGCTACCAGCCCGCATGATACCGGGTTCAGATCCATCTCGCCGTAGGCAGTTGAGGACAAAGGTATCACGCCTGTGTAGGCCACCTCGTTTACCATTCACGCCAATGTTGACAATATGGAAAGCAAGTCTAGTAACGGTTCTGTGGGTACCGTTTGCGGTCAAGAGAGCCAAGGGAACGGCAAAAACGATGGTCTCCGGCAGTGGAACTAATAACGAGATAGCGAATGCGGTTGGTACAGCTCATTCGTAAACTACAAGTCTTGAGCAAAGAAAGTATGCAGATTTTAGTGGAAATAAACAGAAAAGTATTAGGACAGAAAGGCTCCAAGATTTCAGTGATGGAAACGTTGCTTATCGATTATCATGGTGGCTTGACAGTTTGTTCTGAGACTGTGCCAGGCTTGTGCACCCTTGCGTGCAACATAGAAACACCTCGGCATCAAGCAATGGATCACATGTAGTGGGCAACTTTGGTTGCTCCTAAACAATCATTAACCGTGAAACTATGTTTTTTTACATTACATGGCCACATAAGTCATATCCTATTTTCATCAAAACATATCCCAGAGATTGGGGAAAAGCTCATCAATAATCGGAACCTCCGACGACATCATTAACTGCTGGAACTCAGGCACGGTCGCAGACGGACTATCCGCAGTCAACAGTCTTTCAACAACCTCGGCATACTGAGCCAAACAGAGATCGCCCAGATCCCATCCAGAGTTTTGTTGATGAGATTGCAAAGAATCGATCAGGTTCTTTGCCAACTTGAGGGATGCGCTTTGAGCCAAGCCGCCAGCTGTGTTCTCCGTTTCAAGGGCACAGCGCAGCAGAAATGTAATGGCTGACGTGAAGGCAAAAGCACTGACTGGTAGCCAAAAGTCATTCAGGTGGGTTTCCCCCAGTTCCTGCACGAGGAGGACGATTTCCTCGGCTGCCCGGCGGACCTGAATGTAACGGTTCGTCAACGAGTCTCCGGGCACCGTATCTTCTTGCTTTTCGATATCGAGCTCGATCCTTCTACGCAGCAACTTGGTTGAGAGATACGCCAGCCGCAGGTTTGCGGCACCGGGGATGTGCAGATTATTCCCGCGGGTGATGATTCTTCTGACATCATCGCTTAACGAGTCTTCCCACTGCCCAAGGCTTAGCTCCAAGTCAAGGGAAGTCTGGCCGCTATCCTGGTCACGATCTTGGTTTAGGTCATAAACATGGTCCAGAAACTTGTCGAGAACACCTGTCAGTGTGACAAGGGCCATGAACACCGAGGCGGCTTGGATCTGAGCGTTTGTAGCATCTTTGGTGGTAAGATACTCCAGCGACGGATCCGGCACGTCGTACTGATATCGCTTTATTTGTGGCGGCGTGCCATATGCAAGGCTTAACCTGAGTACGTTGTCAGTCACATTTATACAGCAAGCTACCGATTTCCCTCACCATTTATCATGAACAATAAGTGCCCACCAAATCTTCATTCGCAGACACTTCTCCGGCATAGAGATATTCCAGTCTACAGGATCTCGGTTAAGACCCAATGACTGTGCGAGCGATACAGCAGCTCCCAACTGAATCTCATTCATGATCATCGATGTTGTTGGTCTGCCACCGACGTTGAGGATGATTGCGATGATGGTGGATATCCCTGGTGATATGTGGAGTTCTGAAAACAACGTTTCGGTTGCCTGGTTCCAAATGAATCGAGAATCGGGGAAATATTGTGAGGGCAAGTCTGGACTGTTCTTCCAGAAGATCATGGAGTGTGCGTATAAGACAGACAGCAATGCTGGTGATATCCTATCTCTCGCAGTATTGAACTGGTGTTTGAACGAGACTTCGTCCAGGAGAGGAAAGCAGATGTTGACTTTCTGAAAGTATCTGTGCATCTTCTGGTCAGTCACGCCTTCATGGCAAGGTATCCACTTAGACTCCATGATTCCTAGAGTCGTGATTGTCGGATACCACAAAACTCGAGCGGACATTGAAGAGCTGAGCGTAGTTTTACTCAGGTCAAAGTAACATGGGTCAATGGAACTTACAGATCTATCAACGCTGATATCCATGGCTCTAACATCTTCTCCACAATTTGATACTTCTGCAACGGCGCTGTCTGCCTCGGCGAAAGACCAAATGGACGTTTTCGGACTGCTGTGAAAATAACAGGCTTCCGCACGCCACCCAACACCGTGGAACTGGGCATCTGGCCCGTCTGAACGCCTGGTCTGGGCTTGACCACTCGAATCATCCGCTCGTGGATACTGGGCTCGGAACTGAGGTAGTCCGCTAGGACTTGCGTGTCATTCGTGACCGCTGGACCAATGATGTGAGAGTTGTCCTCGTCCTCGGGACTGTCGAGTGCCAGCATCAAGTGAGTGTTATGCGGATCGAGCACAGCTTTGGGGCCCGAACTAGACGTAGTGCTCATCGGTGGAGACGAGGAGGTCCGTATACCGCCCTGGGATGCATGCACCTTGGATGGCGCAAGAGGTTCACGTCGACAGGGCGTGTTGGACTGCGGGGCGCGGTAGGATTTCTGAACTTTTCCGGGGTTGAGCGGTGCACGGCCGGCGCTTCGAGGCGATGGTGGAAACTCGCAGTCCGTGCCGTAGACATGGCACATCTGACAAGTTGATGAGGTGATTCCTTCTTGTTGCTGGCACCTTGACTTGCGTCTTCGGCACTGCAAGCAGGCCGGGCGAAGATGAGACCTGTACGGCCGGGGCGTGGGTTGATCTGCTACCGCTGACATGGCTTTGTTCTCGCGTTTGGCGTTCATCTGCCTGTTCGACGTTGGCTCGTGGTTTGCGGAGTCCGTTAATCGGCTGATGACCCGGCGAAGTTGAATGGGAGTTGAGTCTTTGATATTTCCCCGCGGAAAGGTCCACAACTACTATCATGTCTAAATCCCGATCAGACGACGCTAGCGTTGATAACCTGTTAGTCAACGCGCAAGCTGATAAGGCGGAGGTTCACCGAGACGGCTCCACTCGATTGTTGCAACAGCTTCGGCGTTCAATTCTATTTCCCGGGTTCATTGGCTTTCCCGACACTGCAGTAAACGCACAGTGCCCACGGCAACTCCACTTGTTCTCCATGGCAATCAACCCAACGTTGCCTGTGCCCCATCTCGGCGCGGGGAAGCTACCTCAATTCTGGGACCCTTATCAGCCGATGGAGCCTGCTACCAGGATATGACATTGTATTGGCTGAAGGAGACCATCCGATATGTTATCTGCAGTCTATGCTGTCGGAAGCAGGCCGCCGTCTTAACAAAAGAAAACCCGCTATTAGCTGAATACTAATCGGGTTGGGGTAGCAGCAGCATGTTGTGTGAAGCCAAAGTGAAGGTCGGACATATTTTACCCGTTGCAATGACAATAAACTTATAACGCCCTCCACGACCAGGGGGTTTCCGCACTGGAAAAGTGTAGATAACTCGCCCTTGCCCAAGCTCATCATTCTCGTGCTCGTCAACGTAGCTCAACACCAGAAGCCCTCATGCCATAATGTTACAATTTCTTTGATTGTACTAATCGTGTCCACTTCGCCCAACGCGTGTTCAATTCCATGTTCTGAGGATCGACCCGCCTTGACCACTTCCCCGCACTCCGCAATGGCTGTTGAGAGATGTCTATGAACGCAGAGCAACCCAGATCTGAGGCCCTGGAATTAGGGAGAAGCAGCCTTCCTGTCCTGGCTGTGCCGGTGAGAATCTCAAGGCCGCTCAAGCCAAGCTTTCTGACGAGGCCAAGACACTCTTGCAACAAACCGATATTTCCCATGTTCATATGTACAGGCTTCTCGAAGATGAAGAAGCACATTAGAAACTACGGAACATACCTGTTGCAGTATATCGATAAGCAGGCACTGAGTTATGGTACCGTCTTCGATCTCTCCGAGACAGTCAGCACTATGTAGAGCCAGTGCTCATGGCTTGCCTGCATCTTCTGCTTCGCTTACCCTGTCAAAGAGTGGCCGGCCAGTGTTCTCGCTCAGCATTTGGCACGGTCGTTAGTGTCTTCCTTGTCTCCCAGGGGGGACTTCGTGATGATTATCAGCATGCGGTAAACCCGAAAAGAAGCGCGCACGCGAGCGCGAACTCTCTACTGCCTGGACAGGTTCAGCTCTATGATCAGAGGTATATTATTTTATGGTGTTGGCCGGGCCGATGGATTGGATGCTTGAGGATCAGCTTTTCGATTTGCGGTGGCCTGGCTATCGTATGAGTATCATTCTCTTCTTCGATCTGCCCAACATCATGACGGCGAGTGATGCGCTGTCAAGCAGAGAGGGCTACTCATTGCGCGCAGCTAAAACAACAAGATCGGCATCTCCAGCCAGAAGACTGGGCTCATCCGATTCAATGGACTATCAAAGGGCTTTCAGGGCTAGCTTCTGTCCTTCTACCCTCTGCTGAGCGACAATATCAATGGAGGCGTTGCTAACTTTAGCAAACTCAATTTCAAAGGTTTAACTGAAGATGCTCTCTGCAGGACGGCGTACCATATTCTTCACGGAGCCTGTGTCCTTTTCATCAGTTTCATTGACCCCTTTTGCGCTTCAAAGTTCAAGAACTTCTGTACCGTTGTGATGATAAATTTAGTCGTGCCACTGCTCATTGAGGTATAACTATGCCTGAAACTAGACAGAGGAAATAAGAACGACCTGTTGATGGACCTGATACATTGTGAGAGGTCCCTGATCCATGAGATTGCACCCCGGGTTCGCTGATGTCCACCCATGGAGAGTCCATTACTTGTTGGTGCCCTCGCTACCGCCCTATAGACCCGCCTACAAATGTTGCATTCGATACAAAGCGCGTACCTCAAATGAGGTTGTCATCCCCACGTATTGTTTGGAAAGAATTATCAACCATCTGTAGTAAGATATGGACACCTTGGATTGGGGACATTTGTTGCTTAGCATTGCGGCAATGGAAGAGAAACCCGTTTTGACATGTTTTGTGATAGACCAATTTCCTGTCTGGAAGAAGCTTTAATTGTTATGCAGTCAGTCACAAGAAGCTACAAGCTGACCGCTCGTCATACTCAAGCGGCTTGGAGAGCGGTACATTAAACTGTACGGCCCGAAGAGGGAAACAATTCAGTCATCGGCGACCGTAGGCAAACAAGATTCAGTGCAACGTATCTATACAAAACACTTGTCAAAGTCTACCTAGTGTCTACGAAGGGACCGATGTCAAACCTGGTTGCAGGCCAAAACGCCCATTGATCACAAAGTTCACCATCTCGAGATTTACAGCTTCGCAACGCCAAATCCGTTCTGCTTAGCCCGCCCAAGCAATCCTCTCGAGATGTCCTTCAGCTTCGCCACGCCCATCAAAGCCATTGTTCTTGCTAACTCTCTCTCGAGGATGTTGAGTACTCCCTCAACACCCTTCTGTCCATCCCATGCAAGTCCCCACAAGGCCGTTCTTCCGATAAGACACAGATCAGCACCGAGTGCAAGTGCCTTGAAGACATCAGTTCCGCGAGTGATGCCACCATCAACGATTACCGGGATCCTGCCCTTCACGACATCCACAATTTCAGGTAATGCCTCGATTGTTGACGGTACACCGTCGAGTTGGCGACCTCCATGGTTAGACACGACGATGGCGTCTACACCAGCCTCAATAGACCTTTGAGCATCCTCCGCGGTCAATATCCCTTTCAGAATGATCTTCATCTTAGTCTGTGACCGGAGCCATGGAATGACCTCGTTCCACTCAAGGCTTGAGTCGACGAGATGGTCTCGGTTTTCGTCTTGGATCTTCTTGTACTCGGCCGCCGTCTTCGCCCGCAGGAGGAGACCCGCTGTGGATATGGCGCCAGACTTGCTCGACTCAACGTTGGCCATAGCGATCCCCGGCGGGAGCTCCAGCGGCGTTCTTCTTTCCTGGAGACGGTTTCCCAAGATCACGGTGTCGACAGTCAGCACGAGTGCTTCGTAGCCTGCCTTCTCGGCTCGCTGAATCAATTTCGCTGTGAGGTCTCGGTTTCCGAGGAAGTAGAGCTGAAACCATGGTCGGGGATACTCGGGACTGCGCTGAGGGATTGCCTTTTCGACGTCCTCGAGGGATGTTGTTGCATTAGTGGAGAGGGTGAGATTGGTTCCGAGGTTGAAGGCGGCGCGGGCGACGTCGAGTTCGCCTTCGCCGCCAACGAGCTTCTGGTATGCGCTTGGGGCGATCGCAATTGGGATATCATACCGTTTCCCGAAGATTGTTGTGGTGGTATCGATGCTTCTTACGTTGCGAAGCATTTGAGGTCGCAGAAGAATACTAGATGTCGGACGGCCGGTTAGTTTGCCGCATGAGGGTCCAATCCGGGATCATCTCACTCGTTATAGGCTGCGTGGTTGCGCTCAAGCGTGTACTCGTCGTCGGCACCGGTTTGGTAGTAATCCCACACTGGCTTAGCGAGCTTCTTCTTTGCGATCTTGTGGACGTCGGCAACGTTCACCGGTTCGGGGTGAGCTTCTTTAATGACAGTCATGATGCAAACAAGTTTGTGGGGTATCAAATCCTCGTCGTCGTGACTCTGGTTGGAATCATCACCATCGCGAAGTTTAGAGCATTGAAGAAAAGTTGCAGGTTTATTTACTCAACGGAAGTGGCTGTCCGATCTCGGGGCTCCGACACATCGCGTCACTCGGTGCATACTCGGTATCCGCCCCGGTCTTGCGAACCGCTGCAAGCTGCCCAAAATTAGAAGGGTGCACTTTGTGCCGTAAGACGGGATCAATACGGAAACTGACCGGAAGGAAACCTTTGCCCTGGACGCGATCGCATTGGAGCCTTGTTGAACGTCATATTCAACAATATTGGCGAATCAGCCCTGGCTTGTCATGGAGCTTTCCCTGCTGAGCCACGGCGGTTAATGTGGGGTGTCGAAGCTATTGTCGGGGATTTTTGCCTTTTCAGGACGCTAGAGTTGAGAAAGGTGGGCGGAATATGACCCGACGTTCGGCATACCTTAGATAGGCATTTCCAGCATCTCCTCTGGCGTCCAATATTTCTGCATGTTTTCAGCTCCCAGTATCTCGACCTCCTGGTCTAGATGTAAGAGGAGCACATCTCCCCACGAATCCATTTTGCTATTGAGGACTTGCATCTCCAACTGGCTCTTGCGCGCGCGACAACTTTCCAGGTACCGCTTGAATTCTTCAAGTCCGCGATGTATCTGGCGGTGCTGTTCCGATAACAAAACGCCGTCCCCCTGAAACTCTGGCATTTTACGAGCTAGAAGAGGAAACAAGGCTCTTTTTTCGATATTGTGATGGTTCATCAGACGATAAGAGAGGAAGAGACCTTCTCTGATGATCTGGTCGTCAGTTAATTTGGACGCATCATCAGGCGACATGCACGCGCGATAGAGGCGCTTCCAGGTTCGTCGGAAATAGCCGTACTGCGATCCAATTTAGAAACAGCCTACTAACGTATTCTTGAAGATGATTAAAAGGCATTGTGTACTAACAAACTTCTCCATCGTCACCGCAAGGCGGTTGTAGATCTCGAACTCCGACGGCGTCAGTGCACGACATCGCGCTTCCTGTTGACGCCCGTGGCCACATCGAAGTCCTGTTTCCAACGGTTATTTGGAAATGACCAGATCCAAGTACCCTGCCCGATTCTAACCGTTTGAACAGAGGCTGTTCTTCAGAGAAGTGTACAATAAAAGTCGATCGCGTTTCCAGCGACTTATGCTCCGTCTTTGGAGCTACCCAATTGGCATCAACCTAAGGTCAAGAGCATGAAATACCTGGGGAAATTTGGCGAATTTGAAAGTCACCTAGTCACCCGCGTGCCTTGGAATATGATGGTGTAAGCTAGGCTCTTGTCGCTGAAAGGCAACCAACTTCGCGTGACACGTAGACACTAAAACCCGGTAAATCCCTGGCTGGTCGTTGTTTCGTCATAGAGCTGTCAGTGGACAATATTTGTCAGCCATTGCAGCTTAGAAATCAGTAACCTTCTAGCAACCAGCGTGCCTCTTGCAACATTCCGCGTTGACATCGCAACATTGGACCTTTCTATCACATATAAGGGCACCAGACAAACTGCATAGCCCATTCAAGGAAACAAGGCTACCAAGCAACAAATTGTTGTCTAACAACCACCTAATTAGTATCATCAGACCAAACGCAATGGCTGCAGCGCGTCCCACAGGTCTTATTGCCAAGAAGGGCATTGAGCTTCTGACATTCGGTAGGCCACAAAGGCAGCACATTTCGCCTTTGCTTTGCTAATCCCTTATAGGAACCCCCAATGGCTACAAGGCTAGCATCATTCTGGAAGAGCTGAAGGAGGCCTACGGACTCCCGTTTGTGGTCCAGAGCATCAACATCATGCAGAACATCCAAAAGGAGCCTTGGTTCACCACACTCAATCCCAATGGCAGGATTCCGGTCATTGTTGACCATGATAATGAGCAACTTGCTGTCTTTGAGGGCAGCGCGATTTTGAGCTATCTCACCCGCAAGTACGATACTGAGCACAAATTCTCATTTGCTCTCTCGGATAACGACTACACCAGGGCTGAATCTTGGATTGGCTGGCAGCATGGCGGCCTGGGCCCCATGTAAGATCACCCCATCGTATTAGACTGGCAATGATGCTAATGATAGGGTTCCTGCTAGGCAAGGCCAAGCCAACCACTTTGTCAGATTTGCCAAGGAGAGGATCCCCTATCCCACCCAGCGCTACGTCGGCGAGACTGAGCGATTGTTCGGCGTTCTCAACACACATCTTGCCGAGCGGGATTTCGTCGTCGGACCCAACCGTGGCCGGTACAGCATTGCGGACATCTCGATGATTGGTTGGGTCCAAAGTGCCCCCATGGCTGGTATTGATATCAATCAGTTTCCGTCCGTCAAGGCGTGGTTGGAACGATGTCTGGAGAGGCCTGCAGTCCAACGAGGTATTAAGATCCCGTCGCCTCCCTCAATGTCTGTTGCCAACATTGAGAAGCGATTGCAGGATGAGAAAGAGTTTGCTGAGAAGGAGGTCGAGGTCAAGAAGCAGATTGATGAAGCCAAGAAGGCCTACGGTTATGTTTACACATCGCCATGAATGATGAGTTTATGTTGGATCGTTTGCTAGCAATCGAGGCCAGTACAACAGAGGTGCCTGGTATAGAGAAACAGTCATCAAATGATTGGACGTTATCCTGGTAACTTGCAATGGCGCTGCTTGGAGTGGTCAGTCGCAAACATCCATCGCGGAGGTGTTTAGAGCAATCAAGATATGCTCAAAATATTTTGACAGTTGTCCAGTTTCTCGAAATATTGAGATGTAGTCACCATGATTTATGCCTATCGAAACCTGCTTTACTAATTCTTTTCCCAGTCTTTCTTTGAGCAGACGATGTATCGGATTAAAATCGACTGGACACACCGCTTACATTTCACAGGTTCTGGCTGCTCATTAATTAACCTTGGTTTTCGGACGATCTCAGCCTAAATTCACCGAGATATAACCCGGCTACCATACTTTTCACACGCCACCACCGAGTGGCCATCGCTAATATGAATTATACAACTATCAATTACAATATATCAATCCTGCACCCCACCAACTACAATGCAGCTTTCTGAATCACTAGGTAATTCAGAGCCACTAGATTCATCTGTATTAAGTTCAACTTCGCTGGCCTCATTTCGCGCCCGTCGGATGTTCTTGATGTTGGCGGACTTCTTGATAGGGTCCATCTGGACAGTCTTTCTTTTTACCCTACGCTGGCCATCCAACTGCGACTTCAGTGCCTCAGCCTCCTGCTGCAGAGTTGCCAGGCGCTGCTCCATTTCTTGAAAACCCTTTAGGATTTTTCTAAACAACAATCGTTGTGTGTTAACATCCTTTGCATCCTCTCCAAGCTTGTTGAATAGTCTGAGTTGCTCCCGAAGTTCAGCGGGCTTCCGCGGTGTGAACCATGGTACGATAGATGCAGCAGATTCCCATTGCTGGCTCCCTCGGTTGCCATCAGACTGCCCTCTGCAGCTCCTATCTGCGTTTGCAACTTCGGCTGAAGCTCCATTGGCATTTCTGGAATTGATTCGTCGTCTTCTCGGGGCCTTAATGGATGGGTTCCTTCTCAGAAAGCGCAGCATCCACTTCCTCCCAAGTACTTGGGGGTCACCAGACTGCTCCTGTAGGATACGCTCAGCCTCCTCTTTGATTTGCTGATAGGTTGGCGCAGAGCCTCTCGCATCCTGATTACGGACCCATTCGACAAGTCTGCTTTCCTGGCTTTGAGACAACTTCTGCAGATCATTAAAGGCGACGTCCCTTGATTGAGCGCCTTTCAGCCGACACCGCAAGGTTGAAGCAGGGACTGCCCACTTGAGTGCTGCCTGACGCAGACTACTCCCATCAGCAACATCCTCAAGGGCCTTCTGGACCTCAGTTTCAGTGTAATTGCCCATAACGGCAAGAATAAGGCGTCTGCATGAGATGGCGTTATTTGATGTGCATTGGATATAGGTCTGATAGTTGGCTGGTGAAGAATAGGTAAGGTGATGAGGGGTTTCTATTTGTGCGAAATGTGGGTTATAATTATTCGGCATTTTTATTCGCTGACGTAATGCTATTTCCACTGATAGGCCTCTCTGGGTACTGTTCATCGGAAGATGGTGCACACCCCACAGGTTGCATCGCTGAATCCTTGCTGAGCGAAATGCTGGAAGTTTGGGATCTATGTTCGGTGCAGGAAGCTTCTCTACTTGATGAGTGTGAAATCTGGTTGCTAAATTTGATCTTATGGTGATATCGGTGGATTGCCAATTGTCACTTGGGTCGCTATCCTAGACATGTCCACAACGTACAGAGAGAATACACTGAATGCAATCGTGGTCTGCAACAAGTGTTGTCTAATTTGGGCTGCAACATAACGGCGTCTAACTACCACATCGGACTTCAAAGCTGATGCCACATGATAAATTGAAAGACTCGAGACTAAATACTTGTTCTTGTGATAACAACTCTGCTGTCAAACCCAAGGAAACATTCTCGTAGCTTCCAGGCTTGGGGTGCCGAAATTCGAACTCACATGGGCTCATCAACTGCAGACTCACATCCAGGGCCCTGCCCACTTACACCCCCACCTTTTCTCCGAACACGACATTTGAAGACGACAATCCTTAGGCACTTGATCAGGTATATATTTCTCTGCAATTGTCGAATAAGACATGTAGTTGGCTTAACCGCACATCTGACGTGAGTATGCGGTCAAATGGGACATCCGGCTGATTGTGTAATCCCGATGAGTTGTGAAAGGTTAATGCTAAATTCAGCTCGCCCCTTGCTAATGTATGCCCCACTTTATTTACGCTAGACCTGTGGCCCTACCAAACATTGACCTTTTTGGTACCACACCAGACGACTTTTGTTCGTGTCAACCTCAAATTTGACATATCGCGCCAAGTTTCTCTATACCACATCTTCGAGTTATTGCACCTGCACCAGCAGCCACAATCCATGCAACATAACAATGGAGGAACTTCCTATCCAACCTACTGGTCTCTTCTGGCAAGACGACTTCATTACTGCCGAGCATGAAGAGAGGCTAATCCACATTTTCCGGCACGACCTCACGTGGCCGGATCGTTCCGGCCGGCTGTCGCTGCACTACGGCTACACCTTCGATTACAAGACGTTCGGGGTAGACCCGAATATTCCATTCACGCCGTTTCCGGATTGGTTGATACCTCTAATCCCTACGAGGGAGCACAGGCCGCCAGACCAGGTCTGCCTCCAGCACTACCCTCCTGGGGCTGGCATACCGCCACACGTCGACACACATTCGGCGTATGACCAGTTGTATGCGCTATCTCTAGGCTCACCAGTCATGATGCAGTTCGTGCGACCTGCGATGGGCGAGGGCGAGGATGGAGATATGGTGGAAGTTGACCTTACGCCGAAGAGTATGCTGCAAATGTCGGGTGACGCGAGACTCCACTGGAAGCACGGTATTAGGAAGCGCAAGACAGATACCTTACCAGACGGCACGGTCCGTAAGAGAGGTGATCGGTGGAGTATCACGTATCGATGGGTCAGGGAGCCGGCGGTTTGCGAATGTGGGGACGCGAAGTTGTGCGACACGGCGCAAAGGAGACTAGGGATCGAGAAGGAATACCGGTGGAAGAAGGGGGACGGTGAAAATACGACAAAAGGAGCAGATCTGAAGGCCGAGGAGACGACGACATGACCTTTTCAACATTTCTTCATATGGAGCAAGATGATCCTAACCAGAGGGAAGTACGTGACGCTCACGTCTCGTGCTCTGCCGGATATCAAAGCATCCCAAACTCCATCCTTTCCGCGAAGCACAAAGACTCGGCTGGGAAACTACTCAGACAGAACTTCATAGATGTTGTGCTTTGCACCCACCTAGTCAAAGATTTTCAACCAAGCTCTTATTCAGTTAACTTGTGTTGTTCTGGTCGAACAGCATGATCCAAATATAAACTTATTACAGAGTATCATGTGTCAAGTAATATCGAGTTTTGATGACTTTTTAAGCACTCTCTACTATGGTCGATTAATAGAGAAGTTCATAGCCAAGATTTGTCGCTTTCATTTTCTGTCCGGGAGGAGTAAAGTGCACAATATGAATACAACAAAGCCACATCATTCTTCATCAAAGTCTCCTCTTCTGCTAGATGAATGGTCTTTTTTGTCCATTTGATCCAAGAAAATTGTTTTGAAGTTAGGGTATGAGTCCAGATTTACCTTGCGTTGAGTGAGGGGGAAAAGGCATTTGCGCTTCGATTCAACCCTCCCCCCTTTGGCGCTTTTCCTTTGACAACTTTTTGCATTCTGTTGCCTTTTGGGAGTTATCTATTGGCGTATATACTTAGCAGGCAGGTAGAAGAAATGACGCGGAAAAAATATCGAGAGCCCCGATGGCCTTGTCATTTGATAGTTGAGCGGAGCGAATCGCTGCTGATAAATTCAGATTTACCCAGGCGAACGACGGGATTTGTCGAAACATGCTCGTATGAATCAAAGGTTTTGACCGACAAGAATCAAAACACATCTTTACACATTTCAGAGCTTTTTGATCAGACTCACGCGGTCACGCGAGCTAAGATATGACAGGTGACGTTTATCTATTGATAATAATATCTTGTAATCGAATGAGAAATATTACTAGTTGAGCTGAAAATCCAATGAGTTTGTTTAGACCAAGGTCTCTGATACCTTTTGAGACAATTGCGCTTTTTTGCAAATCTAGTTTGACAAGATCACAAATCGAACTATGACGGCCTGACCAGGACCGGTGTGCGGGGTAGTAATTTCAACATCAAACATTGTACCCCTGTAGTAGTGTTGGTTACGCCTTCCGATGATGACAAGTTGACATCGCGTTGAATTGTCTTTAGACAGGTTCCTCAAACTAGGACGGCATAGACCGGCTTCTCGGTGTACAAGACTGAAATGAGTATGGTGCCGATGCGTCGTAATCAAATCATGTAACCTCCAGCCTTTTGAGTCAGAACACTTCATCGTGAGCGTCCTCAGTAATCACAAACAGCACTTAAGGGAAACAAGCTGCTTGGCCGGGCGTATTCTCCATCCCAGTCCCTTGACCAGTAGTTGTTCCATCAATCGGAGCATCGCATCTTCTTTGAAGCGGATTCGGTCACGGCCTCTAGCAACCATTGATAACTCGGAAGCTACGGCATTGGTAATGACTCAGTTGTCTTTCAGTCAAAATTCGCTCAAGAACCCAAACTCTAAGTCTTGTGATTACAATTCTTTAGTCCTTGTCTATCCAGTTCGGTCATAACGCACTAAGGCATTACTTCTTTGCTCGATTCGTACAAGGTGCAATTTCCGTGCTTTCCGAGTCCTCCTTGCCAAGTGGGGTTTCCTCGCTGGAGGACACAGGATAGCCAAGTCGGCGATTTACCGCCTTCCCCCAGATCCCTGTCGGCCTATCTGTCCGATCGAATTCGTCCACCTCGTGTATCGGCAGCCCACATGAGCCACGCGTAAGTAAGCTTTCTGATGCTATTACTGTGTTATGAAACTAGATCGCTCATGGCTTTCCTGGAAGTATTGAAACAGCAGCATAAGATGACATGCTCCAGGATCCGTTACAGAGAAAAAGTAGACAGGCGAAAATGTTCGCATTCTGTGCGTCGCATTTAAGCTTTCCACATGCATTACTCTACGTGTTCATTTGCTGCATTGCTTGTATAAAGAATTGTTACACTGGCAACTTGGTCCGGTCTTTCTCGCTTATTGCCTTGTTTGACATATCCACTACGGTATCATAAAGCATATGCGGCATTCGGAAAATGGCCATTGGAGGAGCCCATGCATACATACATGGGGTCTGCTCGCGATCTTGTTGGTCGCAAAAACTAGATTAGAAAATACACTAGTTCCTTCCTACAGTTAAGGAAAGTCAGTGGATACGACTGGGATGCAAAGAAAATCAACTTAGGTTTATTCCTTAATGCGCGTTTAGCCAATCTAACTTGCAACCAGGTGTTTGGGTAAGCTTAGTCAATTCAACATCCGCTCGTATCTAATGTACTCTTTTGGGGTCATCAACTCCCAAACTCAATTGTATTTTACGCTAGAAACCGATGCTTTCTCATGTCCTCTAACTATTGTTCCATTCTAGTGCGAAGGAAAAGGCAATATTGTTTTCAACCACTTGACTCTGCTTTGAAGTCGCCGCTAATCATACTGAACCTTTGTAATTTAACCAATGTTTTACCACCGTGGAACATGAGGCTGTTTAGTTTCTTGGCTTTAGTACGACCCTCCAGTGTCCGGTCGCAAATTGCATGGTGATGTATTGCCGGAAGTCAATGTCTTGACCAGGAACTTCGAGAACGTCGAATCTTTGGAGGAGATTGGCAGCAACCATTCTCATTTCAGCCCAGGCAAAGCTATCGCCACGTTAAACTTTTTCTGATGTATCACCATAAGGCACAACTTACTTGATACCAATGCAAGAGTGCTTGCCTCCGGAGAAAGGGTAGTATGCATCCATGCTACGCCGCTGGTTAGTTTTGAACAAATGGTGTGTTACATTAGGGAAACTTACTCGGGCGCGGGAGCGCCATCTCGTTTGTCTTCGGAAAGCCACCTTTCTGGCCAGAATCGTTCAGCCTGAGGCCAATACTTTTCGTTACGGTGCAAGTCACGATATGAAGCCGAGACAACAGTATGAGGGGGGAGATCGTAGCCGCACAGACTGATCCATTGGTTTCCTGTCCGGCGACCCATCTCCGAGGCGATGGGATGCAGACGCAAGTTCTCCTTGATACATGCCTCAAGGTACTCGTATTGCGTTTCATTGCGGACAGATTTGCTCGTCACGACATCGTCGTTCAACGTCTTTGAGGGCAGGGATGCAAACAGCTTGGCGCGGACGTCGGGATTACGAGCAAGTTCGAGGAAGAGGCAGCCGATAGTACCCGAAGTTGTTTCAGAACCGGCGAGGAGTATTTCAGCCATTTGGTCGACAATGTCGCGGGCAGACATGCTGGTGCCGGTGTCGGGCTTCTTGCCCTCTTCAATGAGGTGTTGGAGGAGGTCTTGGCGCTCAACTTCCGAGGTGCGCTTGCGTCGTTGTACAACAGCGTCGATAGCTGTAATCATCTCCGCTGGCCAGTCAAATTGGATGCTTATACCAAGAGATCGGAAAAATTTCTTGATGTAAACAGTCTATTGGGAAAGGTTAGTAATGAAAAATAAGACTCATGAAGTTGGACATACCTGATAACGTCTGCTGAGGCCGTCGAAGATGGAGCGAGGAATGGACTTCCAGATCCTCTCATCCACGCCGTCCTCGATCAATCTGTCCGGATTGGTCTGTCCAAAGCCTTTCCCGAAAGAACTTTCTCCCATGCTATTCCATCGTCAGCAAATCCGTCGTTGTAACGATAAGTAGCCAACTCAGCTTACATGTCCAAAGCAACATTATGAAGGTCGTCCATCAGATCGACCTCAATGCCCTGCTTCGCGAATAGCACTGGGTCCTCGTTAAGCTGCGTTTGGTACTTATTGAGTAGATCGCGGACAGTAGTCTTGAAGAAGGTTTCAAGGTTGTCGATGTAGCTGACGGTGAACGCAGGAGACAAAAAGCGCTTGAGACGCTTGTGTGGCTCTGGTCGGCTATTGAAAAGTCACATTAGGCGTGTCTCGACTTGCCGTGGGCAGGAACCTTACATTTCGCCGAACAAACCCGGACTGAACTTGTCTCGGGAAATTTCAGCGTACATCGCAACTTTTGGAAGATCGGTCTTCACCAAAATCTCCTTCATGGCCTCCTTGTTGGAAATCCAGACCTGGCGAGGGCCCAGACGAATGATGGATCCATACTGCTCATGGCTTTTCTCCACCAATTTCCAGATTGTACCGGTTGAAAAGAGATATCGCAAGTGCAGTGTTGTAAAGGGGCATACCAAGGCCCGGGGATTTTTTTAAGGGGAGATTTGAAGGCCGTTATCTTTTGTCTAAGTTGAAGTCCAGCGAAAGCGAGGACCAAAAAATAGACGGCGAGGATGTAAGCCGATGCCATTTTGACTATGGATAGGACCGCTCTGTATCAAAGACCAATCAACAAAAGAACGATGACCTGATGATAGGATGATAGTTCACTTAGACAACGGGAATGAATGTGATTGCAAAACTAGGGTTGAAATAGCGAGCGATCATTTTAATACTGATACGCACCTCGTGGGAGAGTACCTTCGAAAGTAATGAGATGAACACTCAAAGACCCTTACACCAGACTCTTAAGCAACATGCACAACATGCAGGCCAGCCCGGGCCGGAACTGTGGTCGTGGCTGTGGTGGGAAGCCGTCATCAATCACACGACTCAGTAGAGGAGCACCGTAGCTGTATGAAGCTCTTTGAATGTGATGCATGGTTTCAACCTCTCTAAACTTTATTATAGTAGGGTAGTCAGTGGCGTGCCAGGGGGACCGTTCTATAATTCCTGGGAAGATGCAGGTTCTGAGGTCGTATCCGATGGTAAGGGCACGCCTTACATCTTTGAGTTGGAACTTGCAGCTGCAATCATCATGACTAGGAGGTTGCAACTCCTGCGGAAAAGAACAGGGGAAGCAGTCCTACCCAAGTTTCGGTAGGCTTGGTATAAACTCTGACCAACGTGCACCAATGGATCTCTTCCAAGTAGTTATTATAACTATAACGTATATGTATAGTGAGCTACGTATTATAGTGAGCTACGTATAAAAAATTCTTGCGCTTCTGTTTGCCTATCAGGAAAGGCTAGACGGGGTGATATTTTGGATAAAGCAGCGCCCGATGCTCTTTCAAATAAGAATGAGGAACCCTCAACCAGATTCGTCAGCGTTGCGTTCTGTGGGGCAATCCATGGGCAGCATTGGCGCGCGTGTATTCACTTAAGGTTGCGGTTCCAATAGAGCTCTCAGACTTGGCCAGCCATACGTCTAGGATTTCACATCTATCTTCGTTGACAACTCCGCGAGCGCTCTACTCTATGAAATGTTGACTCCGTGCTCGTGAGTCTGAAAAGTCTATGTCTATGACTCTCTTTGTCCGTCTAAAACAGTTTGATCATGCTATACATGCTACTCTATTTGGCCCATCTCATAGCACCCTGGCAGTTGGGGTCCTGCTCCACATACTTAAGGGAGCCGAAGACAGACCAAAGCTGACCCAAGAAGCTGCGGTCGTCGCGGTGGTAGAGATCACCGAGAAGAGGCTTGATGGACTCAGTAGCCTCATCGGCCTTGTAGAAAGGAATCCGACTGCGTACCGTTAGTAGACTGTTCATACGGCTCAAAGACTGAATGGGGGTGAACTAACGGGAAGAGGTGATGAACGACATGCTTCTCGATGATGCCGTGGAACAGGTGCTTGCCAATGAAACCAAACTCGCGATCAACAGTAGCAAGGGCACCCTTGACGAAGGTCCAGCCCTCCTCAGTGTAGTGGGGGACCTCGGGATGGTTGTGATGCAGGTAAGTAATGGCAACTGAGGGATTTATTAGCAATCTGGCAACAAGAGGCATGTGAAACTCAAAAGTATAGTTTCAACAGGTACAGAGAAGGGGATGCATACCAAGCCAGTGGTGGACCCAGAAGTAGGGGACGGCGTAGAGGAGCATGACGGTGGAGACGTCAAGGACGTGGGCGGCCTTGTACAGAGCGGAGAAGGTGATAGCCAGACCAATATCAGAGATAGCAATGAAGATGGCCTCATTGGGACGGAAAACGGCACTAGTGGGGCCGAAGTGGCTGACACCAAACCAACGTCCGAGACCGTTCACTTCACGCTGCAAGCTACCCTTGCCAGCAGTAGCATTGAAGAAGAGGTATGCCTGCCATCCGAAGAGTTGGTGAGTGATCAAGTTGATCAGTTGGGTGATGGGCGCATCTTCAAAGAGCTCGTGAAGATCGATGCTGCCAAACAAGGGCTTGCTGGAGGGCTTGGGCTGCGTTGCAGGGACAAAAGCCATGTCCTTTTGCATGTGACCAGTAAAACGGTGGTGGCGGTGGTGAGAGAACTTCCACGAGAAGTAAGGGACCAAGAGAAAGGAGTGGAGAACCCAGCCAACGCAGTCGTTCAACTTAGTGTTCTTGGAGAAGGCACCGTGGCCGCACTCATGGCCGAGAATCCAAACACCAGTGCAAATGAGGCCCTGGACGAAGCCGTAAACCATCCAGGCCGTAGCGCGGAAGATGGGGTCTTGGATGACGGGGATGTAGGTCAGAGCAGCCCAAACGAGGCCAGCAACCATGGTAAGGTCGCGGAAGACATAGTAGAACGATGTCACAAGCGAAGGCTCAAAGCAGTGAGCCGGAATGGCGTCCCTGATGGTCTGGATGTCAGGGAAGACGGGCTCGTTGCTCTTCTGTAAAAGAATCAGTATACCGATCACCGATCGATGGCGCAGCATCGGAAGCTATTTGCCGACTAACTTGAGGCTTCTCGACCACCACGGTGGTCGAGGTACGTTGACGGTTCGCCATTTTCTTTTGCTTGTTTGCAGTTTGTTCGTCGTTTGCCGGTGGAACTGCGAAGATATATGAGATGAACGAACAGAACGATCAAATGTCAGGACCGGCACAGATTATGGGGATGAAGGAGGGAATGAGCTAAAAGAGAATGAAGCTGAGAGCGAACGGAGAGAAGGGTAAAATTTTCTCACTTGCCCGAGGTTAGGGGGAGGGATGAAAAGGTTCAGATCTCGCGCGGGCAAAGATTAAGGCAAGGACGGGGACGGTAGCAGACCGCCAACGAGAGAGACGTGTCTCCTTGTCCCTTTTTTAGCAGCGGGAGCATTAAAGGTGGGCCAAAAGCTCATGGTGAGGACGATCCTTGGAATAGGGGTCCAAACAAGCCTGGACTTGCCTTGCCCACATGCATTGGCATTGTCACATTGCGCACAGAGCGGCAGAAAATTTTACGCTGACAATGATGAAGTGTTTGGCATTGTTCGAGGCCGCTTCAAGACGTGACTCGCCACTTGGTGTAACCTTGGGGCTTGACTAAAAGCAACGCAGAGCCTCCAGGCTTTGAGCCTTCCGCAGCGTATTCCATGACTCGATGATGACAGCCACATAAGGCTATTCACGCAAAGTGATCGCTGAAGAATGTCTCGCATTCCTCACAGACGCACCAGCAGGCCTGGGTCAGTCTCGCTCAGAAGAGGAGCAATTGCAGGAGGCAACCAGCAATTTCGGGCGGTGAATGTTATCAGGAGCTAATGTTGAGAAACGCGAATCTATCATGCTGCGAGAGTCCTGGGATGCCCCAGAAAAGGCCTCGCCGCTTAAAAGAGACTAAACGCCATTTGGACTAGCTATGAATGAATTCCAAGGGTCTGGTTCCACGTGCGGATAACAAAAGGCTTGGAAAGCCCACATAAAGGTTCCCAACCCCAACACTTTTGCCCCTTGCTCTCTGAGACGGACTCGGAAATGACACCCACAATGTGTTTGAGCTTGAATCTCGTTTAAAGTCGCTCAAGGGCGGCGCCGAGGACCCTGAAGACCCTTCTGTTGACAGTGTATCATTTGGACAGACCCCATTGGATAGATGCTTCGGAACCTGTCCAGCTTCTCCAACCCCCTCATTGCTCAGAGACTGAAAGCCGAGCGCCTCCAACTGTTCCAAACAAGGGGCCGTGCGGCAATGTCGCGGCCCACTCGGGGCTTTACGGAAACACAAGGGAAGGCGGTCAGAGACACAAACGGTCGACTTTGTTAACATGTGCCAGCTTTCACCCCATGTTGACTCTAGCATGGGTTGCCTAGAGTCGATGAGGTGATGGTGCCGATTGGTCGATGATGTTGATCAGGGGGCGATGTTGATTAGGTGATGATGCTGACACCATCAGCCACCATCAATCACCATCCGGTGCTTTATCCGTCGGTTTGAAGACTAAACGTAAAGGGTAATGTTAACAGCAGCTTTTGTGCACGTTCTGCTCGGATTCCCGTCGCCTACTTAGTTCAATGCAGACAAAAAGCTTAAAAGCTTCCATGCGGGTTCTAGCAACCAGCAGAGGCTGCAAGAGTCAAGCTTCTAGGGCAGCCCTTCCTCTCCGCCCCTGCACACCTCAAACTAATTGATTTTGGTAACTGGTGCTTGATTGACACTGAATCGTCACAACTCATTGCAACCTAGCGTAAAGTCTATTTGTCCTTCAATGCCAATTTCAAAGGTACAGCAACAGCGGATACTATGGATATGGCATTGAAGGGCACCAGGGCCCATATAAGACATTTGCCTGTTTTTGTCCGTCTGATATCTAGAAAGGGTTCCCTAAAGCAGTACTTGTTGTTTTGTTATTTTGAGTGCCATATATCACTGCTACTCTCTATCTCTTCAAGTCTAATAATTGAAGTTGACTTTGCGGCACTCAGGAACTGTATCAGTTAGCAACAATATGACAATTCGTAAGGAGACCGGAACCAACTCTAGGATTTTGACAGATTTGGTAGAGTTCGTAAACCTGAATTCTCCTTATTATGCCAAGTCCTGGAAGTGTTGGTTGGCCGGTAAGAGCAATGTGGTCTCCTTGGGAGACTTGCCTGTTGTTGACCATGAATCTTTCTGGGAGGCGAACACTTGCCTAAACAGCAAAGTGATAACCTCGAAGCAAACAGATGGCATCGTGTTTAAGACAGGAGGTGAGTGACCTTGAGTAATGAAAGGATAGTTGACTGATTCTTTTCGTAAGGAACAACCACACACCCAAAGGTGTCCTTCTACAACCAAAAAGAACTTCATGGGCTATCTACTCAACTTGCTGAGTGTTTAGCCCGCTGCGGAGTTGGCCAAGGTGACATGGTTGCCAATCTCTTCTACGCCGGCGACCTTTACGGAAGCTTCTTATTGCACATCCTCTCGGTCTATCACCTTCCAGGCGGTGCTATCCAGCTCCCAGTAGCCGGACACGTTACCCTGGAATCCATGGAAAGGCAGATTGTCGAGTTTGAGGCTACAGTTATTCTCGCGACGGTCACAACCATGTCGCAGTTATCAGAACGCATTCTTAATGCCGGGAAAACGCACCCATACGTGCGTTTGCTCCTCTTCTCCGGGGAAGCTTTCTATGATGATCAGGCTGGTCTGCTAAAGGCCGCCTTCCCGAACGCGGCTATCAAGTCCGTGGTTTATGGATCAATGGACTGCGGGATCATCGGCTTGCCGCCAAGAGGGGAACACTACACCCACGATCCCCGGGTACACCAGGTCAACAGTCCCAACATCCTAGTTGAAATAGTCAACGACGACGGCGAGGTTACGAGCACACCAGGTGAGGCAGGGAGCCTGGTTGTGACGAACATGGAGCGCCGGCTGATGCCCATCATCCGCTACCCTTCTGGAGATCGGGCCGCGTGGGTCGATCGATCTCTAGGTCTTTTCCGCGTTCTCGACAGGGACCGCATGGCCATTCGCCTCGGACCCGTTTCGATCGATTTCGTGGACCTCAGAAGAATCGTGTCTTCAGTCCTCGGAGATCGACCTGTGGGTAAACTACAAGCTGTCATTACTAGAGATGACAGAAAAGATTCTATGACATTGAACGTCGCCTACACTCCAGCTACGGATGAAGAGAGCTCGAACCTGCAATTAGAGTTGAGAAAGGAGCTGAGTGTAGTGCGGCCGATGTTCCAGGAGCATGTCGAGAAGGATCTTATCAACCCACTGCAAGTAAAGTTTTTGCGAATGCATGATCTGGCTGTCAACCCAAGAAGTGGAAAAATTGCGGAGGTGTTAGATCTCCGGTCGACTACATTGTAACTCTCCGTACTTAAAGTGGTTCCACATTGTATGTTTTAATAAACAGTACGTAGTACTCACTGACAGTTGCTCTAAGTTACATAGCCATGGAGTACCTGACTTCTAGATGGTCTTGAATAATGTGGGTCAAGTCCTGCTGCACAATTTTGCCATTCTGGCGGAGTAAAGTCAACAATTAAACAGGTCATCGTTTTCGCTTGATGGAACCGATAACGATCGCGTCTAGCAACTTCTTTTTAGTACTTGGAGTGATTCGGCCCGAGTTGTCAGTCGTTGTCAGGGCCCCGCGGGCTGCATCGTGGGCCAAGAGTGTATATGTACGACAACCCTTGTCTCCCCAGATAAACTTTCCTGTACCCCTGAGATGAACGGAACTGGGATGGGCGGTTCAAAGACCTAATCCCCGCTCACTGGTTGACTCGCGTAGACCTGTCAACACGTTGCATTGAACACAACACATCTCATATACTATGTAGGACATCACATGGAATGCTCCTGCACCGACGAAGTTTGTAGCGTTGCACCGCTTTGATTGCAAGGTTATCCGCGCGTCGACCGTTTCTCAACGTTAAAAAGTGCTTCGGAGAATTCCTAAGAACCGTTGGAAACCAAACACCAAAACTGTGTCCCCTCTATCTTCAGAACTCCATCCCTAAAAATCCCCACACGATTGCGTAGCAGCGAACCGCGCGACATGTCTCCAAATCGCAGCAAGTCTGACACATCCGCCAAGACCCCGACATCAGTTCGCTCTAGCAACCTTCATGCGGCGGCAGGCAGTTTCGCTCCGTACTACCCTGTTCCCTTGTCGTCCGTTCACGTTGACATCTAACAATCAGCACAGATGGTGCGAGCCGGCCTGGTTCAATGCATTCGAGAGTCCTTACTACAACGACTCTCATCGAAAGTTTCAGGCGTACGTACGCTACTTCGTCGACACCCACCTACTCCCTCATGCGCAGAAATGGGAGGCAGCTGGTGAAGCCCCTCTATCAGCGAGACTAAAGTTCGCCAAGTCTGGATTGGCTTTCCTTGACGTTCCTAGGGACTACCGGCCCAAAGAGCTGATGACTATTGCCGGCATCCCCTTTGACGAACTCGATGTTTTCCACGAGCTGATTTTGATGGACGAAATGGCTCGGATTCCTAGCGGGGTTCCCCTCGCATTGGCGGGCGCGTCAAACGTTGGCGCTCCACCAATCTTCACTGCGGGTACGACAGAGCAGAAGAGACAGTGGCTTCCTGGGCTCTTTACGTGGAAGACTAGTTTCTGTCTAGCCATCACAGAGCCTACGGCTGGCAGCGATGTGAGCGCCATTCGTACGATGGCGAAGAAGACCCCTGACGGCGCCCACTATATCATCAACGGGCGCAAGAAGTGGGTTACGGGCGCACCGTGGGCGACCCACATGACCACTGCCGTCCGGATGGGAGGGGCAGGGCGGGGGGTATCTCGCTCCTGGTTGTGCCTCTGAACTTGCCTGGCATCACGATCAGGAAGATCCACAACTCTGGACACAATGCCGGTGGCTCTTCGTGGGTCTTCCTGGAAGATGTCAAGGTTCCGGTCGATCATCTTTTGGGAAGGGAGAACGAGGCTTTTCCCATCATTATGCGCAACTTCAACAAGGAGCGCTTCATACTCACGGTTGACTGCAACAGACAGGCCCGCGTTTGTCTCTCAGAAGCTCTACAATATGCACACGATCGAGAGACCTTTGGGAAACCCCTAGCCTCTCACCAAATCATCCGACATAAGCTCACAACACTTGCGCGCGAAATCGAAGGGCACTGGGCATGGTTGGAGCAGATCGCATATCACATCAAAATTCATGGCTGGCAGGCGAATGACGTCGCCAGCAGGATAGCATTGGCGAAGATCCAGGGCGGCAGGATAGTTGAGCAAGCCGTTAGGGAGTCTCAGCAGATACACGGCGGTATGGGCTTTGAGAAAGGGGTAACCATGACAGAGCAGATCTCTAGAGACCTGCGTCTTAAGGTCATTGGCGGTGGTAGTGAGGAGATCCTCAGTGACCTCGCATGGCGGGAGGAGCACAAGCGGGCGTTCGGTCGAGGCTCAAAACTCTAGAGCGTCTTTTAGACGTGAAAGAACCAAAACAGAATAGGCTTGATGAGAGTTTTTGTAATTAGTTTGAACCATTATTCGTACGAAACTTCTAGGTCTGGATCTGTGCCTTCCTTCGCTGTGGGTAAAGTTTACTGGGAGGTAGGAAAAGACGCCACGAGTCATCGGCCGCTGAAGCCAAAATCTGCATAGTAATCCGAGTTGTTCGCAGAGAAGGGTCGAAAGTCAATCGTCCACGTGTCATCCGAATTCCTTAAATGATCTAATCACGTCCAGAGTCATTGCAAAGAGTTACCAAGTAAAAGCGTGATTCAGTGTAAAGCTCGGGATTTTAATGTCAAAATTTAGCATGCGTCTGCACGTGTATACTGAAAAGCTTCTCCCAAGTTAAAGTAAATGAAGCCTGTCCCCAGACCCCTGCTCTTCCGGTTGTCTCGGATATTGTTCCAGACTCCACAGCTCGAACCCCGAGGTTATCCACCCCTCACCTCTCAGATCAACATACCATCAAACTTTCATAGCTACTTCATCCACAAGTTGCAAACCCCCCTACCATGTCTTCCGACAATGTCAAATTGCATCCCGACTACAAACATTTCGCATCCATTCCGTGGTGCGCCAAAATCCTCGCAGAGTTTGAGTCTCCCTCCCACGTCATTCAAGTCTCTCAGAACAGAACGGTCCTCTCAACCGGAGAGAACCAATACGTGGGCGAAACACTCAACACCCCAAATACCATCACTGCTTGGCTAGTCCTGCATCCGCGGCCCCAAGCACCGGGGTGGAAGGTTGACGAGTTGTACTCACTCATCACTTTTAACCATGGCATGATTGGGTTTCCAGGGACGGCGCATGGAGGAGTCATCTCTTTGGTCTTGGACGAAGTTACGGGCATACATATTGTCTCACAGAGACCGACAGGGGCCGAACCAAACAAAGACTTCAGAACAGGTTACTTAAACACATCGTTCCATAAACCAGTTCCGGCGCCGGGGACAGTACTTGTAAGGTCGAAAATTGTTAAGGTAGAGGGACGGAAACACTTCGTGGCTGCACACATAGAGAATGAGCAAGGCGAAGTGTTAGCGAAAGCAGAAGTCTTGTACATCTCAATCAAAAATAAGCTTTGATTTATGCAGTTGCATTGCGATTTGTGTCAGTGAAAGCAGGTTCGATGAATTACGGATTCGTTATATCGACTCGGTTCACGTTCGCCTGATATGGAAACACCTATGTGCAATTGTTCAGTACATTGAACAGATTTGTAGATGTTAGAAGTTTTCACTTTACCTAGACGATGGCATCTCTGAAAACCTATCACCTCGGCTACAGAGCCAGTCAGATGTGAAATGTCTCTTGCCTACGTGATGTGTAGACATACAAAGTACCAACAAGATCAATGGCTATCTAGACGCCATACACTGGAAAAGAAGGCGGCATTCCCACCAATTTCGACCCCTTAGTCGGTCTGAACTTCTTCTCCTTATACCACAGATGGGCATCTACAGCACGTTCTTTCACCTTGTCGAACGCGAATGCCGGCTCCGGCAACATGTCGTAGACATTTTGAGCATAGTCTGGTGAGATGTTGTATACCTGCGCTAGGTATTTCTCCTGGGTATTGTCAGCAGCTTCATGTATGCTGTTACAAGGAACTGTTCATACCTGGACCTCGGAGTGCTTGACGAACTTCAAGTACTTAGCCGTGTTCGATGCTGTGTTCTTTCGCTGTTGATCGGACATTGTCTTGGCCCAAAGTTGGGTCGCCTGGTCGTAGTCGTTCTTCTTCCCCTCATGCCAATAATGGCTTTTCCGGCTAACAGTGTTGTCATTCACGACGTAGGGCGTTTCAGCAACATCCGGTCGGAACTTGTGTGCGAAGCTGTTGGGTACGTATTGCTTATTGCCAGCGTGGTTGGCATCCGTCCGCATCTGCCCGTCAAAGTTGAGGGAGGCATATGATTTAGCCATGAATGGGCAGTTGACAGGGATCTGATGTAAATTGACCCCGATCCGGTGGTACTGAGCGTCGCGGTAGAAGAACATGCGGAACTGCAGTAACGGATCGGGGGAGTCTTCAATGCCTGGTACCATGCTGCCGGGTGAGAAGGCTGCCTGCTCAACATCGCGATGAAAGTTCTCGGGGTTCTTGTTGAGAACCAAGCGACCAAATTCCTGCATGGGGAACTTATCCCTTGGCCACACTTTGGTAACGTCAAATGGATCGAAGCCAAGCTCGTCGGGGTCAGCGTCCTGAGGCTGCATGACCTGCACATGTGCAGTCCATTCAATCTCTTCGCCTTTCTCAATAGCTTCCCAAAGATCTCTCTTCGAGTAGTCTGGATCCTCTCCACACATTCGAACAGCCTCAGGGTCAGTAAACTGCTTTTGACCATGCTTGGCGAGAAAGTGGTACTTGATGTACACAAACTTTCCATCCTTGTTCACCCACTTGAAGGCGTGACAGCCGTAGCCGTGATTGAAACGCCAACCGACCGGTGTGCCGTGATCACTAAAGAACATGAGCCCTGCATGGTTGGCCTCAGGTGTGTTGGCGAGTAAGTCAAACAGCGCGTCCCAGTCAAAGAAAAAGTTCTGCGGGTTACGTGACTGCGAGCGGATGACATCCGGGCCCTGGATAGGGTCTCTACAGAAGAACACAGGCTGCAGAGGTCAGCATATCGTTCACTACTTGACTTAATGGACTATTGACTTACGAAGTTCAAGCCAACAATGTCGTAGTTACCTTCCATGGTGTAGAACTTGATAGCAAAGCCGCGGGGGTTACGGGCTTCATCTGGAAATCACGTCCCAAAGTGACAGTGGAGAAGCGAACAAAGACTGGTGTCTTCTCGCCGACTGAAGATAGGAAATCTGCTTTCTAAATTTGTATTTGGACTTAATTTGGTACATTCACTTAAAGAGTAAGATCATGTCTGATTGTTTCTTACGGTTAAGTCGGCAACATCTTTGGTGCACTCAAAGAAGCCAAACGCCCCGGATCCGCACGGGTGTACCATACCTGTGAGTCAGTCAAACTTGTGGTCTCGTGCGACATATGCTTTCTGCTAGAACATACGCTCAAGGCTTTTTGATCGATTGAAATGTTGTTGCTTCCTGAACCAATATCAGGACATTGGCTAGCAAGCCCAGATATTTAAGGTACACTCACTGAAAGAGGAACACATCACTTGCGACAGGGATACCACCAATAGTCTTACTATGGGCACTAATATCATTGTTTAAGCATCACATGTGAAAAGCGGAATGGCATTGTTACTCACGGATCGGGGAATGGAATACCCTCATTGTTGGTAAAATAAGCTCCATCGTCTTCTCGCTTGCCGCCTGACACTGCGCCCGATACCTTGCCAATGATGTCCGCAGGTCCTTCGTTGGCACTTTGCATATGGCTCATCCGAGGTGCTCGACGTTCCCCTTGCACCTGAGAGCCAATGGCCATAGCAGTGGCTCTCAGTGGATGCTGAAGGGGGTCGACCTGGTTTGTGTTGATATTCATTGCGAAGGCAATTTATGCGCAGCAAATTCCTTGAAAGTCTCGAACCTGATTGTATTTTGGAACGACGGTAAGGCGAGTACCCATAAAGTTCGCTTTCCGAGATATTCTTTACTTATATGAGTAAATTGACTTCTGTCCAGGAAACATAGATTCAGCGCATCAACGGAGAGTTTGGTCCGCCTCTCAGGCACTATGTACAATGTGGTTCTGGGCGGGCAGTACATGAGCCATTCACAGTCGAGAGAAATATCTTGTGTGAGTTTCAGTGTCATCATCAAGTCAATCTCGCAATTGACGCGATGTCATGATATTGTCATGGACTTGATGGCCCGGTCAATACAAGCCCAAACACGGCCCTGGCCAATGAAAACATAGTTTTAGGTCACTCATTGAATCATCGGAACCAGAGGTTAGTCTGCTGAACGCGGGGTCACCGCCATTTAGATTCATCAGGACATACAAAAAAGGCAACCGCTAAGATATCATGATGCCCCCACCCATGTGTCAAGGCAGTCAATTGCTAATTGTGAGACTTCAAATGAAGCTGATGCAGCATGGCATCTAAACGCACTCAATGCAGGATATATTTTCAAGCCACATTATGAAGCACTGTAGACTAGCTATCAGTTCAGCATATTAGTTTTTACGACCACTATTCAAGCAAAGGAGTGACTCATCGATAAAGATCCAGTTAGAAGTCAAATCTACAGTGCTTATCTTTTGTAGGGTCCGTAGCCCTTGAAATTGTAACCCAAACCTCCAACCGCCTGCTTCTCAAGGCCTACTTGTGGCGTGCTATGGCTCTACCCTTTGACAGGTATACAGCATTTGAGCAGATTTCATTTCAGTCGCTCATGATACTTTCCATATTGAGATTTCAAGAACACACGACTTACTGTCTTTAAGGGAATTCTTGTTTAAAATAGACAATGCATGATAAATGCAGTAAGAAAACGTGTTAGTCAAAGCTGTTCGATGATTCCGAGTTCAATAGACTCTTGTCATCGGAAGCGTGCTTCTACGAAGTTGAGTGATCGCGAGCTCATATCCACCAAAAGTCTGGTTGTACATTGTCTCGGTTCGAGTAATACTGTTTATTTTCTTGTTCTAGACTAGCCAGACATCGCAGCCTTGAGGTGAGAGTAGCAGCAACTAACCAATGACTCTTATCAATACCCACCAACGGTAGCTCAGAAGCAACTTTGATGCTGTTGGGTATGATCTACAATATCCAATATGCATTTCATCCAGGTTCATAGATTTCAATATCAGTAACAGCTACCAGCTTTCGGGGAACCACGACCAAATGCACTTGAACAGAATCGACCACCACTACGTTGGGAACTCATAGTAAACATTAAGCGGAACACAAAAGCTTATCAAATGAAGATTATCAACTATCCAGCCTGCTGTAGAGCTAGTGTGTGAGAAATGAGGTGACTTATTCCAAGATTGATAGATAACGGCTGTGTAATGACAACTGACCCAGAAAAGGATGAAGTAAAACGTTGAGACAGAGACAATTCGACAGCTGTATTTCAATCAACCAGTTCTATGGAATTTAGGTAAAAAGATGAAATAGGTGAACGAGAGGCAAGTCAAAGCCTGTGTGTAATTCTGCCAACGCTTTTGGGAAATCTGGCGATGTGTAAGTGATGCGAGCGTTGTATCCAGAAGTTGCCATTGGAGGAAACCTTTGACTTTAGAAGTGGAGTGGAACAGTCCGCGTCACATGCGGACCAATCCACCAACACGACCGGTTCACACGCTACCCAGAAGAGCTTCTCGTGGTTTTCATCTTCTCAGGACCCTCTCAAGCTGATAAATCGATACTGAGCTTACAGATTGTGGAAGCACGGTCGAGATTTTCAGTACAGACGACGACAGCTGCCCAAAGAGTGTAATCAGGGAGTTGTCATATAAATGCTCACAACTACCCGCAACAAAGTACTCCTGATTGGAGCGACATCTAGAATTGGAGCAACTTTGGCCGACAAGTTGGTTGAGAATGGCACTTTCCTTATTACCGCTGGAAGACGAAAGGAAAACCTTGACAAAGTTGTTGCCAGATACGGAACAGACAAGGCTGCCGCAACAGTCGTTGACATTCTGAAACTCGAATCCGCAAGTTGAAACTCTAGCAGAAAGAACCCAACGGATGACTTCAGACACGACTGATTATATCAAAGGACCCCCAACTTTGCTGCATCCGTCATCAAGACCCAACCTGGGATCGACTGTGTCCTCCTCAATGCCGGAGTGCAGCGAGGTGTCGATTTTACCAAGGCAGAGACGGTGAATTTGGACATCATCTACGACGAGCTGTTGGCAAACTACCTCTCACACGTTCACCTCGCCAAGGCATTCCTCCCCCACGTCTCGAAACAGGGCAAACCAACAGCTCTGCTTTACACCACCTCCCAGCTTGGCCTCACGCCAATGAAGCGTTGTCTCAACTATAGCGGCTCAAAGGCAGCCATGCACAGTTTCATCCTCGCTTTCAGGGCTTAGCTGAAGGATGCTTCTGCGAACGTAAAGATCATCGAGGTCTACTCTCCAGCGGTGCAAACAGAGCTACACAATGCGAAGAACCAGCTAGACTTGAAGAATGGACACGTCATCGGCATGCCTGTGGACGAGTCTTCTGACGAGGTCTTCCAGAGGTGGGTAGTTGGGAATGAACAAATCTCTGTTGGGACAGCAAATAAAATGCTTGAAGCTTTCGAGAACAAGAGATAGGATTACTTTGTATTTTTCAACGATGATGTGGACAAGATATTGGTCGACTTTACGGCATGACGCATTGACGGAAGTAGTCATTCAAAGTCGACCTCGCCAGCCGAATACATTTGGATTCTCGATGAGATGAAAATTTTGCCTATGATACCTCATTTCTGTTTCCGCCTGTGTCATTGCCAGAGACCTGTGGAACTTGTCGATGCCGAACATGCCTGCCATCTGAATGCTGACCGTTGCTACGCGTGCATCACAATGAAGGCAGAATGCATGGCGAGTGATCTCATTATTTTTGTCAGGCATTACATTAGTTAAATTCCAAAATCAGTACTCATAGACTCAGAAACAGATATTGCAGATCCAAGACATGGACCCGGCTCAAGCACTCTTCCCCGGTCAATTTTATGGGTCACCGGCATCGGTCCGCGCCGGTGTCTCGACGAGGCACGTGGGACTTGACGTTCTTCGGCGATTGGCCTGTGCTTAAATCCGTCAATTGCCACTTTCTTCCCTTCGTTGACATCACGACGCCCATCGCGCCATTCGCGACACATCCTCGTTTTTTTCAGCCATGTCCATCTCACAAACATCGACGGAAGGCTGGCATCTTAAGTATGGCGATTAAGTTTACAAGAATACCATTCGTGTGCAGCCGTTGCCTGCAATCGAACGGGCGCAGCGGAACCCGAATCCACTCAACCCGCCGATTTTACTCCTCCGACCGATCGTCCCAAGCTGCCGAAGCTTCGCCATCCGACCGGAGCAAAGATGAGCCACAAAAAGAAAAGGGTGCCATGTCGCGCAGGCTCGAGGAGGCTACCGAGGAGGCTCTATTGACGGGCGGTCGTGCCGGTCGCCGAGCTGTGGAAGACGCTGGTTTCTCTGAAGAGCTGAGGGAGAGGCTGCTCGACAAGGTCCAGACAGCACAGTTCCGATCCAAATACGCCTCTGCCTTTGCTGAGGCTTCGATGCCCACCGCAGCAGGTGATGGCACAAGGTCAATGGCCACCGCACAGCCCTGGACGGGCGAAGAGTCGCAGTCGGATACCGTCCTCCGAATGCTCGATGATGCGAGGAAACCCCTTAAGCCCGAGATGCGGGGCAAGTTCCAGATACCACCCGTCGATATGCGGATACGAAAAGAGCCCAAGATGCACCCTGGCCAGCGCGCTGCCAACGCCCGTGAGCGAGCATCGACGTACACTGGGATGGGATTGAAGGAGGGAAACGGACTGAGTCAAAAGGAACGTGAGGAGATGAGGCAGGAGTTCCGCGACAGGTTTGCAGCGGCTGCTCGAGCGGTACCGAATACCATATCCGGGCTCGAGTCGCTAGCGAACGAAAGGATCGAGGACGCCATCGCCCGTGGGCAGTTCAAGAATATACCGCGTGGCAAGGGGATCGAGCGAGATACGAGGGCAGATAACCCGTTCATCGACACGACGGAGTACATAATGAACAAGATGATCAAGAGGCAGGAGATAGTACCCCCATGGATCGAGAAGCAGCAAGAACTGGCAAAGGCCGCCGGGGTATTCAGGGCAAGGATGCGCAATGATTGGAGGAGGCACGTGGCGAGAATGATCTCTTCGAGGGGCGGAAGCTTGGAGGAGCAAATGCTGCGGGCAGAGGACTACGCCCGAGCAGAGGCGAGGCATAACCCGCGCAAGAAGAATAGCGACAGCATCTCAGTGTCCACCAGTACCACCGATGATCCGGTGATGGTGAAGATGCGCCAGCAAGCAGCGGAAGCCACCGACGCGCAAAAAGTCGCCTCAGATTTGGCTCCGAAGGAGTCTGCGAGGCCACCCGTACAGCCTTTCCGCGATTCGGACTGGTTAGCAACCGAACGCTCGTACATGACCCTTGCTGTCGAGAATCTCAACGCCATCACACGGTCGTACAACCTTATGGCACCAGAACTGGCCAAGAAGCCGTACTTTTCTCTCGAGCGTGAGCTCGCCGCGTGCTACGCCGATGTTGCGCCACTCGTGGCGGAAACTATCAGGGAGAGAGCGACAAGACCGGCAAAGTCGCTCTTCGACTCGGCAGGGGGAGGCACGAAGACGGTGTTTGACCGCTTTGCCAAGGAGGGCACGACGGCTAAGATCTACGACTCGAGGGCTCCTCATTATGGCTTCAAGGAGATGTGGAGAGACCTCTGGAGTTGAAGTTAAAGGGAGATTGGTTTCGGTCCATTTGAAACATAAGTTGACCATACTTCTGCATTGAAAATCCTAATTAGGCTAGAAGCGGCCCGAGGTACCATAAAGCGGAGAAAACAGCTGCATCTCCAAGGCCTACTTGAGTAGTGATGTAAATAGAAGATGAGGCCTTAGTTGTTGGATGACGACTGCTCAGTTGACGCGACCCAAATCCATGGTTTTCAGCGTGCACCTACTTCCACGGCCTTGGTTTACTGGTCCTGTCGATTTGACCTCTAAACGCTGAACCCACAAACTCAGGCGCATCGTGTGACTGCTTTATTTCCTTTTTGTTGAACTCTTTGAATCAATTAAAGACAATGCTTCATCTTGAAAAGTTATATAAGTATGGGACATTTGAGAAATGTGGACAAACAACGCAAGGGAGCTCATCTAGCGTTTGATTACTGCCCCAAGGAAATGATGCTAGCATGGTCCTGGGCGAGATGACAGGCATGATGATGAACAGCTTGTATGCTCTTTGAAAACAAAGGCATTCCATACGTGCGCCCGCATACAGATTCCGGAATAGAACCTACTCATCAACGCCATCTCACGCCCACTCTAACGATCATCAATACGGCACCCGATAAAGTCTTAAAGAGTACGAGTAATGTGTCAAACGAGTGTTTGCATTCAAATATTCTTGTACTGTTTGTTCCGCGCGCTATTGTGTAGTATCCAATCTTGTGTAACATGTCACCAGCAAACCTACCTGGAATGAGCGACTTCAAGCACGCGCGTCTCAAGTTACGGAAAACACCAGAAGCGACAGAATCTCCAGCCAGCCACGCATCTAGAGATCGTTCTCCTTCTTGCGCGCGTCAATGACCGCCAGCGCCTCCTCGGCAGCCTTGACTCCGGACAGAGCCATGGCACCAAAGGTAGGGCCTGTAATAGACGTCAGCATCCCTTGTCCAGTGAGGAACCTTGGAAACTCACCCATGCGGTTGGCGCCGTCGACCTCGGACAGCTCCATGCCGCCAACAATCAGGCCCGGGACGATCTCCCGCGTGCCCTTGACGATGGCGTCCTCGGCGGCCTGCATGTCCAGGCCCCGCATGCCGCCCAGCTGCTCAATCTGCTTCATGCTCACGAGCCTCTTGACGCAGAAGGCGCCGAACGGGCCGTCGTGGCCCGTCGTCGAGATGACGAGGGGCGCGTTGATGGTGTTGGGGTCCATGCACGACTGGTCATCGTGGTGCATCGACACGAGCGTCCAGTTGGTCACGACGCCCGCGACGCGCAGCGCGCCGCCCTCGCTCCTGCGCGTGATGAGGTCCTCCACGGCGGTGGCGTTGAACAGCTTGACGTTGGGGAACTGCAGCACCTTGCTCAGCACCGTCGAGGTGAAGAGCGCCGCGTGCTTGACGACGACAAAGTCGCCCTCGTCCTCGTAGGGGACGCCGATCTCGTCGAGGAACACCTCGGCGGGTTTGCGCATGACCATGGCCGAGAAGAGCTGCCCGCCGAGCCAGGCGCCGCCGCCGGGCGCGACGCCGGCCTCGACGATGGCGATCTTGAGGTCCGGGCGGGCCTTGGCGAGCACGTAGGCCGTGCTGAGGCCGCACGACCCGGCGCCGACAATGACGATGTCCGACTCGGCGTAGGTGTCGAGGTCGGAGAAGTAGCGCCGCGTCATGGCGCGCGAGACCTGGCTCTCACGGATGGGAGCAAAGGTGAAACTGTCCCACTTGCCGAAGAGGTCGTCGACCTTGGTCGTGACGGCGTGCTCCGCCGCGGGCTTGGTTGTCTTGCCGGCGGTGTAGGGCACGGCATAGTTGCTGACAGGGGAAATGGCGGTGGGGGGGCCATGATGTCTTTTGTCGTGGGTCGTTCAAGATTCGTCTTGAGGGGATGTATCTGCTTGTGTTAGGCTGCATGATCCTTTCGCTGGTATTACCCAGATCAAGTTCGAGGCCGTATAATCTCAGCCCACCGTCGGCCTCGGCCGCTGGTCACCATGGAGAGAGGTGGCAGCGGCGTCGGCGTCGGGTGGGCACCGGCTCATGCATCGCTCAAGAGTGTCACATACTCTGAAGTGCGTGTGTGGCTCGATGAAAGCCTTCTGCTGGGTTGTCAGTCTGTGTACGTCCCATCATACGGGGCCAGGGCCTACTGTTTGTGTATCTGCTGGAATTGGGCGTGTAACGTGGGTTAAGAAGAAGGATTCTTTCTCAGTCGTCGACGAAGGGCATTTCCTCTTTTTAAATAGCCACTCGATAAGGGCAACACTACACAAACCTTCCATTATCGCCTGCGGGGTAGGAAGACATCATCGACGGGTATTCTCGAGTCTTGTCGCCGCTCCTCGGCTGCCTATTGGAGCGGGATCGACCTTGTTGTTATGCAACCACAACCCCAATATGCAGCTCGCGTATCACTTCGAGGAGGACCGCCGCGCCGTGTGAAGAGAAGGAGGGTGGAGGGCCCAGGACCCAGGGCCCAAGCTTGCGAGGTTGAAGGCTGGAACAGCCCGCGGAGTCGTTCCCGAAAGCCGATGTCACCCGCTTCCCTGGCGGCCGGGATCGCGTCTGGACTCCGTCGGGGGGCATGCTCCACGCCGTAGATACCTCCCGACCGACAACTTCGTTGTGAGCTGGTCTATTCTCAATCCAATGGATGAGCAAAGTAGTAGTGAGTTCCATGTGATGAGTCGGTTGTCTTCATTGTCATATACGTGCAAACGTTATTTCACCCAAGGCCAGCTGTGCTGGCATACAAGACGAAGGTTTCTCCCACCCCGCCGAGACCGACCGTAACCTCCTGCCTGCATACCGCTCTCCACAGCGGCACAGCACGGGAGCACACGGCCAAACGGCGCCCTACGCCGCGCGGAGTTGCTGGAATTGGGTTGTTGGCGCATTCGCCACGGGTGTGCGTGTCGACACGAGCCGACTGGAAATTCGCGCACCAGAGCGTTGTCAATGGGGTGACACATTGACACACAACGGTCGAAAAGCTCAAGGTTTACTGCAGCGTCCCTGACGAATCACAGACTGCCTCGGTACAGATCACTGGCGGAGTCCCTCTCGGCCACCTCGTGTTAGTCACAAGCGCTGGGACGACATTGGCTGGCTCTGGCTAGATCGTCTGTTAATCTGCGCGGGATTTAATAAGGTGTATACTTGTGCGAGCGACGCTTGCTTCACTAAACTATCATGTGCAATGGTGATCATGATATGACTCTGATGGAATCGAGGCAGCTACTTCGGGACAGTTCAGCTCAAATGGCCATGTCTCCTTTAGTGGTTGATCTCGTATTTGGTATTTTTCTATAGTAAATAGCATCGCTCTTTTATTGAAGTTGACGATATGGCCATATATGTATAAGCTGAATGAGTGCTATGCCAACCGTGTTGCTGATGTTGTTCTTGGCTACAAGCACTGAGCAAACTACTTGTAGGTTGGACAACCGGAACCAATCGGTTGCTCGGGGTCACTTGCACCATCTATCATCGGCTTTTCCGGTGGATGTGCTGTTGCTGACGTTGGCTTTAATACGGTAAGAACTACACGGTCAACCTAGATGGAATCGTCCTTTAGACCTGACGGGTTCTCACCCATATCATCCCTCATCCTCGAGGTCCGCTTCACCCGAAAATGACGAGTTATGTCTCCCATGCGAGGTTGTTTTCTTATCCTGCCTCGCGCTTCCGGCTTCGGCCTCAGGCCGAAGAACCCGGCTCTTGGGGGTTTGCCGTATCGCAGACGTATCCTGTACTCAAACCCAAGGGTTATGGCCAGAGAAGCGGCGTCGTCACCTAGCCTCCTGAGCCATTCCGTGGGCTCCAAAGAAGTCGTGTCCGCCACAGCCCTTGTCGTGCCCAAACTCTTCTCCGGTAGACAAGAGCAAGAAGTCGCTTCGAGCAGATGACGGCGTTGACGGACACACCTCGCTTGCCTCTGATTCCTCCGTGTTGGTATCGGATTGGCTGTCGTCGGCCAGCGTCTCCCAGAAGCGGTGGGCTGGCGTGAAAGTTTGCTGAGCAAGTTCCTGCAAGGCATTTTCATGGCCGCGGCCATACCAGGTCATTAGATACCATCTCTGGGGCGCGTGAAACATGACTTCGGTCCAGAGGACGAATATCATGAGCGCCACTGGCTCCTTCAGCCGCAGGAGTGAGAGATAATGTTCTGATACGAATGAAGGCCAGATGATGAAATGCTTCCATACCCTAGGGCGTCCGGGTAGTGATGTTATGTATGACCTAAGCGCCCTGAAGGCTTCCAGATATGTCTTTGTTCCTTCAGCCCGTATACCTGTCGATTCGGGGCCCATGGACAAGAACTCTTCAAACTTGGCGATCTTCAATAATGAAGGCCGCAGTAACGCGTCATTGCAGTCCCGCCAATCTTTGGGGTCTATCTGAGCGAGTTTGTAGCGGATCGGACTCTTGAATACATGCGGCGTAACCATATCGGAGAACCTAGCCGCCACCCGCATCATTGAAAGAGAGTTGGCTGGCTCAAAGTTGTTGACATGCCCCATGATCTTTTCGTCGGCGAAAGGGCGATAGTACCCGAAGATGCCGTTGCACATGGAAAAGACGAAAGTTGCGAGCCAATTCTCTTCAGTGACCTGCGGGACAGCGAGTCTGAAGTAGTTGCTCGCTTGGATGGCGTGCTGACAGGCCATGGAATAGTATCGTTTGGCATTGGGCGGTTCGAGATAGCAGAGGTGGAGAGCTGCTATGGAAAGCATGCTCTGGTGAATAAAAACGTTGCGGGTTGCCAACTGGGGCACCCATCTTGACCAGACATCACACTTGCGGGGGTCGTTTTGTAATGAGAAGGTGAACCAGGCTTGGGTCATGAAATGATGCTTGAGTTCGGCCTCATCCGCGCGGAGCCTCTCGGCAGGTAACGAGGCGTTGAGTGCATCACGGGACGAGGCGTGCGCTGCCACCGTAGCCGCGCGGCGAACCATGCTCATAGTATCACTGGATTTCTCTCCTTCATTTTCGCGGTTAAGTGTGTCGGCGAGTAGACCGAGATAACTGCAATGCTCTTGTCGACGGCGACAGTTGGCGCAGACGGGACCGACGCAGTCACACTAGAAACCCACGACAGTCAGCACCAGCTTAATGAGACTGTCAGGTTGTGCAAGTATTGGGAGGATGTGTCTTGTTCGGTTGCCAACCATACTGACTGGCTGCGAGTCGAACCCAACAAGCCGGGACCACTACAGGCAGGTTGCCCCTGGAGTTGAACATGCTCCATGCGTCACTCCACCGTGAACGGCAACATTCCCCGTTGCTTACCTTTACGCGACGCTTCTTGCACTGCCGGCACCCGTTCTTCGTCTTCCCATGATACTGTCGGGAGCCTTTTGCCATTCTAGCAATTTCCAGATCGGTTGTGCAGCTCTGTGTCCCGTTCTTCTCCTTGCGGTCGGATCGGTGGTCGTTATTCGGCGCGGTATCCCGATGGGTAGCGGAGCGGGAGAGCGACATGTAAGCGTGACCCTTGGTGGGCTTACAGTCTGTTTTTAAAACAATCTTTTCAGGTTACTGTGAGAAACGTCAGAACTTGGGACATGCTTGGCCATGTCAGGGATACATGGCTGTCCTGATGCAAACTCAACTTCAACACCGCACGTCCCCCGCTGTGACAACGGGGTGGCAGAATCCGAGGAGCAACGTGTGAGACGTGAGGCTGGCCGAACGCCGGGCAATGTGAATTGAGCACTGGCATGGAGGTTCTCCAAAGGAAACCGGTAGCGAAACATATCAGCTTTTGGGAACAAATCTGGTAACCCGTTCGCTTAGTATGAGCAAACAGCTGCTAGTTTTTGGTTTGTCAATTCTGAGAACAGGCTGCTGAGAGCTCCATCGCGATTTCCCCCATAGCGAACCAGATCTTGGCTTCGTCCTTTGTTTGGGTTGGCTTGCTGTTACAGGTTTCTGTTACTACTGAGGCCGCAAGTGGCCTGAGAGATGGTTCTGATCTATTGCAGATGAGAACGAGGAACAACATCCGAAGATACTCGTTGATGCCTGCACGCATCTCCTATGACGTGCTGCGGGAGGGCATCTGCCTGAGCTCAGAGATGAACTTTTCCTGAAGCGTTGCACTGTTGGTAGGGTATAGAGCATAGGGCGTGCCACTTCATCAAATGGCGAGCGTCATAATGAGTATTGACAGGCCTGGCAGTGCTACCCAGGTTTGAAACAACTCAAGGACGTTTTCGCACCATCGTTCTAAGCTTAGATGGTATGCATTGACATGAAGTTGAGCACTTGGACAGTCTGTTGGCTCTGCGATGCTGCTGCCTTGGCTGAACCTGGGCCAGACCTAGTCTCGTTTAAGCATTGAAAACAAAGTTGAGTTCTCCGCCTCGAACCTTCATCCGTTGCTGCTCGATGCCTTTGTCTGATCCAAATATCGGGGCTCGAGGGGCGAACTGGCCGTTCGCTTCGCTTGGAAGTGGACGTTGCAGTCCGTAACTGTAGTGGACAAGAAGACCACGTAGTGCTGGTCTCGACCCCTCTTCAGCATCTGCGCAGTCCTCCCAGACCGCTATGAAGGCTTTTTATTTGCTGTCGTAAGGTACCTACGGCTTCATATTGGCCCCTTGTTGGCGCGAAATCTGCGGAGGAGCCATCGGTGTTCGGATGACGTTTGAAACAGCCCGATTGGGATGTCCTGTGAACTCGACGGCAGTCGCCGTGACTGTTGTGAGGCCTGCACTACTGGTGCCGTGCGTTGACCACAGCCCGTGTCAAGAATGAACGAGCTGTCACGCTCGAGCGTACACGCAACTTAATTTCGGCCGTCGCTTACCAGATAAGCTGGCCTCTCAAGCTTCGAGACCAGGTCTGTCTATCTGCTTCAGCCGTTTGCCCCGAAATAGCAATATAGCAGTGAACATTGTCGGCGAATTAGATGGGCACCTCCCACATTCTGATATCGGGTGTAGGGCCGTTCATTAAGACCGGACAATCAAACGATCTTCAACGGTCCAAGAAAGCTGCAAACTCCCTGATGATCAACCGCAGTAAATTACATTCTGCCGCCTCGAGGATGGCAAGCTACTGTGAGGGGCTCATCGGGTTCTGTTTAATTCGTCCTGGAAGCTTCTAGGCGGTCAAAGATCATGCCACCCTTCACAGCACGAATCGGCTCTGCAACGTCGGTTAAGGGGGGAAACAAAGCATGTGTCTTCGCCTCGGTTGGACATGGTCATCCCCTATCTCCCCGGGCAGTCCCTAACCATTTGAGGACTCTGGGGATCACCAGTGCTCTGACTTGCTATGGCTTGAGGGACCCAAGTCTCCTTTGGACGACGCTGCTTTTGGGCTGACTGACAATGCGTTTGCCGTGCAGTGGCCGGTCGTCAGACGAGTGGCAAGACATTGACTAAAAGTCCGCAACTCTAACGTCCTCAAGCTTAGTGTGACTGGAGTATGGTTCTCTGCCCCGCAAAACCGCAGGCTTCATTGGCATGGAGCTTGTCTATAGATGAAGCACAAGACATTGTTGATTTCGAACGATGCTGCAAGTGTTCGTAAAAGTTTTCGTATTGATCGACGTGGCATGGCCAGTACAAAGGTATAGCAAAGTTCATTGTGAATATCGGGCAAACAGTGTGAGTGTTTGAGTTGGCCTACAGAGCGTTGAGAGGTTGTTTGCAGCGCTTGATGACGATGATGGGGTTCCGTTGCGCCAAGTATAGCCTGGGAGCGTAAGTGGTTGCAGCCACCAAGAGTCCCCCCTGTCAATCCTGGCGTCCTACATTACGTTGAGCTGTCAGTCATTCGATAGCCTGCAGGTCGAAGAGTCCAGCATTGTCATGGTCGGCATAGACCGTACGTGGTGGTGGTAAGCGATGAACCAGATGCAGCACTATGCCGCACATAAGACACGGATCTGCAGCCATACACCAGCCGGCTGGGCGATTTGCTCGCAGCGGTCGATCCCACGAGGCGATTCAACCAACTGTGAACGAGAGAAACAGCGGTCGGTATCCTGCGTTGATGATGTGATACCAGGATGGAGATAAATATGGGGGCGGAAAGGACAGCGAATGGCGCATCGATGGGCAGGTTGGATGATGGAGGGTGAAGGGTATGCTGACTCTGGCCATCGCCCAGTTGCAACATCAGTTGCGGTTTTCCATCGGGCGGTCGGCGGGATAGCAAAGCCGTGGGCCGCGATGCAGGACTCCCGTCATGCCTGTGGGTTGTTGTTGGATCCAGACCCGGGATTGACTCGGCCGTGGAATAAGGGAGTGGACCGGGGCCCTCCGCGTCCGTCAAGGGGTTTGTTGTCGGGATGTGCCATCGGTGAAGGGTGTACTGGGTGAACTCGCGTCGCCTTTTTGCTTCTTCACCGCCCTCTGGGTGCTGGGGTGGTCGAGTCCCCTGTCTCTTGCCGCGGAAAGGGCCCTCGCGCTGCATTGTTGTCATCTCTGGATTATTGCTTCTTTAGTTTTTAGCAGGGCATGCGGATAGCTGCAGGCAACATCATATCATGATGTGGGCTCCCGTGGAGTGGGTAGCAGTGCTGTGAGTTATGTACCGGTATGGCACCCGCGACCCTCGACGGATGATGGTATCCCGAGCAGTGAATGAGACGATAGGAAAAACTTTTCGAGCCTCTTCTCCAGCACCCACGAGGTTGCCGCGGATTCCACATCGAGGCCGATGGTCGGAAAAGAACACAGAGGCAGGAGTGGAGTTGGCCAAGACGGTTTCCAGCTTACTTCCTTGGAATGATGAGGTAAGAACAGATAGTTGGGAATTGGAAGTTGGGGCAGGCACCACCGGCAAGCAGGGACTGCTCACCCGACGGGGAAAGAGCTTTCACAAGTGGTTCCTTCACCCTTCTCATCCGCGGTTGCGGAAAAGGCGTCGGGTACCTCCTGCGGGTCACGGTCACAGGTGCATGATCTTGGGGGGAAGGAACCTAAGTACTACCTGTACCTAGGTATGTAAGGTAGCGAGGTGGAAGAATATGGGGACCTTCCAGCGGAAAGGGTGAGTGACGAGACCTGCTGGAGCCGTTCCTTCTTTTTTCTTCTTTTTTGTTTTTGCTGTGAAATGCGGCCCCACAACCAAGAGATGCGCCAACAAAGATGGAGAATTGTCCAGAGGGGAGGAATGGGGAAATCTGAGGGAATGCCTCGGCCTTGTTTCCGATGGTTGATTCGAGTGGGATTGACATTTCCCGCTCTCTTCTTCACACTTCGATAATGTTTTTATTTTTATTTTTATTCCCCCCCCAAAATCCAGTATGCCATAGTGCATTTTAAACCCATCGCTACCTTACCTTAGTCATTTGGCAAACCGACAGCCGGTTGTGTTTAGTGTAGACGCACCTGCGTGGCGCCGCATCGGCCTTGCCTGCTTCCCCCCCGCCTTCCCTTCTCAGCCCGATACCAAGGCCCAGCGGTGACCCATGAACGGGGAAGGAGGGAAGGAGCAGAGGCTGGTGTGGTTGGGGGACCTTGAACCCTGCCAGTGACGGAAGGTATCGCCTCCCCTGGCGGGTAACCACCCTGACCCAGCTGCCAGGTGTAGACTAAACCCCGTGGACGTCGCCCGGCAAAGAGGATGAGATGAGGAGAGAAACAGAGCTTGATGGCTTGCTTACAATAAAGAGAGAGAGAGAGAAAGTGTGTGTGTGCGTGTGTACGTGTGTGATGAAGCGTCGGCATTGTTAACATTGCCATTGGCAGTGTCGCGAGTAAGGAGGGTGGCCCCAAGGTGCAAGCGTCCCGTCATCGGCTGCCAGCCCAATGGAACTTCCCCCTTGCCAGGCGATCCAGGTACTCGAGGGGCCAGCCTCAGACCAGGCCCGGGCCCTTGCGATGCGCCGTCCGTCCTGCGCCGTCTGCACCGAGAGCTCTTCAGGGCGCGGGTCCCCCAGGCACAAGGAGACGATAATTGGCGATCCGGTGATTCCATGCGTCATCATTGGTCGCGGGTCGGGCTGGGGGACAATCCCAATGGCGTCCAGTGTGGCCCGGGTACGTACCTTGGACTTCCCGGTACCCTTCCTCGTCTCGTCTGGTCTGTGTGGTGTCACTCCTCACTTGCAGTTGTCCGCGACCGAGTTCTACTGGGATCCAAATCGATTTCTCCCCCCCGTTGTTTGATGGCGGTGAAGCTCTTAGGGAATTGAGTCCCTTGCGGCGGCGAATTGTCTCGTCTTACGCTTGGTAGAAACGTCGTACTCACCGACACACAGACAATGCCTTGTTCTCGATGTGCAACGCCGCCGGGTTGTGTCGTGCAGGCAGCCCAGACACAGACGGACATGTACCTCATCTTCTTCAGCAAAGTGCCACCAGACACCCTCGTGCTTCTGTTCCTGTCCGCAAGTCGCCCACGAGGAAAGCTGACCGTGGCGACTGCCAGCTTATCTTTGATTCCCTCGTTGAGTTGGCTGATGAGTTAGTAAGGCCTACAACGGAGTCGAAGAGCGCACACAACCATGTTGACAGGAACAAACAGACACAGAAAGGAACCCTGGCTCCAACAGTTTTCTTCATCACCATCGGGGCTTCTGTCAGCAACGGGCAGCACAAATGGCAAGGTCAGGGCCGGCAGCAACCGCAAATGCAAACAGTCTCTATTCTACACCACCACCTCACCACACCAAGTCAGCATTACCATTACCATCATCATCGTCATATCATAGCATGATTAGCCTCGGTGCATAAGCGCAAACAATGTATTCATTGCCCTGGATGTCGAACGGCACATATACATGTATGCAAGACACAGGACACACGGACACCGACGGCATCCAAGACGAGACACGCCACCTTATTTCACCCCAGCCCGCGCCTCCATTCCCTTCCCTGTCCGTTTTTGCTGCTGATACTGGCACTACTAGGTATGTATGTAGGTGGTAGGTAGGTGCTGCGGTACATGTTCTTCTCCGCACGACGCAAGTACCAAGCAAGATACGTACTCTATAATGACTGCGCGGGTTAAACCTTTTACTACAGTACATCGTACGCGCTGAGTGTCACACCGAATAAAAAGGTTACCCTCGCATCGGTCCAGCCAGCCAGAAACGAGCAGAGACAGCCCTTCCCGCGACTCGCCCAAGCCCCTCGCCCTGGACTTGGATTTGTATCAGGACCAGGACCGATCCCGCCTGCCATCTGCCTTTCCATGTGCTGCCACTCTACTTGGTGGAGGTCAGTCACACAGCTGGACGGTCGACCGTCTCCCCATCGCACCCATCCACTGCCAGCTAGGTATTCCTGCATGTTGATTCTGCAGTCTCAGTCGCCTGCATCTTCCTGGGGTTTCTCCCCACCCTTCTGATATGTAGTGTATGCGGTCGAGTCTGAGCGCCGTGAATACCATTTCTTCCTTCACGGATACGTCGTATACACTCTTAGCGCGAGACCATCCCCAACGCTCATCCGCATTACATGGTACGCCGCACCGCAACCTCGCCATTTGTATCATAAGTACGTGGCATGCGCATTACATTGAGTACATTACACTTTCGACTCCCGTCCCGCAGAGTCGCCTTCCCCACCCGCATTCCTGGATCAGATGCTTCGACGGCGGCAGCTGTGCTGAGCATATAGTATAGTGCCGTGCCATAGATGGTAGGTGTTGCCAACAGACACGCACTAAGACTCTGCGGACCGTCTCTTCCTGCATAAGCTGGGGACCCTCGATCGCCGTCTTAGGCTGTTGCACCTCTTTGTCCCCCTTGCACCTGTTCCCCCCCCCTCAATGCCCATCCATCCCTCCTGCTCCCTGCTTGCCGTCGACGCCATCCGGCCCTGTCTCCGACCTCTGCATCCATCGCAAAGCGCAAGCACGTTTTTACAGGTACTGTTTGTGCTGCACCTTCTTGCAATATTCCCTGCAGCTACGACTCGCGGGGAGGAACAGTAGGGAGTAGTAGCAACAGCATCGAAATTAAAAGGCAAAAGAGTCGACTGTCGTGGACCGGACCCCTATTTTCCTCTTTTTTTCCCCGTTCGTCTTTTCGTCGAAACTCGCAAGCCGAAACTCGGCAAGACCCCTTTAGGAGCTTCGACCAGACACCTCACCGTAGACCCACCCTCGAATCCGACGACATCAGCACAAACATCAAAGCACTGACAGACGGCTGACACTCTCGCGCGCGCGCTCTCTCTCTCTATCTATCTCTCTGTCTCTTTCTCCTCGAGGTGCAGAGAAGCAGGGGCAGCGGCAGCAACCACCACCACAACCACCACCACCGCCGCCGCCGCCGCCGCCGCCGCCGCCAACAGCAAAAACAACAACAAGCCCTCCCACCCCGGGCGCGGCGCATCGACATCATCGTTTCCCATCAACGGGGGGCCACCTGTCTCACTAGCGCGAACGAACCTCCCCCGGCATCCCTGTCGCGTGCCGGCTGATTTGCGCCCATTTGCCAGCGGCACCCCCAACTTCCCAGAGGTCACGCAGCCCAAAGGTCACTCTTCACGTCCAACACACCCAATCCGTTCCCCATTCATCTGCACCCATACCCATACCCATACCCATACCCACCACACCAAAAACACCGGGACCCTGTCCTGCCTGTCCACCCCCGGGCAATGGACTGAGAAAGACCAGGGCCAAGGAAAAAAACAAAGAGTGAGGAAAAAAACCGAGAGGGAGCACAAAGCACGAGCTGTTCAATGCCAGCAGCCGGCCAGTCCAGCACCTCCCAGCACCCAGCTGCTCCACCCAAGCAGGATCCGACCAGGGGAATCCAAAATAATTCTGCGTCCGTGTAACACAACAGTGTGTCGCGATCGTCCTCTGCTTCTCGACCCTTCCTCTTTTCTGCTCCTCCTCCTCCTCCTCCCTACCTTACCTTACCTTACTCCGATTCACCCCATCTCCACCCCCCGGTTTTGCTGCTCGCACCTACCCAACCTCAACCCCAATCTCACCCTGCGCGACGACGACGACGACGACGACGACGACAGTCGACGATACCATCGCCTGTCCCAAGCAGTCTTTTACAGCGCTCGACTCTGCTCTGCGATAGCCTCCACCGCACCCTAGTCGCCCGTCACGCTGACGCAGCACCTCACACCTATGTGCAATCCACCCTGTGGGCTTTGAGCTAAAAACTCGGCGCGATGGATCCAAGACAGCAGCCGCCACAGCTGCCCTTCTCGCGCAACACTGCCTCGCAGTACAGTCGCTCGCCTTTTCCTCCATCGTCGAACACGACGGCGAACTCGACCCCGAATCAATCGCCCTTCCCCCCCGTGTCCCACCCTCATGGCGAGCATCAGCGACGCTCCTCAGAAAACCCCTACTATCCTTCGGGACCGAGGTCCTACCCGCAAGAACCAAACAACGCCGGCCCTCCTCCTTCTTCATCCGGCCACTCTCGACACCCGAGTGCATCCTCATTACCTCCCGGTGCGCCTCTGAATCGCAACATGCCTCCTCCGGGCTCGCCTCCACAACCGGGAAACCCGCAGCCGCCGTCGCATCAAATGGGGCACTACGGTCTGCCCGCCCCAAGAGCTCCGCCGTTGGGCGTCGGCCACCCGACATCCTTCCCGGGCGGCCGCGAGCTTCCGTCCCTAAACTCAATACAGAGAACCGGGAGCACGGGAAGCTCCATGTCGATATCTTCCATGTTGGGAGGTCCACCCCCGGCTAGAGATTCTCAGCCGCCTCAGTCGCATTACCATCCCCCTGCTACCTCTGCGAGCTCCGGCCCGACGTTCGCGCCGACGATGCAGGCTTCCCCGCGGATGCACTCTGCATCCTCCGAGTACCAACCGTTCCGACGACCGCAAACCCCAGAGCACGCGCGTCCGTACGATCCGAGAGGTAGCGCCGCCGCCTCGCCCCAGGGCGCTTATTCTACTACCCCCGAGATGCAGCGATACGGCACACCACAGCAGGGATACCACCAGCGAGGTCCTTCGGCGCAGGACGGTAGAGACTCGAATCGGATGTCTCAAGGCCCGCCTCCCCCTCGACCCACAAGCCAACCCAAGTCTTTCCAACAAAACATACCTCCGAGACCAGTGGACATGGGCCGGAACAACGGACCGGAGGAGATGTATCAGCGTCGCGAGGAGATTCCCCGAGGTTCGATGGAATACAACCCGGAGAGGCCAGGCTTGAAGCCAATGACCTTTGACGACCGATACCGTGCAGAGAGGGAGCGCCGGGAAGAGATCGAGTTCAGAGAAAGAGAGCGAAGAGAGCGTGCATATTCTGGAGGCGACGGTGGACGTGGGCACCCGGCTCACCAGGGTGAGTATCGGCCGCAGGAGGCACAGAGGGGTCAGCCTCCTCCGTTCACACGGCCGCCGGAGCAGCGTGAACAAGGACCGTGGCCACTGCGACAGCAGCAACAGCAGCAGCCGCCTTTCGACCAGTCCAGAGTACCTTACGATCCCGCTGGACTGCACCCTCGACACCATCATGAGTACCCTCCCGCCTCTGCGCCCAATTACCCTGGCCAGAGTCATCCCGCGCCGGCTCCTCAGTTCCAGCAACAGCCTCCCCCCAACGACCGATACCCTCCCGGCCCCCCGAATCACCCACAGCAGCCTCCTCCAGGCCAGCCCGGGCAACAACAGCAGCAACAGCAGCAACCATTCGATTCCCCCGAGAGGCAGCGGGTCAACCATCTTCACCCTCAAGCGCAACCACCTCCCGCGCATCGACGACCCGCTGAGGAAGGCCCTCCTCCTCCTTCGGTTGCTTACAACACCCCGCACGGTCCTCCGATGTACGATTCACCTCGTAATCGACCTGTAGAGGAGCATCCCAACCAAAGAAACCTGCTGGCGGTTCAGGAAATCAACCGCAAGGGACGCGTCTCGCCGTTGCCACAGGCTGTTCAGGGAGCGCAACCACAATTGCCGGGGCCGGCGGGAGAGCCGGGTATCAAGAGCGAATTCGGCAGGATGTTTTCAGGAATCGGAAGCGGCGTTACTGGCCTCGGTGTCGGCAGCCCCGTCACTGCCGGAGCTCAATTGCCGTACACGAATGCAAGCCTCGCTCGACGCGATGAAACGGACAGCGCCGCGCACGAGTCTGGCCCCGACACCGTGGCACCGAAGCCCAAGGGCAGAAGAAGAAAGCTCAAGGAGGAGGACACGAAAGGAGACGAGGAGAGCACGGGACGGCTGACGCCTAGTGGTAGTCGAGCAAAGCGCCCCAAGACTCATGGACATCACCATCACCAGTACGTCCCGGTTCCCTCAGGTCTGTCTACAACGACTAACGACAACAGCCACCACCATCATCACCACCATCATGGCGTCGAGCACGCCAACGCTCCTACCCCCGCTCCGATTGGCGTTGCGCCGTTCAAGAACGTCAAGGGCAGCACACCCATCCCCTCACCGACTACCGGACCCGTGAAAGACCTGCCGGCCGCTCATCACCACCACGTCCCTCGCCCGGCGCATTCGCACACTCACGTGAAGGAAGCGCCCGTCAAGCAGGCTGTGCAGAGCCCAACCAGCATACTCCCTCCCAAGCCCAAGACGATTGTGACCTCAAAGGCCGTCCTCGAAGCGGTCGCGCACCGGCCTCGGACCCACCTAGGAGACGTGCTCTACGAGCCGAAGCTGAAGCCAGCACGTCAAATACCCAACGTTCCATCCGGCCGGGGTTTCTCCTCGACCCCGACACCGCTTCCGTGGAACCTAATCAAGGACAAGGAGAACTGCACACTCACCATCAAGGTACCGAAAGTCCACCTCACCCCGCTAGCCAGAGAAGAGATCACGGCACGACGGGCTTTGTGGGGTACGGACGTCTACACGGACGATTCAGACGTCATCGCCGCCTGCATTCACGGAGGATGGATTCGGGGAGAGTGGGGCGACGATGTGGATGTCTCGTTGCTCGATCTGGATCGAGGCCTCTCCGCCCCGAGAAGGAAGTTCCTGCGAGCAAGAGACGCAAGGAAAAGGAAAAGGATGAAAAGGCGAGACTCGAGGCGAACTCGGCCACGTACTTAGACAAGCCGCCCATGACGGGTCCCGTCAATGTGCCTGCCGATCGCGACATGCACGTCAGCATTGTGATTCTCCCGCGGTTGGAGAAGTATAGCAGCACCACTCGCTTCGGCATCCAGTCGCGCGAGTACGGCGGACGATACAACGGCCGCCAATCGATTCACGACGGCATCAGCTTCATGGTTACCAGCATCCGTTGGGTCACAAACGGCGCTGGTACGCAGAGCCGTCTCCGCGGCAAGGGTCGCCGAGAGCGCATGCGCAAGGCGATGGGCGAGATGAACGCGGCCAGCCGCGGCCTTAATGGGGCCGCGCTGGAGCGCGAGAAGCAGCGCCTCGACAAGATCAGAGGCGAGATTGTTTCGGGCACCTGGTGGAAGAAGGAGAAAGGCCGGGAGAACGGCGCGACCGACAAGGAAGAGAGATCGACAAGCGAGGGCGACAAGGAGAACAGACCCGACGAGCTTCGCAATGCGGCTCCTGCCGTTAACGGCGCCACCACGAATGGCGTCTCGGCGCGCAAGGGAGACGAAATGGACGTGGATGAGAACGGGACAGCCTCAGAGGCCCCAAAAGCATGAACATCGAAACAGAACTCGGAGGCGATGCGTAGGAGTTGGACAGCGGCTGAACTAAAGTGTTGGAGTAGTGTGTTGTAGGAGTAGCGGTAGTTATAATACCCATTACATTACATTCGAGAACATGATTGGGACTCTTATCATGATTGGTATCTTGCGTTGGCTATTTACTATACACTGGTGGTAATACACCTGGCCGTGAGGCCCTCATAATCCCATCTCTATGACGGGTCATGTTCATTCCAAACTATTGAATCAACACCGCTCTCCCCTGTACTCGGACGTCCCGGGGCAACGTAGCCCAGCAGCCAAGTCACTCCCTCGCAGAACCCACGTGCCGCTCAGCATCCCTCCGCACCGCGGGTAGTAGAGCGGGGAAAGGAACGCCGTCTAAAAGTCCGTCACGCGGCCGTTGTAGCTCCAGTCCCCTCCGGCGCCCCAGCGCAGCGGCTCCCTCTTGGGCCCGCCGACCTCGCCGGTGCGCGGGTTGACGTCGCCCTCGAACTCGGGCGGCGCGCCGCGGACGTAGTTGGGGTGCATCGTGTCCTCCTCGGTGGCGGCGACGGTGGGGGTCGGGGCCTGGGGCGCGGCCTGGGAGTCGGCGACAACGGTGTTGACCTGCGCCGAGGCGACGGGGTCGGTGGAGGGGGAGGCGGAGTCGGCGGCGGCGGCGGCGGCCGGGGCGTCGTCGACGAGGTGCTGGAAGGCGCTGGAGACGGAGGCCTGGCGCTGGAGGCGCTCGAACTCGGCTTGTTGGTCGGCTGGGAGGCGCGGGGGCGCCGGGCCGCGGGTGAAGGAGGAGGAGAGGCGGGCGGATGGCGGTTGGATGGTAAGGAGGGGGCGGAGGCGGAGGAGGCGGGACATTGTTTTGTTTGCTTTCTTTTCGGGTGCTGGAGGCTTGTTTAATTTGTTTCTGATTGATTTGGGAGGTTCGGCGTGGGTGTGGTTGTGATGTGAGCGCTGTCGTGGTTGTGGTTGTAGTTATCAAGGTGCGTGGGCGTATGTGTGGGAAAGTTGCAGGAGGCGAAAATGTTCGGGATGGATTCGATGTCGAAAATGTCATTGACGGGCTCGGTCGGTAACTGGACCCCTGGGCTGGGTTCCGGTGGCGGAGCGGATGGGGCCGAGGTTTGCCGCGAGCTTTTGTAGGTACTATGTACCCGGTGGCTCTGTGTAAAGTTTGAGCTTGGAGCTTGCTCCTGTAGCTGCGCACGGACCGGGTCTTGTCTGGAGGCGAGATGGGTGAGCTTTGCCCAAGGTTTCGTAAATATCAAGCTCTACCAAAGTCCTAAGATAAACGTCATGGCTTTCTTTAGAGTTAATGGCTGGTCTCCTTAACAGATGACCTAGATTCTGATTCGCGCATCAAGTAGGGAGTATACCATGCAGAATGACGCCTGAACGGTGTATCCTAAACATTCCAGAGCAAGCAGCCAGTTTACTGACAAAAGCCTGCTTGAGGCCAGTGGGTGACAGCGACCATGCTGGGATACTTGAGCAACCCGGCATGCTTGAAGCGCCCACGCCAACTCCGTTGCTCGAAGCGAGCCTCAAATGCATTGAGCAGTGTGTCTTGCGCATTTTGGTTCTTGACTGGATTTAGCTTTTACACAGTTGCAGACTGCGGCGGTTTGTTTGCATCTTCCCCCGAAGAAGATACCTGACTGGACAAGGAGCTGCGGCGAGGCAGATTCCTGCCATAGCAAGGATGACTTGACAGCTTGGATAAGGTAGTCCTCCAACGACACATCCCAGAGGGCTTTCATTTTATTAGTTGCGCTAAAAAAAAACCTGATGTCCAGCGTACAGCCTGATAGTATTGCGCAAATGCTCACCTCGGGCTACCCTCGGTTGGTAATCCCGGCGTCTTCGGTCCGTCTCACGGTGGCATCAGCCGTTTACCAAGTGCCAATCAAGCCCAACGTTGACCCATGTCCGCGGCACGACGGACAGCGCTCGTCTATCACGTTGCAGTCTTCCAGTACAAGAAACCACCACACCCAATCCGAAAAGGGCGTATGTTCCATGATTGGCCAACTGCTCATGCCGACCCGCAGGCGTTGGAACTGATACCGCCCTCGACGGTCATCACCAAGTCCAGCCTGATTTCTCCAGAGCATCTCCTCAAAGTCGTCGAAGACGCTCTTATGCACTTCCCCACGATACGCTTGTCATAAACATCTGCAATCTGCTCTAGACCCTGCAAGTATGTCGAATCCGGAAGACTATACCGTCGGCTGGATCTGCGCCATCACCACTGAGTTTGTCGCTGCGCAAGCCTTCCTTGACGAGAGACACGACACGCCTACGCGCCTTGCCTCTAACGACAGCAACAACTACGCCCTAGGCAAGCTCAGCGGCCATAATGTCGTTATTGCTGTCTTACCTCATGGGGAGTACGGCACGACCTCGGCCGCAGTCGTCGCTAAAGACATGCTGCACAGCTTTCCAAACGTCCGGCTCGGATTGATGGTCGGCATTGGAGGTGGCGCGCCGAGTCCAAAGCACGACATCCGGCTTGGCGACATCGTGGTTAGTTGCCCACGTAACGGCAAGAGCGGGGTATTTCAGTACGACTTTGGCAAGACGATACAGGCCCAGGCCTTTCAGCAAACAGGGTTCCTGAATCAATCGCCGCCCGTACTCCGGACGGCCGTGGCCGGACTTGAAGCGTTGTACGAAATCGACGGGCATCAGCTCGATGACCATATCAAGACAGCCATCCGGAAGAAATCGCGGCTTCGAAAGAAGTACTCGCGGCCGCATCCAAGCAGCGACAGGCTATATAAGTCATACGTTGTGCATCATCACGACACAGAGGAAGGCTGTAGCCAAGTGTGTGGTGACGACTCGTCGACATTGGAGGTTCGCCGCGAACGCGACGAAGATGAAGACGACCCAATGATTCACTATGGACTCATCGCCTCTGCGAATCAACTGATGAAGGACGCACTCATCAGGGACAAACTGGCAACAGAAAACGACGTGCTTTGCTTCGAGATGGAAGCGGCCGGCCTGATGAACCACTTCCCGTGTTTGGTTATCCGTGGTATATGCGACTATTCCGACTCGCACAAGAATAAGGAGTGGCAGGGCTTTGCTGCTATGACGGCTGCGGCGTACGCCAAAGACCTCCTCCATCAGATACCAGTCAGCAAGATTGAGGCTGAAACGAGGATCAAAGAAGCCCTAGGATCTAGTTAGTGCGTTGAGTCTTACCTGTCTTAACGTCTCTAATTGTCCCTAGTTGAGGAAAGCCTCGATCATATTCGGTCTGCGTCGAGCCAGATCGTAAACACAGTTGAGGCGATTAGATCCGACAGCCGTGTTACAGAAATAAAGAACTGGCTCTCGCCCCCCGACACATCCACCAATTTCAACTATGCGAGAGAAATCCAGCTTGAAGGAACCTGCACGTGGTTTCTGGAGAGCGCTGCCTATGAGGAGTGGAAATTCGGATCACGTCGACATCTATGGCTTTATAGTATGCCAGGATGTGGCAAGACAGTGCTCTGTGCTAAAATTATTAACCATCTTAAAGATGTAGATGATTGCGTAACCCTCAGTTTCTTCTTCGACTTCAGTGACACGAGGAAGCAGAAGTTGGAAGACGTTTTCCGCTCACTGGCCTTCCAGCTTTACACGCTTGGGGGTGAAGATGTAAAGGAACTCGATAGCCTTTTTGAATCTCACGAAAGAGGCCAACGACAGCCAGACACAGCGGCACTGGCTCTCGCCCTTCACGCTATGATGAAATATCCCACGAATATTCGCATTGTCCTAGATGCTTTAGACGAGTGCTCCATGAGAGGAAAACTACTCACTTGGATGAACGGAGTCCTTTCCAACCCTGACTTCGAGCATGTTCGGCTGCTTACCGCCAGCCGACCAGAGGAGGAATTTCAACGCAGCATTCCCATATGGATTGGCGAAGAGAGCTGCATTCAGTTCAATAAGAAATCCGTCACCGCCGATATCCGCTCCTATATCGAGGACAGACTAGAGCGTAGCCCGGAGTTCAAGAAGTGGTCATCTTTTCCGTCTGTGCTGAGGAGGATTAAGGACGAAGTCGGAGACAAAGCTGATGGGATGTATGGCCACTGCCCCACATCATACCTGGGGAACGAATCGTCGCTAACATGTTTTTCAGGTTTAGATGGGCAGCTTGCCAACTTGACAGTCTTGAAGCGTGCTTGGACCGCGAAGGAATTGAAGCTGCACTCAGATTACTGCCCCGAGATCTAAACGAGACCTATAACCGCATCCTCCAGCATATTCCACAGGAACGTAAGAGGAAAGCGATCCGTCTGCTTCAGTTTCTTGTTCATTCCGAACGACCTTTACTACTCCAGGAAGCTGTGGATGTGATAGCCGTCCGACTTGACAATGAACAACGTTACTTTGACGTGGAAGACAGGCTACCTTGTCCAGCTGATATCATACGATTCTGTCCGAGCCTAGTGTCAATCACTCGAGTTTCAAATGATACAGAAGTAGTTGAGGAACTGCAATTGGCTCATTTCTCGGTCAAAGAGTACCTTCTTCACTCCAATGTTGAAGGGTTTGTTCTCGTGGAGGCTAGCATCAGTATTGCACACACATGCTTGACGTACCTCACCAGTATAGAAGAAGACCACATTCTCAAGATTACCAAGCGATTTCCGCTAGCAAGCTATGCTGCAGAAATCTGGATGGATCATGTTAAGTTTGCCGAATGTGTGGATGAGGTGGCTGCGACAACGGTTAGGTTCTTGAGGAACGAAAAGACATTTGCATTGTGGGCTCAACTGTTCCAACCCGACCGTTCATGGGGTGATGGTTCAGGGCTCCCTCGAGTATCCTATCTATACGTCGCATGTTTCAAAGGGCTGACTGAAACTACGAAATATCTGCTCCTTGACAATGGAGCAGATGTTAACACTCAATGCGGCTTCTATGGTAACGCCCTTCAAGCTGCTTCCTATGAGGGCCACAAAGAGATTATCCGGATGCTCCTTGACAAAGGGACAGATGTCAACACTCAAGGCGGCTACTTTGGTACCGCCCTCATCGCTGCTTCCCATGAGGGCCACGAAGAGATTGTCCAGATGCTCCTTGACAAGGGAGGAGATGTGAACGCTCAAGGCGGCAGCTTTATTAACGCCCTCCAAGCTGCTTCATTTTGGGGCTATAAAGAGATTGTCCAGATGCTCCTTGATAAGGGGGCAGAAGTTAACACTCAAGGCGGCTACTATAATAACGCCTTCCAAGCTGCTTCCTATGGGGGCTACAAAGAGATTATTCAGATGCTCCTTAACAAGGGCACAGATATCGATCCTCCAAGTAGCAACGTTAGCGACGCCCTCATCGCTGCTTCCTCTAAGGGCCACAAAGAGATTATCCAGATGCTCCTTGACATAGGGACAGATATCAACACTCAAGACAGATCCTATAGTACTACCATCATAGTTGCTTCCTCTGCGGGCCACGAAGAGATTGTCCAGATGCTTCTTGACAAGGGGGCAGATGCTAATACTCAAGGCGGCTGCTATGGTAACGCCCTCCAAGCTGCTTGCCTTCCAGGCCACAAAGAGGTTGTCCAGATGCTCCTTGACATGGGGACAGATGTCAACACTCAAGACAGCTCCTATAATACCGCCCTCATAACTGCTTCCTCTGAGGGCCACACAGAGATTGTCCAGATGCTCCTTGACAAGGGGGCAGATGTTAACTCTCGCGATAATGACGGTCGATCAGTTCTATCGTGGGCAGCGCAGTATGGGCATGAGACTGTAGTCCAGATGCTTCTCAACACAAGAAAGGTTGACGTCGATTCGAGAGACAAGCGTGGTCGATCAGAAATGTCATGGGCGGCTGAATACGGACACGAGGCTGTCCTGGAGGTCCTTTTTGACACGCAAACAGATGTTGTGATCTCAAGTAACGACGAACGGAACCTGCCAATGTGCTTCTCTGACAACAGACAAGTTGAGGGTGTTTGCAAACAAACGCTGGAGTCACTTGCTGCATCATTGAAAAACAATTTTACCCTGAGTCAGTGTCTTACATGGGGTGTTGGTGTCAATTCGAAGGACATCGACGGTGCTACGCCGATTTTGTGGGCTACGAGAGAGGGTCACAAGGATACTGTCCGTCTATTGTTGTCACAAGCAAACGCTGACCCAGAATCTTGCGACAACGACGGACGTACAGCGCTCTCTTGGGCCGCCGGAAAAGGTTATCTGGATATCGTATCATTGCTCATTGGGAACAAAAAGGTAGACGTCAATTCGCGAGACCGGGATGGCTACACACCGTTGATGTGGGCTCTAAAAAGATCCCATATTAGCGTGGTGAAGTTTTTGCTTCAGGGTGGAAGTCGTTTATCGGAAACGTGTAAAGCCGGAGTGGCTTTTCAGGCTTTTGGGTTGACACTTGCAGACGAGTGGGATCAGCTCGTTGCCGACATCGGTTATATCGATGATCACGACTTACTAGGGCTTAGACTTTTGTTTCGTAACCCCCATAATGAGTGAGATATTAAAATTTAAAACAAGATTTGATTTGGTATCCATCTATAGACGAGATCAACCATACGTGTTTATGTTTGTGTGTAAGTAAACGTTGAGGTTTAAAGTATGAGTTTCGTACAACGGCTACGTTCCCGACATCTTCGGCTTGTTGTCCACAGATTCCAGAGCTGACAAATTATCTTACTTTTTTGTCTACCTATAGGGACGACCAAAGCATTACAGAATTCATTTATGCGATATGTTTACGGCAGGAAATAAATAATCGATGTCTTGTTCCTGACTGCGTATAGAAGCCGTTAGAAAAATAGGAGAAGCACATTGTATTGTGAGACATAGATCAGTTCTAAAGTTTTTGTTTTGAAAATACTCTGAAATTGAAATTTAAGTAGGCTTGTTGAATGGATTCTCTCTTCCTGAGAGAACCCGTTTGTACGATCGTACTCGGGTTAAAGTTAGGGTGAACCAAAGATGTATTTTCCGTGATTATCTGCCTAACTACAAGACTTGGCTTTTGTACACGAGATATATGATCTTGTATGTCCCTGAGTCAGTTCGGCATGAATATACTTTTGATCCCCTCAATGGATAACCGAGGGCCGAATATCCAGTCTGTGCCCTCTGCCATGATGTGTGTCCCTGAGTCGTGCGTGTCGTACAACCAGCTGGTGCTGTTATTCCAACACTCACAACTTTTTCTTTTGTGACTGCACGACTCCCTGCGGTGTCCAATCAGGTTGCGCTGATTGTGACATCAATAACCTCATCGTACAACCCTGTGGGTTAGGCCACTTGCGTTGTACGATAAATCACCAATATCAAAACTCCAGGCAACTGTCCATTCCCTTCTTGCCTGGTTGAGCAGGCAAGTCACGTGTTGGTGAAGTTCCCTCCTTCCTCGTTGACTTCACTTCTGCTCCTGCTGTTAACGTACCTTCCTTCCTTCGTACGGTAACCTTAGGTATTTAAAACCCTTCTCACTTGTTTTTCTTTTCCTCTTTTCTTTTCTTCTTCACCCTTCGCACGCGTCGTTTTCTCATACAATCGATCAACGACGATCTTCCCCTTCTTCCTCAATCAACTCCAACAACAACTACTTGTACGTAGGATTTCCTCTCGTACGTTTCCTCTTACTGATTCATCAGTAGCACCTCGCACGATCAATCCATCATGTCTCTCGCTGCCACCGGTGGTTCGATCTTCGGCAACATCGGCATGCATACCGATGCGTCCGGTGGTCGTTGGCTTCGTCTTCCGACTGGCAACGCCAACAATCGCGCTCTTCTGTTGGCTCTGGCCATCAACGTACGTTGCTTTTGTCCTTACCTTGTCTTCGTACGTTAACCTTGACTGCAGGATGAGGAGCGTCTCATCATCAACATGCCGTCGCGCGATATCGAGATCCGCGTCACTAGCAACACTTCTGTCCAGCAGTTTGTTGCCAGCATCATCCGCCGCCAGGGCTACTTCCTTGCGGTCTTGGTTCAGTCTCGTGGTCGTGCGGCCATTGCCTGTGGCAATAAATGCGCGACTACTGACTCCCCGCGCTTCCGCCAGTGCACCCGCATTCCCACCTTTCAGGGTGGCGCCTGCGCCGAGTGCGTCTAGCAGTCGCACGGCGCTCGCTGCACCCACCGCGGTCGAGATGTTGATTCGTCCGACAACCCGGGCGATGATGATGACGATGATGACAACGGCGGCCCCAGCAACTACAAGGCTCCCAACGTCACTAATGCTCGTGAGCCTCGTACGCCTGGCAGCAAGCTTGGCAAGAACGTCGGCAAGGGCGGTCGCTTCCTTGGCACTTCTGCTAGCCCCATGGCTATCGACAAGGAGTAATCGCACAACTTCTCTTCCCTGAAATCTCGTACGACAATCAGATGGATTGCACGATATGGTAATTCGGGAAGGTTGTGGATATGGTGGAGGTACGATCCGACATTGAGATCGGCATTGGTAGTGGTCAGGTATATCAGATACCTTCTTGAGGTTACACTTCGTTTTCAGATAGTTGGTTACGTACGGCGGTGAGGTCGTACGAATTAATTGTCAAGTGTTTTCTCCTAATCTTTCAACGTACGCCTCGATTCGAATCCTTAATGTGTTTGTTGTAATCAATTGTCTAAGTGCTGAGTTTGGCGATTTCTTGGTGAAGGCGTCGGCAGGGTTATCTTTCCCATTAATCCATCTCACTTCTGAGATCTCTTTCTTTTCGTACGACTCACGTAGACTCATAATATCAATCATAAGCCTCTTTTCATCTGTTGTGCCTAGTCGTACGAGGCACTCATATAGAGATCGTGAGTCTGAACAGATGATAACTGGAATCCTTGGGAGTTGTAATGTATGAAGGATCTTGGTGAGTGTCGTACTAAGGGATATCCCACTATCAAATCCTGTGGTCATCCCGTACAACTCGCTTGCAAGTACGCTTCGTGTGACTCTCTTGCACTTTGTTGAACTCCAGTGTATAATGTTTCCTTTGATCTGGAAGTCTGTTGTCGTGCGAGCTGTTTCCTCAGCTAGTATAATAACAAATCCAAGTTGTGACGATAGATCTGAGTTGTTTGCAAATGATCCATCTGTAAAGATATACATCTTCGCACGATGGAGATCAAGAGGGATATATGTAAGACCTCGTGTAGAGTTATCGATTTGCCACTGAAGTCGTACATTCAAAGCTTCAATATCCTTCTTACCAGGTTCCTTAGTTTGGGCTGCAGTTGACAGGTCGTATGATGCCTCTGGTTGACAGATAGATGCGAGGTATGCTCCTCTTGCCCTTTGGGAAACATACTGCTGATGTGCATCGTGCGCATCAGGATCAACGAGTTTCAGGTGCTTTGCCTGGCCTTTTTGAGTAAAGGTAATATGGTCATCGTGCGATTGAATCCTTCCCCCATTAAAGTCAATTTCACTGTTGGGCGATAAGGTGGTCTTTGGTTTCGCACGAAGTCCTTTCCTTCTCAGCTCTTCTTCTTCTCTCTGGGAGAAGGCAGGTGTAGCAAAGCTAAGTGTATCGTCTGTCTGTATAGCTGTAATCCCGAAGGTATCCGGTCCTTCTGTTGTATACAGCAAGCATGGATCGTACGTTGACTCTGTCATCTTCAGATCTTTCTTGTGATGCTCAGAATAGGTTTTGTACCAGTATAGGCCTGACTCTGCTAGGCCGTATAGTGGTTTCAAGATATGGAGAAGTGTGTTCTTAGGGTATTTGTCTTCTAACTCCTTGGGTAGTCGTGCGATAATCGTCCTGGTTAGACGATCGTCCGATTGTGTATATGCCTGGGTTATGTCTCTGAGTTCCCCTTTGCATTTGTAGTCTCGCACGAGGGTAGGTCCAATCGCAAGTATGAGCCTTTGGCTCATCCGTTGGATAGTAGGTGCCTGGGTTAAGAGTTCTTCTTTCTCCCAGTCCCCATACCCTTGTACGACAAGTCTTGACTTCTCGTACGGCTTAGATGACAAGTTCTTGATCTCTCGTACCATCCGTGTCTTGTAGATACGGAGGTGGTCATGCTCTTTTGGATTGTACGGTACAAAGGTAAAGACTCCCTGGTTAATAAGGTTGTCTATCTCTGTTTGGTCTGACTCTTCGTACGGAGCACCTGGTGTTGTAATCACATTGTCAAGCCGTAACTTTTCTGCTAACTCCTTGTGGTCTTTTTCTTTCTGAGATAGAAATGCCTGATTAGTACGTGGTGATTGTCGTACAGCCCTTCTCTGGCCTTTCTTTGGTCTTCCTCTCTTGTTTGGCTGTTTCTGAGGAATAGGTCGTGCGATATCTGAATCTGACTGTGCTGTGTCTTGATGGTATGGTTTGACATGTGTCGCACGAAACTGTGTAGGACCATTGACCATCTTGACTGTCACCGTATGGCCTTCTATAGCCTGGACTTTGTACGGTCCAGTCCATCCCTTGTTTTCTCTCCATACTAGAACCTCACTCTGGATCGGTAGTGATAGTATGCTCTGGAGGTTAGGGCCATTTCTGGTGTTGATCGCACGATTGATCTCTACTTCTGCACGAATGCTCTGAAGCATTTTCATTGCCTTTTGGATTGCTTCTGCCCTTTGGGTGATTTCGGGCGATGGAGGTGAGTCCTTGTTAATCCTTGGATATGTACCAAAGACAAGTAGTGTAGGTACGATGCCGTGCGGACCAGCTGTGTCGTTCAATGCCTTCACAGCCATCTGGAGGATGGTTTCCTCGTCCGTGTTGTGCCCAAGCTCAGCATACAAGATATCGTACGCACGCCTCAGAGGAGCGTGAGCTCTTTCTATCTTGCCTACTGCCCAGTGGGCTTCTACTGGCATTTCTTCGCACGATATGCCCATGATGTCGGCATAGTTCCTGAATTCTGCTGATGCGAAGTTTGTACCTGGGTCATGTACGATATGGTCTGGTGGACCAATGTACGTGCTGATCCAGCACTTGCAAAGTGCATTCCACGTATCTCGTGCAGATAAGGACTTCAGGAAGGTGGCTCCTTGGAAGCTTGTCTCTGTGTCGATAACGTGTAAGGCGTTCTTGTCTCTTAGTCGTACGACATCCACAACTATCTCATAGTTGAAGTAGCTTTCGTCTTTAAGTGTGAACTTAAACCTCTTCGGTGCTGAGTCGTGCGATTGACAATGATGACAAAACTTCTGGACCTTTTCTAGAATGTTGATGTCAATGTTGTGATGCCCAGCCTTCTTCAGGAGGTGGTAAAGACGGTCCGTACGAGGATGTCCAAATCGTCTGTGAAGCCTTCGGAGTTGTCCTTCTGTGAAGAACATGCTGGCCTCTGTGCGACTAAGGTTGAAGAATGGGTGACCCCATTTCCGTACGACTGGGATAGGTTTTCCATCCTGCCGTACAATCACGTTGTCGACGTTGTTGAAATATGCACCTAACCTGTCTGCATCGTACAATGAAAACAGGAACGGAGTAGGAGCATCAAGGATGTGATACGTAACCTTTCCAAGCTGATTCTCCATTTCCATAGTGCCAACCGATGTGATTGAGTCATTTGCCCCGAATCGTACGTTTGCTGATCCTGGTCCCCAGGATATTGCCGTACAAGGGTTCTCCCGTAGGTATGCAAGCACTTGAGGTTTCCCTACGGTAGAGAACTTCGCTGCTCCTGTATCCCATAGTTCCCCTTGGTACAATGAGATATAAGGATCGTGCAACAAGAATTGACAGGCCTCTGACGTCTTTGGTAATGAAAAAATATCCTCCCCTGTCGTGCGATGGAAGAATGAAGAAGACATTAGGAAAGCTGATGTCTCTTCATCTCCTGTGAATTCTCCCTCCTCATCGCACGATTCGTCCACTGGGTTTTCTCCTTCAAAGTCAAGAAGGTATAAGGCAAAATCTCTCTGTGGTTCTTGTTCAAGTATACCGCATGCCTGAAGGTATTGGTCTTTCGCACGATTACGTTCTTCGTCCGAATGATTCGTAGACCAACAACCCTCCTTCTTGCACACAAAACATCTTTTCTTAGATATTGCATGATTAAACCTAGGTCGTGATGAAGGTTGACCTTTCCAAGGTTGTCGAGAAGATCCTCTGTTGTCTGACGGTCTATTGTACGATGGTCGTGGGTAACTCTTGTTGTTAGAGTATCTTCTATCCACAAAGTTGATGTCGTGCGACATAGACTTCCTGTCTAAAGCGACTTGTAGTGATGCTCTTAGGCTAGAAAAGAATTGTTCGCATGTGTGATGTGCTTTAAGATTGCTTAGAGCAGTTTCTAGCTCTGGTACACCTCTGCACGCTTGGGTGACTTGCGTACGAAGCATAATCTCCCCCTGAAAACCTGGGCCAAGTGCCCGCTGTACGAGGGGTATCTTGTCTAAGAGTATCTCTAATACGTCCATCAGATTCTTGTCTGGATTGTCTTGTCTGACTCGTGCGAAGGATAGACTTGTCCAATCTGTCCAATAGAGAGTGTGGTTGATGTTAGTGTTAAAGTGCATTTCTAACATGTTGTACATCTCGTCCCATCTCCTTGTTGGTCCAATGTGATGGAGATAAAACTCTTCCGCACGATCAGCCAAGATATCAGGAAATACTGCATGGTATTGGTCTTCAGTGATCCTGAGGCGTCGACAAAAACTGATAAAGACCTTTGCCTTGTCGTACAGGATATCGTACGGCTTGCCCGTATAATTCCTGTCCTTTCTCCATCCCTTCTGGAAGATTGAGATTGTAGTTGGCTCGCACAATCCATTCTGGACTATTCGTCTTGGTGGTAGGTCATAGATGCTGTCTCCTTGATGTAAAGGTGTTGTACGACCCTGGATTTATGGGAAACTCTCAACCTCCTGTGTGAATCTTGTTCCAGGAGGCATGTTTCCTGAAGCTGATTGTGACTGCTCTCGTACAATTGATGTTTGAGTTGTCTGTGTATCGTACGGGGGCTTGATTGGCTCTGTTGTCGGTTCAGCTGTGTTTTGGGGTAAAGTTGATTCAGGGTTTCGAACAGGTGTTTGAGTTGTTGTAATCGTACGACTTGGTGTAAGTGCTGTACGAGTAGAAAGCTGTTCTTCTTGCTCATCAAACTTCCTCCCAATCTCCTTGATGAATTCAACTAGCTGTTGATTCACATTTCTTATTGGTGGTAATCGGAATCCCTTTAGCTCAATAAGTCGTATGAACTCTGCCCTGAACGCACGATAGACCTTTTCCCATTGGAAGGTAGACCATTCGTTAAAATCTTCGTACAGTGATATTGTCAGGTTTTCCTTTGATTGCCTAAGATGAAGCATTTCCATGTTGATGTACGCAATGTACGTAGTCATCTCTTCTTCGGACGGTGCCTGTGTAATATCGACTGGATTTCCCCAGCGTCTAGGATTCACAGTCTTCTTCCACGTGTGCAGTGGGACTTCGCTTCTTGCACTTATTTCTTCGTACGTTGGCAGGTATCCATCAATATTGTCATATTGGCTTTGACGATTGTCTTCTGGATCCTCTTGGGAAGCCATGTTGTGTTCGGTAGTCGTTTCGTATCGTACGACGTCAAAATTGGTTTGTTTGGTGCCGTGGCGCACACTTTGTACTCTACGTACGGTACAATAAAGATTCTCGTCCGGTTCAGCTTAGCAGGCGACAACGGGAATCTGTCTTGTACGATAGTAAAGCAAAAGTCGTCTTTATCCTATCTACCCGGTTCAGCTTAGCAGGCGACAATAGGTAGGATTAAGGCTTCTTAGCACAAGAGACTTTCTAGCGTGACCCCTTAGGTATCCCTGAGGATTTCTCGCCTCGCACGAAGTGCAAGACTACCCGGTAGCCCGGCTGTAAAGCCTAAGTCTTGTCTCTTCACTCTTGCTAATCTGTGATTGCACAAAGCAATCGCACGGATTGCCAAGCAACCACTGATCAGTGTTGAATGGATTCTCTCTTCCTGAGAGAACCCGTTTGTACGATCGTACTCGGGTTAAAGTTAGGGTGAACCAAAGATGTATTTTCCGTGATTATCTGCCTAACTACAAGACTTGGCTTTTGTACACGAGATATATGATCTTGTATGTCCCTGAGTCAGTTCGGCATGAATATACTTTTGATCCCCTCAATGGATAACCGAGGGCCGAATATCCAGTCTGTGCCCTCTGCCATGATGTGTGTCCCTGAGTCGTGCGTGTCGTACAACCAGCTGGTGCTGTTATTCCAACAAGGCTAATATGGGGACTCGATGGGGTCAACAAAGTATCGCTAGTACATTAGCCACGCCATCACTCGAACCAAGTCGCACGCTTTTCACCATCTTGGTGGTACTTTCAATGAAGCCGTTGTTGACTGTGGCTGATGCTGTGGCCAGTTACGGTTTAAACGAATTTTGAATCAGCTATCGCTATACACTATTAGGAAGTTTATAATCAAAATGAGATATAGAGGCCGAGGATGGGCCAGAGGTGCTACTTTCTTGGGCTCAACATACAGCAATTATTCCTCCGCACAGAAGGACCTGTATTAGACCGCTTAAGAAGGGCTAGAACAATGACTTACTCTTAGGAACTTAATGCAGTTGTAAAAACTTGGCATGAAAAATGAAAGAAGTTTCTGTTTAGAAGAAAATTTCGGCAGCGCCGGTGTAGGGCATATCTCCGCTACCCGATTCTAGGGTTCTTGATAAAGAGTAGCGGGAATGACATAATGGTAGCTTTTAGAGAACCCCTTCGTTCTAGAGCCTCAGTCAACATCAACCGCGTAAGCACAACCGGCTAGATCAGTCCTGAAGTTTGACCAAGAACTTGAGCTCACTACAAGATGGTACATTTTGAGCAAATCTATTGCAGAGATATTAATCCTACACCGCGAATGTAAGATATCAATACAAATGTTGATCTCGTTACAGTATAGAACAGCTGTACAGCAAGTTACACTCCCTTGGTCAACCAGTCCTTCGTTACCGAGCTGCAGAAGCGCCCGTAAAACACAGGAGAGAGCCTTGTCAGGATAATTCGAAAGACGACAACGGCAAAGGACAAATGGCAAGCCTTATCAAGGCAGTATCGCACAAGCAACAATGCCAGAAAATGCTGAAGCGATAATGAGCAGTACCACGGTGGAGGAACACTTAACGGGCAGGGTATGCAAATATTTGGGTACATAAAAGCAGCCACAGATACTTCCAGAAAACTGTCCGGACGGGAGAAACAAAATGGTAGGCTTGTTAAAGACTGTATGCAGGAAGCGAGCCTCGAAGAAACCACTTCACCCTCCGCCTGCTGCATTCCTCACCTTCTTTCCCCTGTCTCTTTCACTTCTTCTATCATCATAGGGCCCATCTTCAATTTAACCGTCAGTCGCCTATTTATGCGGCTCACTATAAACGTAACTAAACGCAACCGGCGACCCGAAGTTCGGCGCCCCGTTACTATGCGTGCCCAACAGCTGCACCATCGTGTACCGGCTATCATCGCACGCGCCCGCACTATTACTCGTGGCATGGTACGCAATCCACGTCTGGTCCCCGGCAGGACTGCTGAAGAAGCTATTGTGCCCCGTCCCATAATGCCCGTTGCCGCTGCCGAGCACGCACTTATCCCCCTTTGTCCACGCGGCCGCGTCCGTCGGCACCCTGCTCCCATCCCACGTCAGCAGGCCCAGGCAGTAGCTCGCGGACCAGCAGTAGCTCGCGCTGTAGGCGATGTACGTCTTGCCGCCAAAGTAGAGCGCCGCGGGCCCCTCGTTGACGGGGTGCGCGACGCGCTCCCAGGCCTGCGTGGGCTGCGAGATGAGCGAGACGGCGCCCGAGGTCGAGACGTAGTCGGCGTTGAGCTTCTGGATACAGATGGACTGGTACGCGGCGCCGTGGAAGCACGAGTACATGAGGAACTCGCCGTGCTGCGGGGTGCGCAGGACCGAGGCGTCAATGGCCCACTCGTCGGGGCCGATGCGGCCGACGTAGGTGTACGAGTCCCATGGGGTCGTGCCGCCTGCGAGGGTTAGTCAGTGTCGGTATCCGTCTCTTACATCATGGGAACGCGTCTACAGGAACATACCTCTCAGAACATGCAATCTCTGGTTGTCCAGGTTCGCGCTCCCGCCGGCCGTGAAGTAAATGTACCACCGGTTGCCTAGCCAGTGCACCTCGGGCGCCCAGACATTACAGCACCGCGAGGCATCCCCCGAGGAATACACAACCTTCTTGGCCGCCGTCTTGAGGCCCTCGATGGTCGTTGAGCGCGCGATCTCGACCGTCGACCACGTTGTTGACAGGAGGTAGTAGTACCCGTCGCCCGAGTACGTGAGAAAAGGGTCCGCACCGCCGGGCCGGCGGATGGGGTTCGTAAAGGCCGAGACGAGAGGCGCCGCGGTGAGGGTCAGAAGGGAGATCAGGGCGGAGAGGAGGCGTGGAAGACGCATTTTGGCGGTTTGCTGCCGGGCTGGACTTGGGTCTCTGCAGCGTGGCAGGGTGGAGTATTAGGGACGAGGAATCATCGTCGGAAGGGGGGTAAGGGGTGGGCTTTATCGTATTCGAGAAGCCGATTATCGTGGAGATGCGTGAGACAGACGGTGGAGGATTGATTCCGCTGCCATGGCTTGGTGGTGTGTGCCAGCCCGTGTAAGCGAGCCATCCAGAGGACCATCATTCCGACACCGTCCCTATATCTCGGCCTCAATTACAATCCAGGCGTCAAAGAGGCGATGTCCCTACAGCCCTCATCACAGGCACAATCCCGAAATGAGTAGCAGCCCAGAGTCGTATCCATAGCGGACGTCACGTATCGTTCGTCGGACAGCTCCGTCCAGCCCGGGGACCCAAGGCCAAGGTTCAGGACCGCAATATCGGAGGGAGGCGGGGGATTGGTGGGATTAGCGGCCGTCCCCTTGCCGGAGCGGGGTGAGCAGGTGTGCCTCGATGCCTCGAAGCCACCGCGCTGGAGGCGTAGAGGCAGCCCGTTGAAAAGGGCATCTAATTCCTCGCATGGAACTGGTAGATGCCGGATGAGCAGGACGCTAGCCTGCACGCATTGCATGTGGGCCTGGAGCTGACGGACGTTGAAGCTTAAATTCTCCGGGGCAGGCATCGATGATTAAGCTCACGGGGCGGAAGTGGCGCGTCGGTGCTGGGATTCCAGGCAAGTCGGGAGGGTAGAGATGTGGCGCCCGTCGAAAACGATTGGGGCGCTTGAGGTCGCGTCAGTCGCGTCGTCTAACATGGTGACCAAGGATATAGATAGGGTTAGACAGGGAACACCGCCGACAGTATGACCAGAGTCATGTGGAACTGACCGACGCGCTTTTGAGAGCTGAAATGATTGGAGAATATCCATCAATGAGGCTTGGATATGAAGGGTGATCATTAATACGGCCACTACTGGAGACAAGTAGACAACTCGGAAGGATTGAGGCTTGGGATGGAGGGTCCTCTTTGAGGTCGAGCTTTTCGGAAATAGAAGAACTTGCCTTTCATCTCCCAGTCCTCCAGACACCTCGTTCAAGATGATAGTGTTTCTTACCATTTTCTCCTCAAGGAACAAAGGACCTTCGTTGGTTGAGGCGATGATCAGCAGTTGACCCAAGTACGGCCGTAAAGGAATCGACATGTTCATTCCGAAAGCCATGAGGCGGCTTGGACGAGAGGATTGCCCTTCTTCCCTTGTCCACTTACTTCACGTCGTAAATCACTGCAAACAATCGGCTACAAGCTTAAGGGTATTGGTAATCTCCTATCCATTATCCTACTTTCCGTTGGTGCAGTGATGCTAACCCGCCCACGTAAAATTACTTCGCATTCATGAATGCGTGTGGCTAGGGCCTTTGCTCTATACAAGGTATGTGATAATTAGATCCTAGTCTCCGTCTTCCACACCAAGGTATCGAGGTTCAAAACAATTACGCTGTCGCTGTTGGATGATATCATTCCATCGTTTCGGCGGTGCTGGGTCGTGGGCGTTTTCTCCTTGCCCCTCCAATCAAAACCCATGTGGTTCTACATCGCATGGCCTAGATATGGCCCTTTCCTACAATCTCTCTTTGCACTTCAACCTCCCCGCTGTCGGCGGTGAAGCGCCTCTCCAGCACCCATCTTGTCTCGCCGCCCTCCTCCTCTTCTTTGATGTACGAAATGCTGTCCGCGGACCCCTTGTGCTTGTGACCCATACCAGGTCTCCGTTGAGGGGTGGGATCGGTCCGAGGCACCAAGTTCGGATGCATGGCAGTGTCCGGACTCTTCATCCACAAGCCCGAGTGAGAAATGCTGTTGGAGATGGACATTTCATCAATCTCGTCAGTCTCCGGCACCGGGTCGAACGCGGCGCTGTGCGTGAAGTGAGGCGAGTTCATCACTACTGAAGGGCTTTGGTTCAGTGGCGGAAGTGGAGGAGGGGGAGATGCGATAGTCGGCATGGACATGGTCAAGGTAGGAGAGCCGGACGCACTGCCCGCATCCGAAGAGTCCATGTCGCGGCTGCGAATTGAGAAGGACGAGTTCTTGCGAGCATGGCCATGGATGTCCATGATATTGTTGCTGGGTCCTGGACCCCAGGGCGAGCTTCCTCCTTCACCCCTTTCGGATCTGGGTGAGCCCTCGCGACTCGAGACCAAACTGGCCTGCGATCCACCCCACGCCCTAGACCGAAGTCTCATGAGCGCCGACAGACTCATATTATCTTCGCCATCGGCCATCATGGCAAGTTGGGCCAGACCTGGGCTCTGGAGGCTTGATGGACCAGACCCAAGAGGAGGAACGGCGAGGCTCATAATCGAGTTACGGTTGGAGTATTCGGATCGTTCCGTGATCGGCGTGAGGTTGGGCTCGCGCGATACTATCCTGCCAGATTTGCTTCGAGACACGCCCGACGGCCCAAAGAAGCCGCCGTTGGCGTATTCAAAAGGCTTCTCGTCCGATCCGTTCGAACTATCTCTGCTGTGACGTCCTCCTTCAATGGGCGCGGAGTAGAAACCAAACTCCTGACCATACCAACCATCCGAGTCGTTGGCAAGGGCACTAGCGTTTGCCTCCGCAATGAAGTCGTCGTAGTCAACATCATAGTCGTCAAGGTCTTCGCGGAACCCACCCTCATCGTAGTCGTCATAGACGTTGTCCTCATGAGGCAGGCTATGTGAGGACTCACCGCCGGGCGACATAAGCTCGCTTGGAGGTGGTGAAGAATCTCGCCTAAATCGGCCGTTGGCGGCAGCCTCGAACGCTGCAGCAGCCAACGCGGTTTGGTAGGCATCCACCTTGTCCTGTCCTGTCGTTGAGAAACTCGACGTCATAGCTGAGGATTCTTGGCCCTGGGTCAAGACTTCGCTATCCCGCTTCGATTCTTCGACAGTGGGGGCAGGCATCCCAACGCTCAAGGAAGTGTCAGCTGTTGACCCAGAGATATTCGATTGGGCAGAAAGCCGCGATGTGCTGTCAGAAATCCTCTTGCTGCTCTCCGGGACAGCGGCATCTTGGGTATGAGTGTTTTGAGTGCCATTGTCCTGAGCGCCGCCTTCTTGGGTGCTCTTTTCAGGGGCGGCGATGGCGGCTTGAGCAGCAGCTCGAGCGGCTTGAGCAGCGGCAAAAGCGCCAGGAATGGGCCGCCCATATCGATCAGTGTCATCCAGGTCAAAGATGGACTCGTCAAAGTGGGAACCATCGCCTTCTCCAGCGAATTCCAGTTCGTCCAGAAGACCGTTGTCAAAATAGAGATCGTCTTTTTTGGGTGGTGCGGGAGAAGTAGACAATGGTTGCTGGGTCTGCTCGTGCAATGGTTCGTCCTGCGGCTGCGGGCTGGCAATGTGCACGCCTTCAATGGCAAGTCTAGCAACCGGTTCTTTTGTCGTTGGTGACGCAGTTTCGTCCGAGGGCAGACCAGGCGATAAGGCTTGGTCTATATTTGGCGTTCCCGAATAGGCGAAGCCAATCACCTTACCATCAGCATCTCTCGGCGTCGAAGCCCAAGCAGCACTGTGTGGGCTGGCCAATGCCGACGGAGGATTCGATCGCTGAAAGACAAAGCCAGCAAAGTTCTCCTGGTCGTTGTCAGGGTCGTCTTCTTCAGCCTCAACCTCAACCTCTAGGACCGCATCAAGTCCTAGGGGATCGGCCCCAGCGGCATCAAAGTCCTCATCGGCATCTACACCCAAAGGATCTGTGCCTCCAGCATCAAAGTCCTCCTCGTACCCGTAGTCGTCTCCAAAATCGTTGCTCATGGGGATCGGCTCTTCGAATCCGTCATCGTCCATCATCGCATCGTAGTCAAAGTCTTCGTCAAAGTCGTCGAACCTGGAATCGCGGTTCTGGCTCGGCTCGGGGTCGGATATCTTCCTTTCCAGCTCGCGTTGACGATGGCGTTCTTCGAGAAGCTTCTCTTGCTTTGCGGCGCCCACCATATCGAAACTGAACCTAGAGGACGTACTCTTCATGTGACGGGGCACCGAAGATAGAATATCTTGGCCGGACATGGAGACATGCCTTGACGGAACTGCTCTTGTAGAGGGTGCTTTCTTGGACAGGACCGACACGGCACCAACGGATGGTTTCTTCGAGATTATGGAGGCAGAACTGGAGGAGGGAGCAGAGTCGTCTTTGAGCGGGACCTCAGGAAGAGGTTTGGACTCCAGATTGAGACTACTTCTTGTCTTCACCGACCCGCTGCCAGACTCAGGCAGCGGTTGTGAGATGACGCTGACCGAGCCCGAGCGGCCAGAGTCGGAAGCGCTGCTCGTGTTCCTCCCATGCTGGAAGGCCTGGGCTTGAGCGGGTGCCGTGCTTTCCCTCGACGACGTCAAGCCTAGGTCCAGCTTCTCTTCAGCTACAGGCTGTTGTGAACTCGACACAGGTGTCGGGGCTGTAGCGGGGCTCGGGCCGTCGTTGTTCGGGAGGCTGCGTCTCGGCCGGGGAGCACTGAAGTCGTGAACACGTGTGCCTCGGATGCGGGGATCGTAGGTCAATTCGCCCGCCCTGGTTCCTCCTAGCGGCAGGGGCGTCAAGTCGGGGGCATTCTGGCTCGTCTTCCTCCTCGCAAGAAGCGTCGACATGGGATTCTTCAGGAAAGGCAGGCCTTTTCTGCCCTTGGGGGCGTCTGTGTTGTGATTCGCCATGCGGATGGGCTCGCTCGAAAGTCTCGTTCCCGCAGGGCGTCGTCCGGTGGCAGCATAGCCTGGAGGTTGCGGGGAGCTCTGGGAGTGGCCCTGGTGCTGGAGTTCGGTCGGGGTCGCGAAGGAGCTGGCATGTTTTGACGTCTTCGTGGGTTGGGGTGGGGGTCTAGTCGGAGGGGCCGTAGTTATTGGTGGCGGGGCGGGCTTCGACCCCGTGAATTGACTTTCATGGCTGCCATGAGCGACGGGGAGAGGCCAGCCAAATCGGGCGACTTGGCTGCCATTTGTTGCTTCTGCTGCTTCTGCTGCTCCTGCTGTTCCCGCTGGTATTTGCGCAAGGCTACGCCGCCGAGGAAGCCCGAGTCGCCGTTGTAGGGGGAGCGCGCCGACGGAGGGGGCGGCGGCGGGTGAGGCTTCTGGATTTGGGGCTCTTGCGTCACTTTCGCATCGGGCGTCGGTAGGTCGAGCGGGGACCCGGAGGAGGACGAGGTAACGCGGGCAATTGGCGGCAGGGTAGGAGGCAGCGAGGAATTCGTCGTGGTCAAGAGCTGAGATCGGATGCCGGGGCTTAAGGCGGCATCTTGAATGAAGGGAGAGTGCTGCTGGGGAAGCGAGGGATCCCAGGGAGCGGGCGCCGAGGGCTGGTCTGGGTTTGGTGACGTGGGATTCGACGGTCCCCGTCGGTGGATTCGAAGATGGGAAAACATAGTCACGGATTTCGTGCTTTGAGATGGATGGATGGTTCAGGCGCGAATCGTGACCCGGGGGGCCAAATGGCGCAGGGGTAGCGGGTGGTCGCAGAATAGCGAAGCAATTACGGGTCGGAGACAATATTGCAGGTAACGAGCGAAGGGAAGCCGGGTCTCTCTGTCTCGATTCGGAGAGGGCCGAAGAGGGGGGTGTGAACGACGTCGACTGCGTCTGTCTTCAGCCGCGAGAGTGAGACGCGATCATCTCCTTGCAGGCGAAGGTGCAGTCATAGTTTATCCAAGTCTGGGTCTGGTGTCGCTGTCGATGTCGGCGTCGGGCGCGAACGAGTGGATTTGGCTTGTGGCTACGCGTTTGGATGCGAATGTGGATGGAGGTCTTGGAGTTGTCGCAAGCTATTGGCGACGGGCGTTGAACGAAGGGTGTCGGAAGAAAGAAGGAAAAAGGAATGACCAGTCGTACGGCTGGCTATGAGGTATGAGGTATGAGGTAAGGGCTGAGGTAAGTGGGAGGAAAACCACGGTGGTGAGAAAGAAGGATGTGGAAGGAAGGGGGGGAAAAAGAAGGCAGATTGACAGAAGCTAAGCTAAGGTCGGTTCGATAGACAGGAAAGGCTGCTTGCTCGCTACCCGATTGATAGCATCCGTTACTTGTCACTGCCGTCTTTCCTTGCATTTCACGCCTTAGTACAAGGTGATATGACTTGCAGCTGTTGCGTGGCTGGCTGCTGCGTGGGAGAACCTTGTCTGTGCCATACCAGGCCACGCCATTTCATGCCAACCAGGTGCCGCGCGACGAGACGCCGCCCACTTGAAGTGTTTCCCCGGCTTCAGCCTCCAAGCTCGAGGCTTCAGACTGACGTCCTAAGACAGCCCCAAGGCCCAAGGCCATGCTATCGACGGGTCGTGCGTTCTAACGATCCAGCAGTGCTCAAGATCTAAGCCCCGATGCGAGGGATGAGAGGGTTAGGGCCGCTCGGACTGGCGTTCCGTAGCCTGCAATTCAGTCAATGACAGAACAGTCAGCATGCCATGTTGGATCTCTTTGGGAACTGCCAGGACTGTGTTGCTGCAGGTCATCCAACGGCCAAGATAAGAAAGGGTATCCGGACTGGCCCCCTTTCCCTCGATGACCAACAGTAGTAAGCCCAGGCAGCAGAGCAGCGAAAGACTCAGAACTTGACTACAGCTGCAGGTTTCCTTGTACTGCCCATCTGCTTCTATCGACTCTTTTTTTCTTCCATCTTTTTCTACATTCCTCCTGTCTTCTCTCGTCTGGGCAACCGCGCAGAATTCGCCTCAGAAACCTTCCGACTGCCATCTGATTGGATCCTGCCGGGCGCAATGCGAAATGAACCACACTTTTTTTTGTGAACCAGATCCATTGTCTCCCGCGCCCGCCCACGCCCCGCTTCCAAAATCCCGACCCCACCGGAACGTCGCCTTGATTATGTCATCTTCAAGAAAAGGCTCGCCAGGCAAGAGAAGCCGGTACACTGTCCACTGTCCACTAAGCACAGCTGTACATCTCTCGCATACGTGCTGGTACAGAGTAGTCACTCGGTGATTCACGCTGTGCTGGAACTGTACAGACCACCATCTCGCTCTCTTCCTGATGGCGTTTTTTTTTTTTTGGACTGAAAAATAACAGCAACTCTCGCTGTTACAGCTTTCCCGTTGTCGTGGAGCCTGCGTAGATCACTCCATTATCCCATCTCTCCGACTCCAGTCATCCCTCTCGGTAGTTGATTGGAAGACATATGAGCCAGCAAAAAACCGCCCACGTCCCCCCTTATTCTTGCTGGTTATCGACACGTCCATGACGAGACAGACGTGCCACAGCTCCTCAACTTACCCTGCGGCACCGCAGCGCTAGTTGATGCCCATCCACCCGAATATCCACACTGAATTACCGGCAGCTTTGGCGCAATGTTGCCCCAGGCCACATCCTTTATGGCCAACTTATTGTCTCATACAGATGGATCAAAGACGCGTCTATCGGCAGTTATCCCATCACCCGCTTGTGTCGAGCTCAGTCCCATCGCAGTCCCGTGCTAGACCACCCATCCGCCAAGTTGGTTCGTCATCAAACTTCCTACACACTCCTCCGCAACGGGGACCTGCTTCAGAACCTCTCCACAGAAGTCAGACAGGTACCTGTCGCAGGAGTTACAGCTGTAACCGCCGCTGGACCCCCAGCTTCAGCCAGCTTCAGACCCCAAAGTGGCGTCTATGGGCGCCATCTGGTCCGAGTACCGTCCTCACTCGACCAGCCGCACGCGTGGAAGATTGGCGACAACAGAGGTAGGTCGCATATCTACAGATTCCTACGTCAGCCCCGAGACCTGGGATGGGGTTTCTCAAGTAGTAGAGTCCAAAACTTTACATCCCTGGAGGATTTCTTTTCTCTTGTCCCCCAAAGCATTACGCCCTTCAGACCTTATTGTTGCGTTGGTTCGAATGAGGGATACTCCCTGCAAGAATCTCAAAAACTTGCCTAATCTTTACGAAGCCTGCGGAAACTCGGTGCCTGGACAAAGGACGCCTGTAAGTGCAGCCCCATCAAGGGCTTTTCCCTTGTTTTATGGCCAGGTCGAGTGGAATCTCTCCGACCCGTTTAGCATCATCTGCTAGCGTAAACACCCCGTTGACAGATCGAACGCCTATTGTCCTGTTCGCTGCTCATGACAGCGTGATCAGTGGCATCTGGAGGTCGTCAAGCATAACTAGAAAGGCCATCTTGAGTCGGGAATTCATATGAGGTTCGGGAGCCAACTTCAGCCTGATCTCATTGAAAAGACATGCAATTTCCTCACCCGCATACCATTGCAGTCAAGGGTAGCAAGGTGGCAACGTGCCACAGTCTCGTCCGTGCCGGCTCGCCGTCCCGGGCTCCGCATTCCCCTGGAAACAACAAAATCAACAATTGAATCCCTGTTGACTGTTAACGTTGCTGCACCGATATCCATTCGTTGCCGTAGGCCGGTGGAATGCGATATCGGTGAGGTTCATGTTCTCATCCCAACCATGTCACACCCTCCGTAGGCTCTGCTGCATTGAAGACATACACTGCAGCCCCTCGAACGCTGCTACGCTATTCAGTAAAGCTGACATCCGAGATGTTGAAAAGCAATCAGCTGATATACGCCCTTGTCCGCAATAAATGATGCCCCGCATCACGTAAATCGTTCGACGGCTGCTCGTCGCCGTATTTTCACGTATCAAGCTGTGGGTGCAAGATACACCATGGTCAAAGTTGATACCCCTATAGCGGCGAACGCTTCAGTGTACCATGCAGATATGATCGTGTGAAATCTGAAGTTTGCAGGGCTTTTCATTGTCTGGTTTCGTCGGCCAGCTTCTTACACTTCGACGTCCACTTGGGACAGGATTTGCTTCCGAGACCTGGATCGCCGCTGTCGGGGACATACCCCAGCTGTTCTCCGTTCTAAGTCTTGATGAAACTCATGTACTGAGACCCGAGAGTCAACAAGTCCCTGATAATCACATCCCCAGTGACCTCGAACCCCACTGGTAACGTCCTGGCCGTTGCGGAGATCGAAGTTTTTGATCAGAATGCCTGTTGAGTTGGACTTTATGGCAATGCAGTCGTCGCGGTTCTGCGCTTCTGGTCTGAATATACGATATTCTCTCTGTCAGGGTTACGTATCGGGTTTCGGTTGGACTCTGTGTTGTTGATCAAGACGTCTGGATCGAACAACTATCACGATCCTGGTACACGGCGGAGAACGACGTCTCTCTCTTTGATGTCAAAGGCTTAAGCTTTAGGCTTGGCGTCAATCCCAAACCTCACCAACTCTGAGCCTGTACGAATAGTATCCCGAAAAGACTGATTCGTGTGCCCCCGTCTACCAGGAGTGCTTGAGAACGCCCTGGTGATTAAAGGATGACTATCTTCGATGAGGATTTCTGTGACAGGAAACTCTGACACAAGACTTTCCCCTTGACCAGGTCGTACCACGTCGGTGTCATTGCCGCGAGCGGGCACAACAACATGATGGTCTTTGGCCGCCGCCAGTCCAGCCCTACGACTGGGTCAGGGTCAACCAAAATGTTTGCTGGCATCTAAGTAAAGGAGACTGGCTCCCAAGAAGAAACGTTTGACAAGCATGGTTTCGAAAAGTGTCTCCAAGACTTCTCGGATACATCTTGGAGATACTGATGCAGTATGGATACAGTCTGTAAAGCATGTATTAATTTGGACTCTTGGCCAAACAGTTTCGGCGCAAGGTATCCCTATTATCGAAATGACTTAGTCTCGCTCGCCCACCTGTGTAGCGACGTAGTGGTTCATATACCATTTAACTAGCGAGCTCTGGGATCAAAGCGTGCATAAGACCACGCACAAGTCCACGAATGACATCGTTGCTGAGTAGGTCTGCACTTGCTCCGAATTATGGGGCAGGTGTTTGCCCTGTCATTAAACCGGAAGACAATATCTCTATATCATTGGCTAACTCCCACACAACTCACCCCGTAAGACTACCAAGCATGCCAACAGAGTCTCCCTACAGATCCCGCGACTGACTAGCCGGGATCGATATTCAGATGCGGCAAAGAGCATTGCGAAAACATGGATCAAAAACTTGAGCCTTCAGAGGCGTTGGGATACTGCCTCGCCATGGCAGTCTCACGGGTTTGCCCTTCGGAAGCAGGTTTCTGTGCTTGAACCTTCCAGGTCTCTATAGAAGGGCCGCTCTTTTCTATACCCTACGTTTCTAGGTTCTCTTTCATGATGACTATTAGTATTTCTACCAGTCATAAACAATTCATCCTAGTATTCTTAAACAACTCTGGTTTTCGAGAACATCGCCAGCGACGTAAGTCTTTGTTGGCCCCGGCCTTTTCTTGCCTCGACCTCGGCCGTGGTCTTTGTATCGAACAAACCAGCTTGTCAAATGTCGACTGATCGTATCCAATTACAACGATCAAGGCGGTTACCGGTTCTCGTTACGCGTCAGTGTTCATGCTTGAGTAAGGATGAAGTCTGCCTTACAGTCGAGTATATCAATCATGGACTGCTCCCGGTCCGCATTTGCTTTCCTCTGCACCACCTCACACGAACACTGCCCTCAAATCACCCAGCTATCAATTAGGTAGGAACTTGAAGAAGAGCCACTCAGACTAATCAACTTTAGATGCAACCCTCCCACAGTAACCATGTGCATGAAAGTCTTTGCCCTCCACCGCTGCCTCGCCCTTTCGAAAGGCGGATGCGATGGCTACTACGCCGAGTACGTCGAAGACCAGAACTGCAACAGAATGTTGCACGGAGGTCTCCCCCAGTTAGATTGTCCCTCTGTATGGGCGGGTTTTGAAGACGAGATGAGCACTAAAGTCAATCACCGCGACTACTACGCCAAAAAGTCCAAGGGCCTCTGCCCGCAATGCCAGCACGACCGGCAGATTACTTATCTCCAGGGCCAAGCCGAGCTTGAGCGCAACGGCGAGTTTTCGGACCGCGTACAGGCTCTCATCGAGAACCTCACGCGGAAGGCAGAGCTCGGTCACACCGAGGTCATGTTGCGAGTATACCACGAGCTGTGGGACGCGGCGCAGGGCCTCGTCGCCGGGCTAAGCAGCAAAACGGACGCTGCGTGGCACTGCATCGAGGTGGCGTTGTGGACACACTTTGGCGTCGACGGCATGACGCTGGCTCCCGTGCGGGCTATGGTTGCGTCGTTGCGGGAGGTGAAGAGGGAATTGTTGGGGCACTTGAGGACGAACATCAAGGAGATGGCCGTTGCGCTGGTGGGACCGAATGAGTGTTGGGACGTTGACCTCGAGATTGGGGGTTATATCGATGAGGATTGGAAGAGACAGCGACAGGCGGCTGTTGAGGCCTCGCGGCATAGGGTACGGGAGGAGGAGCAGGAGGAGGAAGAGCAGCTGTTGTTACAGTAATTACTAGCCTACCGTGTGCCCTGGCTTCATGATTGTTAAATTGAGGTAAGTGAGGTTCGTGTTCTTGAAATTTACAGATACTTTTATAATGCATCGAGCGTTTTACCAAACAGCTCGTTTTACAAATACCACTGCCACTGCCTTTCTTAAACCGAATTCTTGTAGTCCTGTGAACCACACTGTAATTACACCGTCGTCGCATAATCGACATAGGCGATGACATCTCTCGGCCGGGCCCGTATTTGGGTGATATGGCGCGCTATCTCTTGGGGTCCTGATTTTTCAAGAACCCACAAGCCAACACTCCTGTATCAAGTCCATGCTGCCGACCAGCCAATACTAACAACAGCATTATGAGGTTCAGCATGGACTTGGAGATCAGCTCCGCTCGAGGGATCCGCAATTAGTAAACCTAAATGACATTGATTTCCACTTCTTTAATCAACGAACTGGGTTACACCACATCCCCCATAGGCGTTGTGGCAGAGTGGTCTAATGCGCAAGACTAGAAATCTTGTTCCTTCGGGAGCGTCTGTTCGAATCAGGCCAACGTCGACTTTCACTTTTGCGTTCGTGACCAATGTTTGCAGATCAATTTTTGATCAACATGTTTTGTAAAGGTATCAAGTGCGTGCACAGCAGGGTTAGCCTGCCGTCACGCGCTGCATCAGCAATGCTGAGCCGGTTTTTTTGGGGATAAGCTTTTCCTCTTCCAGATTTTCCTTCTGCTCAACTCTCTTCGTGTTTGATCTCTATGGTACCATATCAATTCACAAAAAGGAGGTTTCGAGAAGAGTATCTCCAACATTGAAGCCCGCAATGAAATTGCCTTTGATTCCGTTAGCATGAGGTGAACTTGTTTTCTTGATGAACTCTTGAGCACATGACTAAGGTCAATAAGAGCGCAGTTCATTTAACCTTAGCTTGACACATGTCAAAAGCCAACAATAGCCCTTGTTGCTCTTCCATTGGCTTCACTCAGAGTCATTGTTGGGCCGGTTCAAAGCGTCAAGTGCGCTTGAGCATTCACAAAGGTCTTGCTCAGGCTCGCAGATCGAGACGTTGATTGAACACCTCAGATCATTGAGAGGTCAGTCTTTCATCGTAAAGAATGAGACAAGGGGGGAAGGCAGGTCGCTGCGGGTGAAAGACTTCTCATCGCTTGTCATGTAAAGCGACATTAACACCTCTCAATTCTACTGACCACTCGAAAGCCACCAGCACATTCCAGCATCAAACCAGAGTTACAACATCGCAGAACCTCTTTCCGTCCATCAACCTCCAATAACACCTTTAAATACTACGTCCATTCAACATGTGCAACATTCTTAACCCTGTCTCAGATTGTCAACAGTGCTCTAGGATCGTAAAATTTGAACGTCTGGACCAACCCTGCATCCTAATTGCCAATACCAGCGACTTTGAAATCGGCGCCTGCGGCACTCTCACTTCGCAAGAGATTCTGGGCCCTCGAGGCTGCGTCTGCAACGATTGCCGCCGGTCGGCATATCGAGAGGCAGAAGAAGGGAAAGACACCAACGGTGGAGGCAAGTCTCACTCACTGTCGTACTACCTGATTCTTCTAGGCCGCTGGTTGACATGACAGCTCACAATATCGTAGCAAAGCCAGGTTTCATATCAACGTTTCCGCACAATTCTTCCCAACGAGCGCTTCCACTCACTGGAGGTGTGAGGCACACTGGACGTGGTGGCGGTACGGAGAGATATCCCTTTGCCCACGCATCGCAGTCTAGCCCTGCAACGTGCCAAAACCAGACAGAGGAGGCCCAGGCAGGTGTCCTGGATGTTGAAAGCAGGCGTATCAAAAGTCTCGAACAGGTTTCAGTAGAGAGAGAAGACCAAGAGGTATACCAAGAAGAGCTCGTTTCTTCCCGTACGGCAGACCGGCTCGTACACGGACTGTCAAGTGCCGAGGCGAATTACCGCCGAAGGAAAAGGATGGAGAAATACAAGTGTCCTTCCGAGACAAGCAGCGAGGCTTCAGAGCACCCCATTAGTCCGGTTGACACGCCTGTAGCCCTCTCAAGAAGCAAAGCGCAACCGCATCTTCTTCGAACGGTGTTGGCCACGGGCACTCCATGCATAAACCAGCAGACACCGCAGTCCGCGAGGACACTCCGCATCGAGTCGCCCTGGGACACTAAGTCCAAGCTGCCGCAAGCCGAAGACCATCCGTGGTGGTATCCCGAGATCTGGGGCCCAGCTAAAGACCTCCCTACGGAGTTGGCCAGCTTCCTTCGCCACCTCCCGCCCGCAGACGTCTTCCATAACCACCGCATCTATATCTTGTACGATGAATTTGAGAAGCCCATAGAGAAGTATGTAACGGTCTTGATTGTCATGCCGAGTGGGACGGGGGCGAGGGTCGTTTCAGGCGAGTTGTATGACGAGGGCGCGCGGTTGGTCACGCGTCGCCATCTCGAACGAACGCGGTACGAGGAGCTCTCGAGGGAGGAGAGGAAGAAGATGGCCAGGGGCGAACAGTGCTGCATCTTCTACCCTTGCAGGGTTGCGTGTTGTCCATTGCTGCACAATGAGGGACAGCATCAACCCATGGCGCCGGAGGGTGAGACTCTGCTCTCTGCCATGGAGAGAGGGTACAACTGGCGAAAGAACTGGCGGACAAGAACCCGGCGTCCTATGTCGTCGTCTCCGGGGAGGCGGTACGACAGTTCACGCTCGCCTCCAAGACAGAGGTCTTCTGTTGCGTCCACAGAGCGAACGAGACTAATGCCGTTGAATCTGACGATGGAGAAAGAGGTGAGAGTCGCATCTGAGGAAGAGTATGAGCAACTAAGCTGGCCACGCGCAGCTGAGGCAGCTCATGCTGCTGCCCGCCAAACAAGCAAGTCAGACGAGAAGGATCTCTTTGAAGCATCTTTGAAGGGATACTTGGAAACGGATTTCGGAGCGCGGTGTGAGATTACTGGCCGGTTCGCGTACAGGGGAAGAGTCGGTAGGATCCGACCCGCCTATCACCTACCATTTACACAAAGGAGCGGCTCTCCAGTGCCCGGTGGCCAGCAAGCGCGCCGTGAGCGGACCACATCTTCGACAACCGAGCCTAGTCAGGGAGGCTAACTTCCTGCAAACGATAGTCCTTAATCACAGTTGTTATGGTTCGCAACGTCACGATTCTGTCCACAACGTGGAACAGGTATCCTTCAGAAGACCCAGACATTCTGACTCTCTGGGAACAAGAGGCTCGTCAATGACGTTTTGGACCGACATTTGCGGTTAGTATCTGAAATATAGAATCAAGACTTATGTGCAAACTGGGACATGAAAGTAAAATTGCTAGTTTGATTGGAAGACGTAGAATAGCAGAGTGAGTTAAGCATCACCGAACACACACGGTCGCTTGAAAGCATACAACCTTTGCAAGGGTTAGGAAGATTTGTATGTGCCTGAAAAAAAAAATTTGAAAATTCTGTCTTACCGAAACCAATCATGTCGGCTAAGTTCTGGCCGCAACTACCTATGTACTCCTTTCATCGTCTATCTGTCTGGGTCATGGCTCAAGGTTCAACCGTTGAGGGCTCCACGACATAAATAGGGGTAGTGACTGACATCTCCAACATCCCCAAATTTAACCTGCTGGCAACGATTTAGCTACTACCAGCAAAGGATGTTAGCAAATGCGGGGGCACTGACAGCGTTCGATTCCCAGCTTGGCTGAGGAGTAAATAGCATGAACTAAAGGCATGATTGTCAAATGTCACCAAAAACAAAAGAATTGGGCCCTAACCAGGGATCGAACCTGGGACCTCTCCCAGAACGTGATGTCGGAGACAACCCTAAGGGAGAATCATACCGCTAGACCATCAGGGCTACTGAGTCATGATTGACTGGTGATTGGATGCTGGATTCACGGGGAATCGGATTCATATACCTCACCACAGCCACAAATTCCTTCCTGGCCTGTGTCTTTCGTACAGGAAGCGTCAATCCTTCAGCGCTTTGGACCCAAGCACTGCGCTATGCCTCCGACAACGGTGTGGTCACACCAGTAGGCGTACGCTTCAGCTTCCGCCTCAGGTGCGTCTGCAGAGTCTGTCAAACTAACCGAGGGTTACCGGTAATGCAATGCCTCCCTTTCCCAAGGGCAGAATAATAGACTGTTGTTCGGGTAGATCGCTTGACACGTCAGATCGTATCTCGTTCAATAGCGTGATGGAGATCCCAATAGGTGAATGATCTTCAGGAACGATTCCAGGGCGCATTCCACCTGGCTCCCAGGGCAACCAGCCGGCATTGCGCGCCTAACTCGATGGCCGGCAAGCAATCACAAGCAGATGGCTATTCTTAGGGGCAAACGACCAAGGCCTTTCCGGGCCATGCCTAGTACAAGGGCGCTTCCCCAAGCCTAGATGCGGCTCCCTCTATTTGCTGGCGCTGGCGCTCCCCAAACCTTACACAGCCACCAGCCAAGCTTCTGGGAGGGTCGAGTCGTCCGAACTCCCATTGTTTGGGCGGTAAACAGCAACACGCCTCGACCCGCAGGAGCACAACTCTCTCTCCACGTCAAAAGCCTCCAGCAACGGACACTGAACAATTGGCCCTGCAGTAGCAGAAGCAGCCAGTTCCGGAACCGTCGCTTGAGCGGCAGTAGCTTCGTCTGCCTTGACGAGGCCTATGACGCGTTCAGAATTGCCACTGGTCTTTGCTCTCAGCACTGCCCCAGTGGAGAACTCCGACAAAGAGAGACTGTAGCAACAAAGGCGCTTCCTTGGAAGAACCGTGGGACCCAAGAAGAGGGCGGCATGGTGGGAGGGATTTCAAAGAATGTGCCCGCGGTCCAGGAAAAGTGGTGGTTGTGTTCCACCGGGTGGATCGGGTCGCCAAATCCGCCTCGCTGAACGTGGGCTTGGACGGGTCGATGGCCTGCAGCTGGGGAGACCCAGGCCCATCCGTACCTGGCAAGGCAGGCAAGCAGGCTGGCACTCTCCCACTTCCCACTCCTCCCCGGCCATGTACGGGCCGTTGTGCGGCAGCGGCATTGGGATCGGACCACTGTGTGCTGCTAGTACGTATTCTCTAATGAGCTGCAGGTGCACTGCCGAGGAAACATCCTGTGAATATTGGGAAATCAATCAAGTACACTAAACGAAGGGAGCCGAGGGAAAAGGGATGGGATGGTCCATAGGCAATGGTCCAAGTGCCTAACAGCAACCCTCTCTCGATCTCTCCAAGGCTCAGCGCAGATCAGTCACTTCCCTCGGATAAGCAATTTCCAGTCACTCTGCCAGACATGCCCCTATCGAATGATGTTGCAAGAGTTCATGCTTCGATGCTATAGTCCCTCGCTCTCGCCTGAGGCATTCAGACCTCTCCCAAGGAACTTGAAAACTCCGCCTGAGGGGTTTTCAGTCTGCCGAAGGATGCATACTAAGCAACGAATAAGACAAGCAGAATGAGGAAATGGACACCATAGGGCTTGACGTGTAACGTCATGGAAGGCTGACTGTGACGATTCTCGAAGGCCTCGACTTGCCGGTCCTTGAGCATTTGGGTGAGAGATTTAAGTTTATGCATGCGGACACATCCACCGGATCTCCACAGGGAAAAGTCTCTGCTGACTTGGAGCTTGGAAGCTGGAGAAGAGGATGGGCAGTTGTGCGTGTATCTGTCCAAGTTTCTGTCCACTCAAGAAGCATTCGAAAACCCCGAATCAGCCCAGTAAGGGGAGAGGTTTGTGTTCGTTCTGCACGTCGGTCCGCCCACTGCGGACGGGCGGCGTCGATCCTCCCGTCATAGCATGTGTCTCGTTGTGCAAAGTTGGAGTTTGTTGTTCCAAAGCCAAGATTCGGGCTCCAGTCCCAGGTTCCAGGCCCAGTCGCTGGGGCTAAAATGTCAGGTCCAACGCCGATGAGGGTGTGTACACTGCAATGTACCTGGCGGTAGCTCTCTTCCTTCCTGCCGGCATTTGGTGTGTTTATGTGTGTGGGATCCACGGGGCGGACAGACAGGAGGTACTGGACGCTACGTTGTCCAACAGCAACGCAGAGAGTCGGTTCACGTCTCTCTGCGCATGGGTTTTTATTATTATTTTCATTCATTTTGGCGCTCTCGGAGGTTGTCATGTTCCCTATGTGTTTTTCTTCTCCATGTCCACACCCAATGGTACATCCGTCATATCAAACAAATCCAATTTTGGGTTCTCAACTCCCCAGTTGCTTGCCATTGGTAGGCCAGCATGCAACCCGGTTATCGATGCTTGGCTCCTGGTTGGCTTATAGAAATGGTATGTTGCCGTGGGAAAAGCGAGCAGCCGGGTACTTGCTTGGACTCGGTCCGGGACCAAGCTTTGGCTGGGTGTGGCCCTTTTGGAATTTGGCGTGCGGTGAAATTACCTTCCCCACCCCCTTTTCCCGCATCACCGTCCAATCCAGCCCTGGCGCCGGCGGTGCACCATGATCCATCCGCGACCCATATGCTCTCCACCACACGAGTGCCTCCTCGTCCCCCTAGTGGTTTCTGGGACATTGACTCCGAAGGGGGTGTGTGTGCCTCTGCGTCGACAGCGAGAAACAGAGATTGCGCCTGGCCAAACTAGCTGGGCCTGTCTGGCCTTGGAACCAACGACGCGCCCCTCCACATCGCCTAAGCCCTCTCGGTCATCACTTGCTGGGCCAGTTGCCCGTTCTGGGTCCTGTTCCTGGCTAGACAGGGTTGTTGACGGCGGGTGATGGTCTGTGGTGGTAGACGATAGAGCAGGACGCAGGTCTGCGGTGACGACGCCCCTGTCCACGCACACATTCTCCCCCGTCGATCCATGTCTCTCCCTAACAATCGACACATGAGGGCGCATCGAGTGAGATTATTTGCATCTCTTCAAAATGGCCCTCATCTCCCTCCTTTTTCTGCTCTATCCTGGTTTCTGCGTTTCTGTCACCACCACTCTCTCTTCAAACTATCGTCCAAACTCCGCGAGTTATCTTGATAACTCGCTGTCACTCTTTTCCGGACGGGTACATAAGCAAACAAACACATTTCTGCATTCTTAGCACCCACGAAATATACGATTCCTCGCACGAATAACAAGACAGAGACCGCACTACGATAATTGAAGATGCAGCTCACCAACACTCTCGTCGTCCTTTCGGCCGCCCTCACCGGCGTGTCTGCCCACCCTTCTCTGCACGGTCACCAGCACTTCCACGAGCGCCGCACCGTTGACGGTGTTGAGGAGCGCGACCTTACCTTCTTCAAGAACATTCTCCCGACCGCGTCCTCGACTTCGACCTCGGCTTCCGCGACCCCCACCGCCACCCAGGCCGCCGGCGAGTACGTCCCCTTCTGCAACGGCAAGAAGACCAAGCGCGCCACCCTTGCCCAGATCGCCTCCGTTGGCAACACCGGCACCGAGGACGACTGGGGCTGCAACATGCAGGTCATCGACTCGTCCATTGTTTCCCTTTACAACTACACCACTACCTTCACCGCCAGCGATAAGGACTACACCTGCTCGTGCTTCAACAAGATTGGTCCCAAGGGCCTGATCGACGGCTGCTGGTTCGCCGCCATCACCTTCTCCGTCAAGGCGGGTCAGTCCAAGAACGTCGCCTTCGATACCGACTCCCAGGGCTCCTGCGCTTGCGGCGCCGGCACGGAGGTCCCCAAGACCTTCATCGGTCAATTCGCCGGTACCTGGCTCGAGTTTGACTGGGGCTCCGCCGCCAACGGTGGCAACTCTGGTGCCGACGCCTCCGTCCTCGTTGCTGGTTCCCAGAGCCTCCCCTACTACGGCATGAAGGTTGAAGCCAACGGCAAGACCTGCTCGTGGGTCAAGTCTGACGGCTCCAACCAGGACGCCTACATGCCCGGCATGGAGGCCGCTGACGGTGTCGGCTGCAAGGGCTACTACACCGGTCACCTGAACGTCACCCTCGGCGACAACTTCACTGCTTAAGTGGATGGCGGTTTCGCTTTTCGCTTGGTGGTGTCTTTTCCTGCTGGGTGAGTTTTCGTCGGGGAAAGGGGTATCTCCATCCTCACCAATCCGCCACGACGACGAAGCCCGGCAATGCTTCCTTGATTTTGAGAGCTTCTTGACGGCGCATGGGATACCTCTTTTCTTTCGGGGCACATTTTTATGGTGGTGCGACCTTTTTTTGCTGCTGCCCCTCGCGCCCACCACCGGACACATCTGTTTTGGACATTATGCGGATTCTTGCTAATATGGGGAAAAGCGTTTACAAACAAGACGGTTGGTTTAGAGGGACGCTTCGTTCAAGAAACAGTGGTTCCATAAATTCTGGCCCTTCTAGTCTATCCACACATATATCTAGTGTCTGCTTCTTAATGCGACATAAAACTCATCCTTTAAAACTAAGCTTCTCCCTCCTGCGTTTGGTTCCATGTGGATTGACATGCGTGTGCCGCTCATCCTGTCAGTTCGTCTCATGTTAAGGAGGCGCGGTTGCGATCAAGCTTCAAACCTGTTTCGGCTAGGACATGGGGCTTTGTGAACCGGTAAATCGGTACCCGTCTGTGCTACCTGGCTCTTACAGCATCTTCGCATGCCACTGCAGGACAGTACGGCCTCGTCTGCTGGTGCTTTCCTCTCTGTCAGCAATCGACGCATATGGAGCTCGACATCCAACTTGCCTCTCCTTTCGGAAGTCATTTGATTATAAAATGATCGTAGGACTCCTGCAACTCACCTGCCAGCTTAACGAAAACATGCGACGAAGAGGAATTATGTAATTCACCGACCCAAGATGATTGGTTGTAGCGCGCTTCGCGAGAAACTGCTCCTCGATAGACAATCCTACGTCTCCAGCGTGGTTCTCCGATCATGGGCGGTAGGTTCGTTGGCGATGGCACTGAAGGTGGAAACAGCGGCGAGTAATGCCCGAAGTAGATTTTTGGCAAGTACATGTTTAGTCAATCAATGTTGGCTTCGTTTGCGTAGGGTGTTGAATATGGTCCTAATACGTGTAGGTACAATGCGAAGAAAAGTCACGCTTGTTATAGCGTCACTGAGGTTTCCTTGGGATCATCGAATTAGTGCAACCGATGTCTGATAAACGGTCTCTCAGTCTTCCACTATTGCGGCGTGGTTACAGATCGTCGACGCTGAGCCCCGCAGTCGACCGGTCCGCAATCAATCAATTAGCATAATATGACAGCAAGAACGCTTAACGAGCTCTCTATGATGTTGCTGCCTTGCTTGTGATCGAATTAGGCTTTTTCCGGTTTATATACATGTCAAGTTGCACGAAGACTTTTGAATTGTACGTGACATCCTCAAAGATGCGACACCTCACAGCCACATCCACCCGTTGGCTTTCTGTATGCGACCTCTGCCTTCAGTCCACCTTAGCGGCACGCCACTTTTTTGTCTTGCATGCTTCGGTCACGAATACAATAATGCCTCCGGTATTACATTAACTATGTGTTGCTGTCTTGCCTGCTAATGCTGGCAGAGCCAGACCGGGATCGACCGGGGAAGGCTAAGTCTCGGAGGTAGCGTAGTAGGGTCTGCTAAGAAAAAGAAATGAAAAACAAGCAAAGGGGCTTCTGCTAATTAAATAGTAGACAAATGACTGTATCTTGTAGACCCCAAGACTTTGACTATATGTCCACTATAAGCTACTATTAAACACCACATGTGGCTGGTTCGACATCGTGCGAGGTCTTATGAAAAGCCATTGTGGCCAGATCACTAATTTCTTGAGAGCTGACTTACATGTAGTATTCTGCTAATTATTCTAAGAAGTTGCAAAGCAATCCACGTAATTGATAACTCCTTGTCCTTTGTGAATCAGACTGAATTCCGGAATGACACAATGCAAAGTCAGCATTTACATTACCCCACGACTTCAACCAAAGTTAGTGTCTATGCATGTCTAGTTGAAGGGGTAGAACAATAATGATGAGGCGACTAAACAGTTAACTGCATGAGAACAGCCTTTTTCAACTAGAGTAGGGATCTGAACCTTGCATACCTTGGTGTAATTCGTTCATGCCCATGGGTGATTGTATGGCCCCAATCAACTTGAGTTTGGTGAGTGGTTATGTGCAACTTTCCGTCATTCAAAACACTCTCGTCGCCATTGTGTCATGTAGGACACAAAGACAGGTGAGTTTCTGAAACATGGTTTGGCTAGGTTGTTTTACATAATATCATAGATATGGGAGAGACTGAGGACCATCGTAACGTCTTTACCTACGGTAGAATCAATTAAATTCCTAACAATCCATAGCTTCGACGATGTCTTACGTACGACCCACGAATGAGTTTCTGCTCATGTGCAGTTCAATATTTTCAACGTTAGAAATTACTTCAAAGAATATCGGAATGTTCTACAAAACCCAGCCCGGTCGCAAATTGACGTGATTCATTATGAGGTCAACAGCTGATGATGGTCCAGCAAAGTTGACACGGTCAACAATCTGAATGCAAAGCAACCTCGACCGATCGAGCATCTGGCTAAAACAATGTAATAAGTAACTACAAGATGAAAACAATCCTGGACGCAGTCCCCCATATGACAGTGTTTAGCGTGGGAGGAGGACTCTGAGAATATTGTCTATTTGACTTAGGGTTTGGCATTGTGCGTGACTCTCTCTCTGAAGTTTAAGACTGGACATTGCATATGCGACGCATTACGTCCAAGCTCAAATGTATCTTGCTCTTGGTCAGTGTTCATGACTAAGGGCAAACATCTAGCGTTCTGGCAGAGTATCGATCTATCTTTGCGCGCAATGGAGTCTACGATTGCAGAACTTGCACAAAATCCTAGACATTCTAATTAGTATACCATGACCTATATGTGGTCGATGAAAATGAGACTTATGCTAAATGAGTCCAATCCTTTCTTGGAAAGTTCGTGTGCTGGTCCGATGAACCCGGAAACTTCCAGCTATGATGTAATAACCTCTGGACAGTCAAAAGGCTACCACACAGACCCGCTACGACAGACCAGTTCCGTCACACCACCACAACTCCTCTCCTCTCCACGGACATCCGCGAGATAAACCTTTCCCTCGACACTGCAATTATTCTGGCGGGAGATTGACATCGGTACACACGGTGGAACCAACATTCTAGACTCTTACTAGCCTCCCAAGCTTGGAAACCATATTCCTTCACGAACTACTTCGTCGTCGCTATTATCCTAAACACACGAGTCATGTTTCTTTCAAACAAACCTCCCGCGAAACCGCTTCCCCGCTTCCAAACCAACACGCCGCTGGATTCGACCTTTGACAAGGATATCCGCGATACGCATCTTATATATGACTACAATGCCGAAGACGCGAACGGCAAGCCAGAGAAATGGCGCTACGAAATGTGGTTCTTCTCGGATGATCGCATCGTCTACGCAATTCATGGCGGGCCGATGGCGGGCCGCGTGAACTACCAGACAGCGACCTATCAATGTATCCGGCCTGGAGAGCTGTGGCAGGTTAACTGGTTGGAAGAGACGGGGACCGTTTGCTCGTTAGTGTACGACATCCCGAAGCAGAAGATTTCGACGCTCATCTCTTTCTCGAGAGGACATTGGGAGAACCCTCAAGCGGCGCACGGTGACAAGCGCAATCCAGGCGATTTTGCGCGTTGGAGAGTACTGGCGAGGTTTGGGAACCATACTGATAGGTTCATGTTGTCTGAGCAGGCGGATATTGCTGAGAATTTCAAAGGAAGAGGGGATCTTGAACCAATTACAGAGGATGCGCAAACGTTTTGAACGAACTATAGAGTTTGGAGATTATAAAATACTGCCGATCTGTCACTTACCGCTTAGACTATATTTGGGATCACCAGAAGTAAAAAATCACGACGTACTCTGAAAAGAGCATGAAAAAAAAAACATGGCAGCTCCATTGACGTTGATTATAGGCATACAAATCGCAGGTATGGCTTACAGACGGTCGTTTCCTTGATGAATGTCAATATCAGTACACGCAGCATGCGAGTGATTCTTGCCATTAGAAACAGCCTCAAGACAACATCAGGTGTATAAAGAGAGACAATCCATCTAAACCACGAAATATTGATATCCAGATTCTATCCGATTTTATGAGCGGGTTAGTCGTTTGTACTAAACTTAATTGGGTACTCCTATTCGTCGTACATTAACCACACTGAGCCGATCAGGACATTTTTGCAGAGCGAAGCACAGGTTGTTACTCTAGGATATATTTTATACCATTGCAATGTCTCATGGAAAGCTTACTGTTATCGTTGCAAGAACTCAAAACGCGCGCGTTAGAGACTCAACCATTGAAAATCCCTGATTTCTTGTAATCTCACTGCTAGCACTTCTGCAGTTCCCCCATCATTTAAACAGATCGACCTTCTCATTTTCCAGCTGCCATCATTAGTCAGTTATCTTTCTTAAGGGCAGGCTGAAACTCGCTGCACGCAGGACAGCAGACGAAAACGGCAGCAATCAACGGACGGAAGGATTAGTGACATATGTCAAAGTGGAAGCGAACCCGCTTCTATCAATTGTTCAGAATATGGTGTTGTCACCTCAAAATACTGTCAAAATCAAATATACCCAAGCCAAGCAACCAGAAACGAATTTGCCTCCAAATTTCCATCATCAAGAGCTCCTGCTTTAGCAGCAAAAAGAACATATCTGGGGACTTGATTACTTGTTTCTTACTAGGGGACAAGACAATCTTGCTTGATATCCACTGCTTATAACAGACCGCCGTCAACGACTTGGAGTGATAGAGCTACCAAAACCCTTAGCTACCATACTCAGGCGTCTTAATCCAATCGGAATACCCAGGCCTTGTTGTACGATAAGGTCCCCTGTATGATACCCTCCCATGCTTTCTCAATTCCATTCGCGCCCCCGACTCCGCTTCCCCAAGCCAGCTCGAGATCTCCTACAACCTTCTCATTCAGAGACTGCTCGAAAGCGGAGGCGGCTTCCTGAAAATAATTCTTCGCGCCCTCGGCGGCAATTCCGGCGTCAATAACAGCCGTCGTATTGAGCTGGACGGTACCCCATTTCTTCTGTGAGTCCGTTTTTGCCAGGACCTCATCTGGCGATAAGACTTTTGGCTCACCTCCCACCAGAAGGCTACTAATGACCGTTGACCCCGGGAGCGTTGCTTTGATAGACTCTCGCAACTTCTCAGTTACTTTGGGCGGCCCTCCGAAATCCGCGACAACAACGCGCTTTGGTTGAAACTTGGCGATCCAGTCCTTGACTTCCTCTGAAATGAGATTGTCGTAGTTGACTGCTTTGATTTCAAAACTAGCCTCAGGCGCAGGCTTCAAGGTTTGCGGCACAGACGTAGCCTGTAGGAGAGCCAGCGGCCCATTTGTCGGCTTGCGCTTGCGAGCCATGTTCCACGTGAAGGACCTTGCCGTCCTACTTGCTGCGGATAGACTCACAACCACGGCCGAGCTCAAATCACCATCCTTGTCGGTCCATTCCCCGGCTCCGTTGCCTAATGGATGGATCGGCTTAAAATCAGTTGGGTAGGTAAAACGGTTCATAACGTAGCCGCCATTCCAGACGGGGTAGACGTTGGCGAACCACGCCCTAAACTCATCCGACTGCGCCGACTCATCGATGAGGTTGTAGTGGTTGTACATGGTTCCCAACTTTTGCCTGTGCTCGCTGATCTCGCGAAAATGGCCCTTGGGTTCGGCTGGCTCGAGCTTCATATCGATAGGGTGAGAGGAGGTGGGCCAGTACCCGTACATCAAGCCGCCGGCCGGGATGGCGTCAATGGTTGACTCGAGCACCCTTGCGAAACCCCATGCCGGAACAATGCCCCACTCGGCCTGGTTGTTATACGGAGCCGGCGCATCCAAAGGGACTGGCCATGTGCTCCACCACTGCAGTATGTCGCCCATCTTTGCGTAAGTGTAGTTGTTAGATGTAATGCCAATTAGTGATGTGCGGATGCGGATGGAGTAGGCGGCCAACTGGGGCATTGGAAGGTCAATGGCGAGGGTCTCATGCTTAGAAAGATCCCGCTTGGAGATGACGTGGATTTCGGACACCATTTTCTTGATGATTGTTCGAGATAATGATTCGTAGAGAGGAAGAGAGAGGACGATTAGGGACAATTGGGCTGGAATTGCTAAATTGATGTTGAATGTAGGGGTGGGCTGTGCTGTATCGTTGGTGGGAACGTGTCCAATTATAAGGCTGATTAGACTTTATGCCGACACGTCCTACCACCATTCGGGTGACAGCAATCAGTGCCGGGATTTGTATGGTACATATAGGTATAGAAAAGTGGCGGTGATTTTTTTCACCCGATTTGCCCACCTACCTAATTGATCTAGAGTAGTCGGAATTTTGTGGAATTTCGGCTGATCACCGGCAGGAATACTCACGCAACCGGTCTTGGAAGCTACAGAATCTTCCTGAGTCTCATAGGTGCTAACCATAAGCACTGAAGTCCGGGGGTGGATTGGTTGAGAAACACGGCTTTGGGTGCGTGCCCCGTTCGAACGTGTATGAATTTGAGTCATCGGCAAGTCCGGGAAACGGGGAATACCATTTATTGGTTGGTAAGGTCCTTTGGGGATTTGTGTGGGTAGGTGTCAAGGAACTTTGGGAACTGTTCGCTGACAATCTCATATAATATCTCACTCTCATGTGTTTAAGTAAGCACTATGTGCTTGGCACGGCCAGCATGCTGCAGGACGTTGCGGAAGGTGGCAGGAATGGTTAGCACAATAGGACTGGTCAGGATCAGTATGCATGTAACCAGTTGAGATTGCATGTTATAATAACAGTCGAATAAATCTAGCAGGTGTTGGGCGATATACATTAGGCCGTTCCAAAAGCCTTCTGGTGTCCGACCAAGGTGAACCGGTAGTGAACTTTGTTCTCTTTCACCCGCTCAACGGCCTCTTTACATCCCTCCTCAGACATGTCAATTGTTTCGACCCACGGAGCGATGCCCTTCTCCGCCGCTAATTTCAGTAGAGCATTCATCTCCTGATTGTTTCCAATGTGGCTACCAGTCATTTTTGCCGAGTTGGTCGTGAACAGCGCCGCAGGAAATTGAGGCAGAGGCTTGTCAGGTAGACCGACCATGTGGAAATGGCCGCCAACCGTGAGCGTTGATAAGTAGGTCTGAAGGTCGAACTCATTGGTCATATCGGAGCAGTTGAGGATGAAGTCGAATTTGAAGGCATATGGCTTCGCCCAGTCCTTCTCATTGGAGTTGATAACCTCCTTGGCGCCGAGTTTCTTACAGTCTTCAGCCTTGTCGGGAGAGTGAGTGATGGCATAGACCTCTGCGCCTAGAGCCTTAGCCCATTGGACGCCGAGGTGACCGAGGCCGCCGATGCCGACAACAGCGACCTTCTTGCCAGGGCCTACACCGCCACGAACAAGTGGCGAGTACGTTGTTAACCCGGCACACATGAGAGGTGCGGCGTCTTCTGACTTTATCGCGTCAGGAATCTTGAATGTGAAATACTCATGAGCGCGGATATGGCTGGCGAAACCGCCGTGTGCTTGGCTGCCATCCTCATACGTGGCGTTGTAAGTGTCTGATAGTCAAGTAAGTAATGGTCATTAGGAGTAACTCGGCAAGCTCTGGAGGGATTTATACGTACCAACCAAATGAGGGCAATAGTTCTCATTCTCGTTCTTGCACTGGTCGCATTTCAAGCAAGCCCATACCTGAGCTCCAACACCCACCCTGTCGCCAACCTGAATGTCATTCACACTCTTTCCAACGGCAACCGCCTTGCCAACAACCTTGATGTCCGTTAGATTTCACACCTACCACATCTAGTTATGGGGAAACGTAAGACATACCTCGTGGCCAACACACAGGGGACCCTCGTACTCACCCCAGCCTCCAGTGATAGTATGCACATCGGATCCGCAGACACCGCAGCATTCGATCTGCACATCAATGTCGCGATCTCCAAACGGTTTAGGAGTGAGTGTTTCTTTCTTGAACTGATTCCAGCTTTTCGGGCCTGAAACACAGAACCCTTGAAACTTCTCGGGATAGCTCATTTTGATTGATGTTAGTGTTGATATTCGTGCTTTGATGTGACTTCGTAATTCAGATCGTAGATTCTGGGTACGCTAGATGTTCTCAACTGCACGCTGTTTCTGTTTATATAGGCACGACAGTTCATCATGACGTCTGTCTGATTTCCGCCTGGTTCCCCGCCTATACCTCCGGACTAAACACCAACCCATACAGGCAACACTCAACCAGACCTCGGCCACCTTCTCAGAGCGTAATTAGTGCCTTTCGCCAATCGAGGTCGTTAACCATTGATGACGTCTATGAAGTGTCTGTCATTGTTTCGGTAAGGGACTGGGAACCCTGTGCTAATGTAGGAGATAACTCCGGGTGTTAACAACCGGAGGCGCTTGATAACGAGCTAAATACACCCTTGGCCCCTTGGGGCCAATCCATTTCCGGATTGGGAGACGTGCCGAAAGCCTCATGACGACAGACTTCTCTCATCAACACAGCCTAGTAGCTCAAATCTGTAGTGCAACAAGTCGGTTTCCGAGCCTAGAATATGCGAATTGTCGATCTTGATTGGAATTTCGATTCTCAATCAAAGCAAAAGCACAGGTCAGAGCCTCACCAGGGGCTAGCAGGTTCAGGGTATTTTTTCATTAGCATGGCCCAATGAGGAGGCACTACTGACATCGGATGTGGGACGACTCGGCTGTATTTGATAGAATATGGAAATGTGACGTGTTTGCGAGAAGATGACAACCATGATCTTACTTACTGATAGGCGAGTGTTTGAGGCCATTGAGATTGGTTGGTCGATGCTGAGTATGCATCAGGGTAAGCCGCATCTGTTCTAAAGCCATTATCGGCTTCTGCCTTTGTAATCACAATTAAGAGGTTTGCTGATGCTAGCGCCGGCACCTAAGTTATGATTATCTTCCGATCTATTGTCACCTTCAACTGACAGCCTGTGGGTTTTTTCAACGCCTTGAGCTACTCCATGTAATTACGATAGTGAGGCCAAGAAAATACACTCAGTTGAAGACTTCAGAACCCTGTTGGTTGCCAACTCCGCTATAGTGCCCTCAAACCCCCACTGCCAAGTCATCCTTCACTGGGTCAGCGAAACACCAGCACAACAAACACGACCAAGGCTTCTCCTACAGCTAGTCTTGCTAGACATATCCACAGATATTGATTGTGTCACCGGAGTTCAGAATCTTCTTTTTTACAAGAGCTTTTTGATGTCGTGAAACCCAAACAAGTGTGATTCCAAACGATGACGAGCAAGGTGTCATTAGAGAATTGTTGCATTGGTGAAGTTTTTGCCAGAGTCAATAAGCGTCAAGACAGGCGTTGATCGGAAATCCAGCTGCTCCTGCCACACCGGCGTCTGTCGTGCCGTGCAGAAGTCTTGCAATGGCACCAGGTTGCACATTAGGCTGGCCTTATTGGCAACTACCCGTTTAGGGGTTCGTTGCACGCTTTCAATCTGGCTGGCGGCACTCTTTAGCCGCATGGGTTCCAAACTCGCCCTCTTTTCGGCTTGGAGGCGATCCAACGTAAGCTCGCTTGCAATGTCTGCAACCCCTGTTGGCCGTGAGATGGAGTCGGCCATTTTACGAAGGATTTCGCCTTACGCCGCTAGCCGGTTGAATGCTTATAAGGAAACATCAACCAGGCAGCTGCTTCTTTAAAGGCGGTTTCTCCTGCGGTGCCCCTTTTTCAACCTAGTATCTTCACGATTCCTTGGGCCAGTCATCTCGGAAATGGCATTGCAGTCTACCGCATGGGCTTCCAACTCAAGATCGTCAATTCTGGACTCGGCCACCGATGGCCTTACTCCGGTACCGATCCTGAGTCGCGAGAAGAAGAGGTGCACACCACATCGACCCCTGCATCAGCTTCTTGACTAACGATCAGGTCGTCAGTATGCCAGGAATGTCTCTTCGGATCGCGACATTTTCTTTAGGAAAGCGACCGCAGGGCAAAAGAACATGTGTAACCAAAGCCAGATCAGGCTGTATTACATGCAAGTATGTTTTTGGGTCCCGACTATCTCTCAAACGACATTCTAAATCCGTGTTGTCAGACGACGCCATGTGAAGTGTGATGAGACCCGGCCTTTTTGCCTCAAGTGCACAAAGTCATCGCGAGGCCCGAGAGTATGCGAAGGATATCCACCAGAGCGGAAACCCCCAAATCGCCACGATCCCTGCCGGATCGTCTCCAAGGGAACATGGCGAACAAGCTCACCCGCCATCCTCATGGAGCCAGGCTACGAAACGACATTGTTCACCGATCCAAAGGAGAGAGTCTACTTCGATTTTTGGCAGCAACTAGTCACCAATATCTACCTGTTCCCGAACGACGTCATGCAGCGAGTCGTTCCGCAGCTCGCACGTCAGGAGCCGGCCATCAAACATGCTGCTCTTGCAATGGCTGGGATGGCCCGATCTCATGTCCCGTCATATGCGCCTCGGTCCACAACAGAGGCTCCTACCGACAACCCGCATTACGAGTTCGCGTTGCAACACTATGCCCGCGCCATCAAGCTTCTTCGCAGCTCTCAGCCATCGAGCGAAAACATGCTTTGGGCCATCGTGTGTTGCGTGTTGTTCGTCACATTTGAATGCCTCCATGGAGATCGCACTGCGGCTTTGTCGCATGTCGATCATGCCTACAAGATGATGGAAACATACTTCAGCCAGAGATCGCTGGTTGAAGACGGTCGAGTGACAGACTCTATCCGCACGGTATGTGACGATGCTGCATGGGTGTTTCAGGGTTTGACGATGCAACCGTGGTCGCATAACGTGTTTCATTCCAAAGATCTTTCTCGAATCAGTTGGTGTTGTCGCGGCAAGAAGGCTGCGTTCGCTGTTGATGAGATGCCCCCCAGATTTACAGACATGCAAATGGCTCGTCGATGGTGGAGAGTTGTACAGCACCATACATGCCACAGATGTCCTATCTATACGGAGATCTACGTCGAAGGTATTTCCGATGACATGCTCTTAGACAGCTACGTACGACCAGCCTTCTCGCCGACCCACATTGAGAAACTGGCGGCTCTCCGTCCGGAATTCCTGAACCGTCTTCGAAGATGGAACACCGCCTTCCAAGCCTTATACGACGGACTGCGGTCACGCCAGCACCTCCAAAAAGCTGACTACTTGGTATACATTGATGCTTGCAACTTGCGCTTGCAATATCTCACTCTCTGGAACGAAGTCTCTACTTTGAGTTACCAAGACATTCGAATGACTATCATCTCAACACCGTCTTTTCGGGAGATGGTGCAACTGAGTCGAACTATTCTGGAGGGTCAGTCAAATGGCGTTGATGGCGGCAATACCTTCAGTATGGACAACGGGCCTACGTGGCCACTTCTAGCTACCGCTTGCCGATGTCGGGATGCCAGCATCAGACTAGAGGCGACTGAGTTACTGGGCAAACATCACCGCCGCGATGGCTTGTGGGATAGTATAATATGCCACGGCGTCGCGAGAAGGAACATGGCAATAGAAATAGAGAACGCCATGACGGGAGACGAAGATGAACAGTGGTCACGCATGTCGAGACGAGAGTTACGCTTCAGTCAAAATGGAAAGGTGTCTGGCAAACTATTCAAATGGGATCCTCGTCGTGGCAAATGGCTGCACGTTGAAGAGCCTCTGGATATGACCCTAATTGCTAAGCTGAGCTGAGAGCTCTGAAGATAACAACACCTCAAGCGATGTATGAGCTTATAGAGCAGAACAATATCGATGCTAACTGCAAGACATTATGTAACATATTCCGGCCGTCTAAGATTCGCTTGATTCCCTCCTGCCTCTTATTTTAACCACTGTTCTTGCTTTTCTGGCAAGGTGAACCATCGTGACTTTCGTCCATTGCATCAAGCTTGTCCAACTGTTGTGTTACTAGTGTGTGTGATTTGCGCCTAGATCTTGAACTGTCTGTGTTCCCTGATAAAGCCGAGGTGAGACGCTTCTTCTTCTCTGACTGCCCAAGGATGAACCTGACGAAGAACTGGCGGAGATTCGGTATGCTGGCCGTGAAAACCCCTACGTTTAGCTCAATGTCGGACCAGATGACACTGGGCATCATGGCAACTAGACGCGGCATTTTGTTAGTTACCCCAATGAGGGCTGGTGGCTCAGGTATCATTAACATACCTGTCGGGTTCAGGGGATCTTTACGAAAATCCAAAATGGCTGGAATACGAATGATACTCACAATAGTGAGACTGAAGATGATTACTATGTCAGCTTTGGTTGTCTGAAGAGACAAAACGCAGATAAGCAAGGCGAGCACTCACAAAAGGCCAAGACTGAACATGGACATGATTGCAATCTTCTTGCGTCGCGCCAAGTTCATGCCCCAAATCTGTGTGGCTGGCAGAACAAGCATCCATAAGTCCAAGATGATGTTTATGGCCGCGTGCGAAAGGGCAAGTTGGACAATGTCGATGCATTTCCCTGTGGCTTCGCCTGTCCAAAATGTCCAAGCTAGGCTTATCGGTTGACATTGAAATAGACCGACGAAGATAAAGATTATCCCGCTCAGGAAGTTGATTCCCAGGGTGATCCAGAGTGCAAGGCGGATCTTCTCATCGGGAAGATGAAATATTCGAAGGTACATAAAGAGAATGGATGCCTTGACCATGTCAATGCAGGAGTGGTACAACGTTTGTAAGGCGTAGAAGGCCTATCCGACTATGAGTCAGAACCAACGAGAGGAGGAGCCAACAGAAGAGATGAAACAAGGATCGGGACGTGTAGTGCAGACGTTACCTTAAAATAGTTGGTGATTTGATTATCGGTGAGAGTCCAGAGGTCCCTTCCAGCTCCGTTGTGCTCCACTAGCCCTGGCTGTCAGAAGACCTTCAATCCGAAACAAGAGTCTGATTGGGAACGTACGATAGATATGCAAAGATGTGTACGCCACGAGAAGGAGCTTGGCTCATGTTTTAGCGTCATGTTGACTCCGTTTGGACCGGTTCCTACTCACATATGCCACAAGAATAGTGTAATCATCGAGACCCCATGGAGATAGTCGCGCGAACTTGGTTATGATACGAAGGACGATCGAGAGAGTAGGTAGCAAGATGAAAACAACAATACGGGCGACTCTTGTCGCTGGTGCCCCATCATGCAGTGGAAAGTCGCACGCCGTCCAGGTGATGTTCTGCGATTCTAGAGAGCTGTCAGCCGAATTCATTGTGTCATTGCAATGGGAACCTTTCAGGGTTTTCTACCTAGTGCGTACTTCAGCGGGCAGCTCATGACGATGCAGCCCTCCACGTATTTGAGGAACCCTTCATCCTGGCACAAACATGTCTGATCGGCCGTGTGGCAGCTCGTCTGGTTGAGGCCTGACAAGAGACATGGTAGCTTTATCACGCGTCAATGGTGAACTCGTCATTTGTCGAGAAGGTTGGTCTTCTTACAGCGCAATCAGGGTTATCATGCAGATCAATACCAGGAGTGTCAGGGAGCGAGAGGTTTTGGCCGAATGCCGTCGTTGCCGTGCAGAGCGTCAAAAGTAGCAAAGCCAGCCAACTCGACCGCATGGCGACCGAAGGTAAAGGGTCGAGTGGCTCTGATATGCGATGGTTGCGCGGTCAGGAGCAAAGCGCTGCAGGCCCTGAAGAATTGAGTGAGTATGGCGTGCGCGACAGGATATCGAGGTGCTTGTTTTAATATTTGGTAAACTCTGCAGACTCGGGCGAGCAAGTAGTATGAAGAAGAAAGAGTCCTCGGTTTCGAAAACGTATCCCCCAACTTCCGGGCAACGGGCACGCATTCCAGACAGAGGCCTTCAAGATTCGGCGCTGTTTGCCGGAGGTCCATTTCTAGTGGCTTGGACATCTCCTTCCAGACAGACCCATTAGTCGTTTTCGGCCGCAATGCTTTGGTTTCGGGTGATGTCTTGGGCGAATTTTCGTATTGCCTAGCAAACAGGGCGTAGATGGGTAGCCGGATGAGCAGTGTCTCGACAGATCGAAAGCCGGATCCAGCCTAGCTTCGCGAGGCAAGTCCTTTACCAAGTCCACCAAGATCTGATGCGCATGCCGAGCTGAGAAGGGTCATGTCTCACTAGTTTGCGTTCCTTACCGGCAACGTACCTGGCTGACCCGACCTGCCGGGTTATCCGCACCACAGTCATGCAAAACGACAGCGGCAGTTATTGAACCATCTTGAGACAGCGTAGTGATTGAATAAACGTGTGCAGCAAGGGCTTTTAAGTTTTGGTCCAACGGACGGTCTTGGCGAGCGGCAGGGAGCGGCCCCATATTTGTTGCGATTCGCCTGCATACCTATTGATGTCAGCCTTATGCGTGCTTAATAACTCTTCGTATTGGACGTTGATCGATTTCTTTTAAGCATATAGATTACAAAGAGTACCAAAGGGTTCTCCAGACTGGTAGATCTACAAGGAGATGGCATCATACTTGGTTGATCGCTGTTCCATACTTTCTCGGATGCAATGGCAGACACTATAATACCTACTTAGTCTCCATCATTTAGATCTGGGACAATACAAAATACTGAAGGCTTATAACATATATTTTAGTCTAGCTACCGCTTTGAACACCTTGGAACTTCCGCATCATCCGGTTCCCATGTTACTTAAGGCAACCATGGCTGTGTTTTTCGACCTCGGCTCTCCTCAGGTTGTCGTTCCTACTCACTTTGCTATTTTTTAAGCAGCATGAATGATTTTTGACATCTTTGAAATAAAGCGCTTTTTCCAGACACCCCATTCAGCGAGACAGTTTGGACCTGATTGATGAATGTTTATGATATGGCATAGCGTTTGGAGAAGCTCCCTCGCTGAGATACTGAGCAAGGAAGCCGGATCGGATCTACGCATTGCCGTTTCGCCTGACTCTGATTTAAGGACGCTGTGATGCGCCACTTGAGTGGTTAACATAAAAGGATTAAATGTCCAAAGACGGACTGTATTCCCAGTCTTGCATGGCGGATGAATTTCCCTACCTGGGTTGGTCAAAGAAGTACTGAAAATACCAAGTCTAGGAGCAGCTGGGAATATCCAGTATTTTGTGCAAGCTTGAGCAACATGTAGAGCAAACTACGCTGAAATCAGAACATCAGGTCGAGTTTCTTCCGTATGCAAGCTGTGATGCTCCAGGATGCGGACCACTACTTCAAGCAGACTCATTAAATAGAATGTATGAACAAGAGGGCCTCCCGAACAGTAGGACGTCGTAACTCTATACGCCTCCCAAAAGTATATACTCGTGACATGCTAAAACAAACCATCGTGAAGACCCTCTACGGCCCTGACTTACCCCGTCAAGTCGATCACCTCCACCTCCTGGACCGCAAACTCCCTACTCAACCTTGCTTCCAACCAACCCCTATACCCAGCAAACATGCCCACCCCCTTCCAAAGCTCACAAAACCCACTCATGGCCTCCATCCTCTCCCTCTCCACCTCCTTTTGCCTCCCCTCTCTCCACTTCCCAAACATGCCGCCCTCAACAATCCCCCTCTCGCCCAGGCCCCAGACGAACTTGGCCTCGCAAACGGGACAAAAGTACGGCGGCTGCCTCCCGTCCTCTCCCAAGCCGCTGGTGCCTTGCATTACGCAGGCGTAGTACACGCAGTGGTCCAGCCCAAGGCAATGTCCAACTTCGTGTGCTGCCGTTCTCGCGACGCGTGCGAACCACATGCCCCTCAAGTCTTCTTCCTCGGCGCGTCTAGGAGTGGTTCTCGGAACGAGGACATCCCTCGATGCCTCGATGGCAGCGCCCATCGCTGTTCCCCTAACCTCCTTGAAATCGACCGTGGTCTCCCCGTCGTCATCGTCGCCACCATTCCCCTTCCTCTTCGCCACCTTCTTCTTGCCCCCCGAACCTTCGCCAGTCTGCCCGTTCTCAAGAGCGTCCTGCTCCTCCCACCACTCCACCGCTTCAACCACAAACCTCTCACAGTGCGACGCGGGCCACATGTGCCCCCTCTCTACCCCCTGGATTCTGTCCATCGCCGGCCGGTACCGAAAACTCGACACCACGCAGATCCGGCTCCCGCCAAACGCCCTCCCGCAGCAAAAGTCATCGTCCTCGTCCTCGTACAGATCCTGAGCGACGACCATGCACGCGGCATACGCGTCCTCGGGCAAGATGGCCATGAGCGCGTCGAGCAGGTCGCAGAGGTTGAGCTGCATCCGCGCCAGATCGTCCGGCGACGGCCTCGCGCGGATGCCCACCACGGATCCGCCACCCGTCTCAAGGCCGATCGTCATCTTCTTCGGCTCCCCTCCCGCGGGGCGTTCGTCGTCCTTCCACTTGACGAACCGCAGCGGCGCCGGGAGAGGTTTCACGGGGAGCGGGTGGTAGAACGCGGAGAAGTACCCCATCACATCCGCCGCCTTGGGATGCTCCAACTTATCCGATGCAACAGGCGGCTTCGCCCCCGAGAGATCAGGCGAGGACCAATCCCTCATGAAGGCCGCGCTCTCGTCGATGGCAGGAACGTCGGCAACGTACAGCGTCTTCCGCTCCGGCGTGATCGGATTCCGCCAGTGCCCCGACGCCCAAGACCGCAGGCTCTGCGTCTCGTACCCCGGTTCCAACGCGAGATCATCGTCGGGAAGGACGAGCGGGCCCGGAAACGTGGCCGGGTCCGGTGCGGAGACGTCGGATGCGGAGTTGGCGGTGGCCCTGCCGGAGCGGGTCGCCGCGGCGACGCGTTTCTCGAATGGAACGCGGACGAAGCCGGCTTTCTTGCGGCCGTACTCCGAGGCCTCGACGATGATGGAGTCGTGGGGACAACCTTTGGGACGTCGGCGTGGTGCCATCGTTGTAGTTGAGTTAAGGGAGATGGACGCGCAGCAAGTGTTCACGCGTCTTTGGGGCGGCTTTATTTCTATAGACTTCGGCCGCGTCTCATCCGCCGGCGCTCTCACCGACGAGTTGCTGCTGTGCCGCAAAGTCGTGAGTCACGTCCCACAGAACTGCACAAAGATCACCGTCAAAGTCTGTAAAGCTCTTGGATCAAACCGTTAAGCCGCTCGATTCGGATTTGGCGTTGCCAAATAGCCCCGCTTTCAGCGCTGCTGCCTACAACCCCAAAGCCACGGCTCCTTCAGCCTCATGCGTTCTAGGCATCAACTCCTCGCTTCTTGTCAACATCAATCAAACTACGGAGCAGACTGTTTCGCGAGGGGTTTCAATGCAGCACCATCGTTGCCCGTACTGGTCTAGATACCCATAGCACATGCCAAAGACGCTCTCTCACCATTGCTCGACCCTCAAACTTTTGCTCCCACGGGAGTTGCCCTTCCAGCACAAACCAAACATCAACAAAGCGGGCATCAACAAGCCTTGAAGGAGGGACGTCCAGAAAGCCTCTTGCATCACTCGATCCGAGAGTATGGCGCCCTCACCGGTCATGACAGAGTCCATCTTCGCCACGGGCGTCCGTTCACTGTCTCCCAATCGACACCCCAAAGGGCTTGGCGAAGCGCATCTGCATTCTAGATTGGGAACCACGCAACTCCTGGCCTCACCTCAACCCTTCAACCTGCAGCCCTACTTACAAATGACGCCGTCAACAGCGTCCCAGCGACTGCTGAAGTCCCTCCGAATCCGCTTCCCGCTCGGCCGGGTCTGGTCCTACCTCGCCCTGCGATGTCGTGCTTTGCCACGCCTAAACGCCTCGCCGAGGTTGACTGAAGTCTGACGCTCGCGTCGCGCTTGCGCTCACGCAAACAAACACAGCATAGGCCCCCTCGAACGACATACCCGCGCCCGCACCGCACCGCATCAAAGATCAATCGATCGCTGCTTCCCAAGTCCCCGTCTGCGAGAGACGCCCTAGCGTGATGCGCCCAGGACCTTATCGTAAGCCCTGGGCCTGAGCCATGAACCGACCCATGGCCGTGATGACAGGAGGGTGAAGATGACGAACTTGGCGGCTGGGGCCTTGTGGAAGACAGACCCAACACCACCGTCACGACCATAACCTCGCGCCAACCGTCTGCCTCCCGCACATCCCGAATTCCCCGATGCGCCCCGGCCCTCCCGCGACCACCCACCAGTGATGGACGAATGGGGTGACGCCACACGAGAAGGCAGGCCGGATGCTCAACCCGAAACTTAACCCGCGCATCGGTCTTGTCCTCTTCCAGCCGTCGCAACATGGCTATCCAGAGCCTCTCACGCGCCACTCGTCGCGGACAAAAAAACTGAAAAAAAATAGATCGTTGCAGTATCTCGTGTGAAGCAAACGAACCATACAAACCTCCCTATTGAAAGGGCCGCCCCCGCGTCGCACTACGTTGATTGGGGGTCGAGGAGCGACCCTGAGAATTCCATAGGATGAAACCAGCCGTCTTCTCCGGAATGCCACCTCCGCGAACCGCGGGGGCCACGACGCTGGCCGAGCGCCTCTCACACATACGCGCATACGCAGCCCCCACGGGTGAGAAGGGACGAACACCCCATCTCTAGAGAACGGACTCGCAAGATAATATTTGGCTTTCCGTCCTTTCTTTTTTTTGCTCCCGCCCTTTTCCAGGACGCAAGTAAGACGGCCGTAGAGTGTTGTCATGGCTCAGAACCGCAGGGTCTGCTCGTGCCCCCTATCCAAAAGAGCCCTGCATTCGCAACGGTCAAGTCAAGGTAGGCAGACCTCAGGACATGGCATCGCTGGCCCACACACGTGGCCCAATGGGCTCTCGCGACAGGATGCAACGTGATGGGCGCGGCAGCCTCGCGGAGAGAGACGTTGTTGAGCGGCAAAGCTGGGCGCCAGCAGTGCGCCTGACCAGGTGTTGGGCAATTTCCTCCCTTCGCCCCCCAAAGTCCGCGGACCGCCATGGGCATGTTGCGCGCGCGTGCTCCTTTGACGCCTTTCATGCATCTCAAAGGCTATCAAGAAACCCCGTTTAGGTCGAACGGAAGCACCCGTTTCGTCATGACCTATCATCTTTCCACGGTTGGGATCGTCCGCGATCTGACTTCTGACTGGAATCCACCTCGGTATGGCCATACTAGTTGAGAACATCGGAACATCTTCCAAGCTCCCTGGACCAACAAGTGAGCCCGGCGCGCATAGAGTTAGTTGAGCAGTCCCCCATCAGTGCACCGATTACCCCAAGGTTCGCAACGATCGACTCCGGGGGGGTTCAAGTAGGATGATGTCTTGCAGCAAAGCACCTCGTCGTCAACACCCAAACGAGCAACAAAAGTCCTCATCGCGTGCGTCGACGGGTGTTGAACGGTCCCGCGGCCTTGGTGGCGCCGAGCTTTTGCATCAACTTGCGTTCGCGCGTCCCCCTCGGGCCCGAAGGCCCTAGCGCCAAAGAGGTCCAAGCTGCCACGAGGGGGGGTTCAACGGATGCCGTGTAAGTCAGCCAAAAGAGACAGAAGCGCGCACCACTCGGCCACTCGCGTCTTCGCGCCCGCCCAACAGTCGCCTCTGCAATTGGTCGGCTTTTGTTCCGCTGCACGCTGGTACATGCTTCGACGTTCAGCATTGGGTTCGACGCTGCATGGCAACAGTCCGGATTGGTGGTTGAGGATGAAGCTTTTTCGGTGGTGGCATATCGGAAATGAGGCCTCGGTCGATTGACTTTGGCGTTTGCAACCATTCGAGACTTTGTGGTTCCCTAGGCCGCACGCCAAAGAAACCCTGCTGCGAGAGGCTTCGAAACAGCTCGTGTTCGTAGGATTGCTCCTCCAGACGGTAACATTCTATTTGGGCCCGGATTACTCTGTGGATACTACACCCGCATTTGAATCTGACGTGCACCAAAGTCGTGACACAGGGTTGGCGCCGATATATCCCGCGCCTCGGGGGGCATCGTGCGGCGTCCAGAGAACGACCTATTGCCACTTGCCGCACCATAAGGATGGCCAAACGACAGCAACCACAAGCAAGCAGGACCATGGCAACCAAGCACTGCGGAAAGACGCTCGAGCCCCATGCGACGGTTCGTCGTTTTTTGGCTCCGAGGTGGCCCCAGCTGATCGAAACCACCGTCTTCCATGACGGGAAAGGCGCATATAGGCCGAGAAGCCATCTGCAAACCGCACATCAGTCTCTTCACTCGTATCTGCTCGTGTCAGGGCAGGCCAAGCAGCGAGAGTTTTGGGTTCGATGGAGCCATCAATAGCAGTGCTCATTATCAAGTGGCAGTTGGAAGAGGGCGCCCAGATCACGCGACAGCGGCCTCTCATCCGGGTGTTGCCCAGGAACCTACAAGACCGCGCAAATCGCACCCTGTCGCAACGGAAGGCTTGCGGCGAGAACGCCACTTTCCAAGCCACCGAACCCCCTCTCGATCCCCAAAGATAGAAGCAGCCTGGCGCCACTGTATCATGAGCTTCGGGTGCCGTCGGGACTGGAGAAGACTGGGAAAATTCTGACATGTTTCTATGTTTCTGTTGAGATCCGAGAGACGGACGGCATGCCGAGCGGGGCTTGCGGCTTGACGGTACGAGGGGGAGCGCCCTACGACTCCTCGTCCTGGCGACCGGTGACTTTTCCATTCCGCATGCAGACTTTTTTTTCTCTTCCAAACCACCGACGATCCACTGTCAAATGCTGCAAGGTTGACGAAATTTTCTGTTTGCCCGAGTCCAGCCCGGTCGAATGGCGCTGGTCTTCCAGGTTCATCTGCAAGACCAAGAACCCCCCAATATCCACCTCCGCGTCGGAGTGCTGTTCGGTCACAGTCCCGTCAGGACTCCTCGGCGCTCGCCCGCGTCCAAAAATCTCTCGACAAGGGTGCTCGCAACTTCACATGCAAGCGTGCAGAATGCCCATGCCATGCCGACATTTCTGGGGCCCTCGATGCAACCGCGCTGCCAGACTTGGGATCGAGCACTGCGTTATAAGGCTTCCAGCAAAAGCTTCCACTAAAGCCCTAAGGCGCGGCCTGGCACCGGGATGGTAGCCCGTGCTGCCCGTCGCCCTCGCTTCTGTCTTCTTTGCAGTCGCAGGCTGGGCCAGGACGAATGGACGGCGGATCCCACCCTCCATCAGGGCACGACTAATGCAAGGGACACGAGACATTGCGAAAAGCCCTCATCGCCAATCCAGGTACGGTACCGATGGGATTTGCAAAAACCGAGCTCAACAGGTGCGATAAAGCCTGTGACGCTGCACACCATCTTCGGACTTGAGCCTGCGCCAGTCAAATGCAAGGTGCGTGTGGGTTCGATGGGTACCGTTCGCCGCCGACTTGGTGAGGGTGCTGACCCCCGGCTGCCTCGGCCGGTCTCTGGGGGCATCTACGCACGAAATCGGACTCGTCCCTGGCGGAAGCAGGAACGCCAAGGCATGGCCATTGTAATAGTATGTTGACCAAACGGCAAGGACTTTGGAGCAGAGCCGACGCCAGGCCTTTGCGCCGGTAGCCGGTATTGCGCCGCGGACAGTACCGTCACAATGCTTCATGTATACGATGTATGGCCATCCACAACCCGACACCGGACAAAGAAAGGGAGAAAGACGAGCGAAAATAGATGAGTGGAGTAGGCGACCCGCAAAGGAGAGTCCCATCTACTGTAGTTTGGATCGTGATCATGTCATAATCACATCTCACCAGATCGGTCGGCACATGATGTCGTCAGATCCAGGAGGGGGGTTGTCGAATACAGCCTTAGTACCACTGGCGTTGCCCTGCCCTCAGTCTCGGCGCTCCAGCTAATCCGGCCGACGACCAGAGCTTGGCCTCAAGGCACGGCTGACGAAGCCAATGTTAATCTCCAGCTGCATGTCAGCATGCCTGTTCCGTCAGAGCAGACAGGATCTGATCTATGCCCCCACCCGGAATTCCACCGGCCGGCC